CCAGCTCTGCAAGGGGATGGATGATGCAGCCTAGCACATGCCCAAGTGTGACGGACTGACTGACGGTCTGTCTGTCTACGCGTGGTTACGCAGCATCTGTCAAGCTAATTTGACATGGACGGGATGGCCGTCTCCTCCGCCAAAAAAGCTTGGCTTGGGGGCACCACGATCGTGTCGAATTGATTAGCTAACAACAAGTGTGTGTCGCATAGGTACTGCCATTGCATTGAGTCCATCGTACGGATATAACAAGTGGAGTCATCACGGCGGAAAGGCGCCTGCTATCGAGGTATTGCCAGCCGTGACGTGAGCCCGCATAGCTAGATCGGTGAGTAGAAGGCAAGACAGGGCACAGATCACTGTTAGTACTGGAAAGCAACAAGTCCACCAAGAGGCGGCACGAGTCTCACTGTCTCAGGCACTGAAGGCTGAGGTTGCCACACAAGACCCTTTGGAGGCCAATTCGCAGTGGCAGGGCTGCTCGGTTGGGCCCGCGTCCGTCTGTCTACCTTTGCGTGTCGCGCTTTGCCCAGGCGATAAGGCGAAGAAACGACAGATCATCAAGGGCCCACAATCGTGCTTAGAAAAAGAAGCTGAAAAGTGCGCATCGTGATGGCCTAGGCGGGTTGATCTACGTGTAATGTGAGCTCATTCTTGGTGCCTCCACCATAATAAGCGGCGCAAGGGCACTCGAGGGAACTTTGAATCCGCTACGTACTCCAATCTGGCCAAATCCGATTGAGTGTTGCTTGTCGGGTCAAGTCTGTGCGGGCGACAAAGGCCTGAACGGAGTGTTGGTTGCCACACAATGGTGACAGCGGTCATTGTATGGTGGTGTGCGTAAGTACGTGGTAGCATCGGGGTTTGTAAGAACCGGCTGTTCCTTGGTCGCTACCTAGACTAGAATGAGCGGATAAAAGAGTCAAGAGTCAAGGTCCGGCCCCATTCCCCGCAAGGTACATTGGCGGAACGAGGTGAATAGGTACAGATGGAATACATGGCCCAGGGAGGTAATGATCACTCCTCGCTAAGCCAAGGATGTCACCTAGTATCGGCTGGCCTTACTTCTTCTTGTCAGTGAGAACTTAAGTCGCGGACGAGTGGATGTTGGCAGTAGTAAGGCTGGGGCCGCTCGCTGGGCGCGTCGATCTGCCGTTGGTCAACAATCAGTGGCGCGGCCAAGCCAACAAGCCGGAGGCTGTTGGCGGCAGACCTACCAAAGCGCGCCAACAGCACGTCCAACGTACAAGCTATCATCCAACAGGTATGTTCGTGTTCAAAATCCAGTCCAGGACGGCCAGGCAGCTAGCACCGCTCTCTAGTCCAGCGGTTGAAGAGAGGACTGACGGATCGCGGCAAAGTCCTTCTTCCAGTTTTGGACAGACGAATCTGGTCAGGATAGACGATCCCAATAGTACCCATGTTGTCGGCAGTCATCTGTCGTTTGCTCCAACATCGTCAGTTCACCGTGGAGATTCGAGACTGTTGGAGTTGGGAAGTATCAAAGCGTGTATGCACGTACTGTTCGTAGACGAGGTGGATGTAACACTGTGCACACAGCACTACAGCTCGACTACAAACACAGTTTTTTCACTGTGCGGGGACAGGGTCCATCCTGCCTTCCCCCGATCTCTCTAATCCACGGCAGGTCGATGTGTACCACCTGCCTCAGCTCACGTACAAGAGCCTTAACCTCGGGCACGCCATTAGATACGACGATCTACCTACAACTTACTGTACGGTAGTCTGCTCGCGATCATTGAGCTTGACGTCAAGGAGCCAACCTGCGACCTGAGATTCAGTAATATCTCTCGAGCTTTCACCATGGGTACGCACTACGCAGACGCACCAACGACATGGATGATCCCCGATGGTCAGTGGCCTCGGCATCCCGCACACCGTCTACATGCAGTCAAAGGTCACTCACTACTCAAGTAAGTGCAGCATTTCTCGACAATACCTGCGAAGATCCCGCTGACTGGAGGTGAAGACGACTTGACACGAACAGACGTGCGTGCCTGACAGGGATCCATCCTAAGCGCCGGTTCCACAGCAAGTGCGGCGTCTGTGGGCCGCTTTTCTTTCAACTTCAACCGCTGCGCGCCTCGACTTTGCATCACACTTGTAAGCGCGATGCTCGCGGGTGACAAGAGCCGCTAATGGCGCATCTGTCCCATTGCTATGCGCCGCCGCGCCAGCACGACGAGACGAGGCTTGAATCAGATGCAGGCCTGACCTCGACGATCTGCCCAAGGCACTCTTGCCAGTCGGGCCCGTCTCATCGACCGCATCTCTTACCGCCGACGCGATGGAGTCAACGGGCAATGTGGTCACCCCCTTTACCGCATGGAGGCTCTCGAGAAACCGCACCCGCTCATGGCGACTGCCAACAACGACTGCCAAGCGCATGCACAGTCAAGGCGCCATCCCTAGTCACCAGACCGTCGTATCGAATCAGGGCGCCGCGGCAAGCACTATCGGCATGCCTCATGGTGTTGCAACACCGCGCGTCTCACGCTCGAGGCGGCAGCGGCTGTTGCGCTTCCGTACCACCACCGTCACCATCATCATGATGCCGCCCAGAAGGCCTAGGCTCGTGCCGAGATGGCCTGGGCGGACACCAAGGGGATCGCCCGTCCCGCCGACGGCCTCATGCGACCACATCGGCAACCCTCTTAGGCTCCCTGCTCGTCACCTTGTCGCATACAGTTACCAGGACGGGATCTGGGATCTGCCCTGACCCTCCTCATGCAATCTCGACTTACCCAGACTAGGGCAAGCACCCACCTCGCAGGTGCCTTTCCTGCAACCCGCGCATACTATCACGTCCTGCACTTGCCAAGGGCCATCGGTGCTCCCGAGGCACCCTGGCACATCTGCAAGCGGTCAAGTGATTGCAATCACGATGGCTCGTGCGGGTATGGGTAGTGTGATTGTAATATGCCCCGGATCCTGAACCCGCCGGGTCTGCGCTGATCAGGACGGCAGGGAACGCGCGGGGACGGGCTAGAGAAACGCCTTCTCATACGGAGCCAGTAGATGGCTTTGTGCGTGTATGCAGTCGAGAGAAGGCTCGATGCTGGCTCGAGTGTTGGCCCTGGCTATCGAGACGAGTCACAACGGCGCCTTGCATCTCCTAGGCCGGTGTGATTGGGACCTTGGCCTCTGCAGCAATCCAAATGAGTTGCTTTAGGTCACTGCATTGCCCAGAACGTCATGCCTCCTGTCTGGCCTTGGACCCAACAGGGCCATCGTCCATGACGCAGAGATGTATGTGCAGCTGTTGTTCGATGCTTGACGAGGACCAACCCCTTTTCCCTGCAGCAATCCAGGCTCCAGGAACCACATCCGATCATGCTGGGAGCAGCGGATGGTGCTGTGATCAGACCGGTAGGAAATTGCATTGTTTCGAACGTAAAAGGGCGTCGAACACTCAGCTCGGGCCAACCTTGGTGTATCCATGAGTGTGCCTCCGACAATACCTCGGATCATATACAACACAAAGGAGCGTCCCTGGCAAAGGCCAGACACACAGGGCTTTCCTTTGTGTACGGGACAAGGTCTGCAACGTTGTTTCGACACAGGTACAGATGCGACTTGATGTGGTTTGTCACCAACGAACCTCCGTGCAGAGGCACGGGTCGGGCCATGGCTGTCCTGCCAGGAACTTGAGTAGACTTGATGTGTGGTCAAGCTGGCGAGACCTGATCCGTTGTTGCACATCTGATTCTCGCCCTTGGAACCAGGCGTACCGTACTCCCGCGGCAAAGTTGCTGGCGTGTCTGGCTGATCAATATCCTTGCTGGAGATGGTGTCAATATCGAGCATAACCATTAGCCTATAAGCACCATAAGACCGAAAGGCGGCACATTGCTACAGAAGGGGCTGCACTTCTGCACCGGTGCTCATCCACGACTCTAAAAACCACAGGTGAAGAAGCCACACAGGCCCAGCGGTATTGGGTCAGGTGTACTGGGGAATCCACGACAAAACTCTGACCGAGGCTCGTCACGACGGCTACGGTCGGATCTGGACGTCCATAGGCGAGTCCTGGCGCACACATCGAGACCAACTCGGCTGAGGCCCGCGAGTTGTGCTCGCGCAGGGTGAAGATAACCGGCACGGGGACTGACGGCTTAACAACGTAGCTACTGCTACCCCACACGCGCTTGGCCTACCACTGGAGCCTAGGATAGGTTGCTGTCTCAAGCGGGAAAGTCTCTAGCCCGGATGTCGTCGATGATGGGCTTTTCGATTCCGATAAATCCCTTCCGGGTGTGGCCGTCACCCAATGAAAGGCCTTCCAGCTTCGCTACCCCAGACTTGGCACGGGAACATGTCGTGGATGACGGCGGCAGAGGCTCAAAGTGGAGTAGCAGTTCCTGGTTTTGATATGACTTCACTCGTCGAAGAGAAGTCTGGCCTTTGTCTCGACGGGTGAAGCGAGAGTCTGTACGGCTGTGGCAGACTGAAGTCGGGAAGAGAGGGGCAAGGTCACCCGGACGGCCGAGATTTTCTCACTGCGCGCTTTCGAGAGCTACTGTGACCCAGGCCAATGGCACGCCGCACGTGAGTCCACCTCTTCTTTATGGCACCATCGCATCAGCAAACCGAAACGCAAGAAACGGCGAGGGTGGGTTGTACGAGAAGATTTGCCAACGGTCATTGATTCGATCTGGGTCAGCGAGATGCTGAGCTGGCCAGCCAGCTGACCGATGTCTGGCATGTGCGGCACTGGAGTTGGCTAGCACCATACCTGATCGCACCCTTCTCTCTTTTTTTTTTTTGGCCTTCCCTTATCTTTCTTTCCCTGTGGGATGTGGCTCCTCTGTACCTTCGTGGGGGTATGCTGCATAGTCTTACAGGGTTTACCAGAGCTATTATAAAGCCGACCCTTTGGCTCTTGCGCGAGCTTGCTCGCTCGCTTTGTCTCTCATTCCACTCTTCCTCGCAAACATCTTGATCGATTTTGCCTTTCAAAGCCATACACAGAAATCAAAATGTCGTCCATCCCAACCTCGCCCGTCGTCAGCGGCTCAACCTTCCTGCGCTTGACGCCTGATGTCTTCGTCATGGCAGCGCTGCCCACACCTTTCCTCTGCCTTGCGCCCGAGAGGTCGCCATCTTACCCGCGCAAACAAACGGCCCGTCGCATGTCCACGAGCTCTGACGTTTCTTCCATCAGCAATGCGGACCATGCCATCGCTCGCAGAGTCAGTGCCTCCGCACCTGGCTTCAAAATCCTCAAGCTGGGTCCTGTTCACTGGGGTGAGCATCTCGAGGAGCACCAGGACGACTTTCACAAGAATGAATGAGTCTGCTACACATGCACATGGCGTTACGAACACAGTACGAGGAAAAGTCTGGGATTTTGTTATTATTTGCGCACGGTTGGATTATGGATGAGCTTCAACAAGCGGGCCAATGGAGTTAGCGACGGATGGGACATTGATCAGCATCTCTGGGTATGGTTTTCTAATGAGCGATTGCAAACTGGGCTCCAGTCTTTTCCCTCGTGCTTCATATGCTGTCCCAGCCGCCTCCATACCGCGGGTCGGTGAAACAACGTGTAAGCATCTCGACAAACGATTGGCACGCATGTGTGTGCGTGCCTACGCACACCTCACGAATGGGGGTTTCGCGTCTGTCGAGCCGCCCTGCCTCTACTCCATAGGTAAGACAACATCTCACTGCCGTCTCGCGGCCAGAGAATACCACGGCTACGATTCTCTGCATCGATCATGTCTCAGTGTGATGTCAACAATTCCTGTCATGGATTAAGCATCACGGCTGGCGTCGTGGGGGAGTCCAAGTGGGGTAGCCAGCTAGTTGGACGGTTCTCATTCTCGTACATGTACTTTAATTATACAAGTGAGGCAGCTTCTATGGCTGCTGCAATTATTCTATAAGGCGAAGTCCTGTCTTGATGAGGCTTGCTGAGAGAGCCAGTCACTTGATCAGTGTTATGCTCTGCCATGCCTAGCCCCTCGCATAATGCTACCTCATCCAAAGAGGAGGGGCGGCAGATCGACCATGTAGCCCCATATCGATGGGGCATCGATGTTAATCGACTTTAGAAGCGATCGGATCGGTTTAGCATGTGCCGCATCTGCTTCTGTTGGAAAGCGTCGGCAGGCAATCGTGCAACGGGCGGGTATATGCCCCTCTCCTGGTGCACTCTGCCTAGTTGAAGTAGGTATTGCGGTGGTTGTTGCACGTCTTGATGCAGCTACTCAGCTCTCTTGGGTAGCATTGCTCCGGACTGGGTAGACGAGCCCATTTCAGTGGTAGGCGAGGCTATTTGTTGTCGTCCTGTGGCGCCAACAGCTCCCTGAACCGCCGCAGGCATAGCTCAGACTTGATCAAGTCCTCAGTAAGCTGCTTCGAGACTCAAAGGCATGCCTCGATGGGTACCAGTGCCATCCCAAATGCATAGGGGTCAGCCTCCCGCCATGCTCAGTTGTCCATCTCTTGCCAAGTTGCCCGACTTTCAAACGGGTTGGTCCTGGACCTGTCCAGCGCCTGTCCGCAGCACATCTTGCCACCGGACCTCCACCCACTTCCGCGACTGCGCATCCTCTTCTCCAGAGTCTTTGTCGTGAAAACGACACCAGCCAAGATTATGCCTCCTCTGGATGAACAGCCTTCCGCTCCTTAGATCCGGATCCGCCAGCAAGTGCAGCAGCGCGCGCAGCGGGCCACCCTCCTCCATCCTTCTCTGGTTCAGCACCACAAAGTGCCGCGCGGAGACGTCCGTGTGGATGTACACGTCCACGCGCTCCAGACTACCGTGTAGAATGAGCGAGGTCAAAACCGGCACAATGTCATCCGTCATCCACCCGCGCAGCCTGTCGACGGTGAGGGACAGCCAGCGGACCTTGTCCAGGGCATCGGTGGAGCCGCACAGGAGGTCCCGGGCGACAAAGGTGCGCTTGACGGAGGCGTACTTGGGTCCACTGGTGTCGATGTAGAACTCCTGGTTGGGGGCGTAGAGGAGCGATACGCCCAGCGAGTATAGGAGCGGGTGGGCGAGGAGGACGGACAGGACAAAGGGGGGCACCACGTAGGTGGGCGGTGCAGGTAGGGAGATGATGGGGATTGGGGATGGCGGCTCAGGCTGGAGGAGTGGTCTGAGGATCTGGGCCAGGATCTCGGGTGGTAGGTCGAAGAGGTGGAGGGGATGGTGCGCCTGGGACATGATGTTGCTTGAGAAGACAATCACGAGTTTTCAGCCAGTGAGTGATTCATCAAGGGCCGCGGCGATGAGGAGGTGGGGTAATAGAGTGAGCTGACACATCACAGACTTCACTTCAAAGAGCGCTCATATAAAAGGGATTCTTTCAGTCCATTCAACGTCGTCTATGCTGATTCAGTCCCTCCGCATCGCCGGTGGACCAACTTCCGGTCCTGCTTCCTTTTCTCCCCTAATTCTCATCCTTTTCTCCCAGCCCAGCAAACCGCCAGTGCTAGATCGTCATATCCGTCATAGACATGGGCATCAAGCATTGTGTGAGACAGAGAGACGCAGGGACGACGTGGCAAGAAGGGAAAATGCGAAGAAAAGAGGAAGATTGGAAACACTTGATTCTCGTGCTGTGACCTGATTCTGACCCTGTTTTCCATCATCAATCTCCTCTCCCCACCCCATCATCCAGGCGTCCGCGTCAGTAGATTTCGTGAAATAGTGACAAAGGGGATAATTTCATTGCTGCTCTGCGCCCCGTGGTATTTTCATTTTCTCCCAAGGCGCAAGGCACCGGGCCTGTTCTGGTCGTGCAAGAACGAGCCCAACTCCGCAAACATAAATGACAAGCTCTCCTTTCGACGTTTTTGTTTTTTCAGTCTATTCGTGATAATAGAGTACACAAAAGAGGCCCGGGGGGAAAGATGCGCATTTATCGCGAGGACATGGCCTTGGTGACAAGGCGCTTGAGGGCGAGCTCCTGCTTCTTGAGGTCCTCGGCGGTGCTGTCGGAGATCTCGAGGGCGCCCATGGCGTCGGAGATGGTGGACTCAATCTTCTCCTTCTGGCCGCGCTTGAGCTTGAGGGAGAGGGTGGGGTCCGAGACAATCTCCTCGACGCGGGAGACGTAGTTCTCGAGGGACTGCTTGGCCTCGAAACGCTTGCCAAAGGCCTCGTCGTTGGCCTTGAAGTTCTCGGCGTCGTTGACCATCTTGTCAATCTCGGCCGACGAGAGCTTGCCGACCGAGTTGCTGATGGTGATGTTGGCGCTGCGGCCCGAGGTCTTCTCGGTCGCGGTGACCTTGAGGATACCGTTGACGTCGACCTCAAAGACACACTCGAGGACGGCCTCGCCGGCGCGCATGGGGGGGATGGGCGCGAGGGTGAACTCACCCAGGGAGGTGTTGTCCTCGCAGTTGACACGCTCACCCTGGTAGACGGGGAACTGGACGGTCTGCTGGTTGTCGGCGACGGTGGTGAAGGTCCTCTTCTTCAGGCAGGGGACGGTGTTGCCGCGGGGCACGACGGGGGCGAAGATGTTGCCCTCCATGGCGACACCCAGGGACAGGGGGCACACGTCGAGGAGGAGGAGATCCGAGGTCTCGGCCGAGGTGGCCTTGCCGGAGAGGATACCGGCCTGGACGGCGGCACCGTAGGCGACGGCCTCGTCGGGGTTGATGCTCTTCTCGAGCTTCTTGCCGTCAAAGAACTCGGACAGGAGCTTCTGGATGCGGGGAATACGGGTGGAGCCACCGACGAGGACGACCTCGTCGACAGCCGACTTCTCGACACCAGAGTCCTTGAGGACCTGGGCGACAGGCTCGAGGGTGCCGGAGAAGGCCTTGGCGTTGAGCTCCTCGAAGCGGGCACGGGTGATGGTCATGGTGAAATCCTCACCCTCGAAGAGAGAGTCGATCTCAATGGTGGCCTGGGCACCGCTGGACAAGGTACGCTTGGCACGCTCGCAAGCCGTGCGGAGACGGCGGAGGGCGCGGGCATCGCCAGTGATGTCCTTCTTCGTTTGGCGGGTGAAATTTTTCTTGCAAAAATCAAGAAGGTTTGTGTCGAAGTCCTGTCCACCCAAGTGAGTATCACCAGCAGTGGCCTTGACGGTGAAGACGCCACCCTGGATGTTGAGCAGGGAGACATCGAAGGTACCACCACCAAGATCGTAGATCAGGACGTTGCGCTCCTTCTCGGACTTGTTGGAGCCGAGACCGTAGGCAATGGCGGCAGCAGTGGGCTCGTTGATGATACGGAGGACGTTGAGGCCAGAGATGGCACCGGCGTCCTTGGTGGCCTGGCGCTGGTTGTCGTTGAAGTAGGCGGGGACGGTGATGACGGCCTTCTCCACCTTCTTGCCGAGCTTGGTCTCAGCAATCTCCTTCATCTATTGGGTGTTAGCTGTGTCTAATAGATGTTTTAATAAAAAAAGACTTGCCTTGACAAGGACCATGGCGGAGATCTCCTGGGCGGAGAAGCTCTTCTTCTCGCCGAGGTACTCAACCTCGATCTTGGGGCTGCCGTTGTCGTCGATAATCGTAAAGGGCCACGACTCAATATCCTTCTTGACAGTTGGGTCATCGAACCGACGTCCGATCAGACGCCTATCTTTGTTAGACTGCTGATTCACGGGACGACAAAAAAAAAGTCCAGGAAAACTCACTTGGCGTCGAAGACGGTGTTCTTGGGGTTCATGGCGGCATTGTTCTTGGCAGCCTCACCGATCAGACGCTCCTTGTCGGTGAAGGAGACGAAAGAAGGGGTGGTGAAAGAACCCTGCTCGTTGGCAATGATCTCGACATTGGTACCCTCGTACGTGGCAACGCAGGAGTAGGTGGTACCTGGGAGAGCCCGTCAGCGTACTGTCTTTAGACATTGGGCGCATCCGCATCGTCGCTCTCCTCAATATTCGAAACCAAAATTGTGCTATTGCTGCCCCGAGCAGGAGTTGTGGCCCATCAGGGTCTGTATCACCCCGCAGCGAGCGGAACAAACTCGATCACTTTTGTGTGTCGGGAGCGACGCAGCGATGCTGGGATTTGGACTTACCCAAATCAATGCCAATGGCACCGTCGTACACTTCGTCCGCCATTTTGAATGTGTCTGAAGTATAAAGGGGGAAAAAGAAGAGGTAGTTGTTTGATGGAGGAGGGTGGAAGGGGAGGTTTCGAGGAGAAAAGGCGAAGGGTTTTCGGCCGTACGTGGGGTCGAGTTGAAAATTCACGCCGCCCACTATTTTTTTGGGACTCTGTGAGTGCCCAGTGTGAGTGTGGTCAGTTTTTTTCTCGCTCCCTGTGGAGCCGTGTGACTCGTGAGCCGCTAGGCCTAGTCGGGCACTGGCGCAGTTCCTTGCCTCACGCCTCACCGCCCAGCGACACTTCACATGTTCACCACGAAGCAATATATTATTGAATCTTGAGCCATTGATACGGACATCGAATCACTTTGCCATCATGCCTTTCTCTCGTGTGGCTCAAGGCCCAGACTCCGCGCCTCAGACGCCACCAGCGACCCAACCGTCTCCCTCAGCGATACACCCTTGGCCTCCCAGCCCAGATACTTGGGCGCGCGCGCCGTGATGCCCTTCGAGTTCCGACCCCAGGACGACGTCGTCTTGCCCTCCATCATCTCAACCTCTTTCTGCGACACCGACTTGGTCAGTGGCTCCGGCAGGAAGCCCTGCTTGCTCGCCTCCTCGGCTATCCACCTGGCCAGGTCGGACCACCTGTGCGAGCCGCCTCCCGCAAAGTAATACGCGTGCAGGCCAAATACCTCGGGGTTGCTGCGCTGGGCGGGCTCCTGTGTCGCAGCCGCGAGCTTGACGTACAGCTCGCCGAGGTCGTCCACGTGCACATTGTCCCACTCGGTCAGGCCCTTGCCGACGATGGGGGCAAACCCCTTTTGCAGGGTGCCGCGCGCCAGCTCGGGCGCCTGCAGGCTGCGGGTGTTCACCTTGCCAGAGCCCTCGCCGTAGATGGTGGGCGGGCAGAGCACGGCGATCCGCACGGCGTCCGAGTTAGCGGCTAGGACGATCTTGTCGACGTTGCGGTGGTCCGCCTCGTCGGGTAGGTTGAGGATCTTGTCAATGTCGTCAATGTCGTGATATGTCTGCTCGGGCAGGGGCGCTTCGCCAGCACGGCCCGCCTTGTGATCGTACCAGGTGAGAATGTTTGTGCCCGACGTATGAAGCCAGAATCCGGGCTTCTCGGCCGAGTGGCCAGCGGCAAGACCCTTGGCGATTGCGTGGGCGGCATTCACGTTGTCGGACGAGTCCGCAGTGTCTACATTATCAGTTAGTCGTGCTCGGTGTCTTTTGTCGTGTGGACAGGATACGTACGAACGACAATGTCGGCTTCTGCAGCGGCTTTTTCGATCACGTCCGAGTCGTTGAGGCTCCCGTAGACAAATGTGGTGTCTCGGTAAGCATCCTTGATCGGCTTCGCTCTCTCTTCGTTGCGCACCAGCAGGACGAAGCGGGCGTCTGGGAAGGCTTTGACCAGGTGAGCATGCGCAGTGCCTCCAATGTAGCCTGGAATCAGCCGTTAGCAGGTATTCATTTGCCATATATCGTTGCCGTACCTGTAGCGCCGGTGCTGTGCCCAATGTTAGTAGGCCCTTTGAGGGGAGGGGCAGGTCTCGCTCACAGAAAGATGCTAGGGGCCATTGTATTTCGAGAAGTCTTTGCAGGTTCCTCTGCTACGTTCAAGTTGAAACTTTGAATGCGAACGAGGTGTCAGATGGCTTCTCCCAGTTATTTATACCTTCAAGACTTATGTCGCATCTGCCGATTGTGGGGTGGCACGCAATGTCGACGCCATGACGTCCACAGCAAACCTTGGACGTCTATCCGTGTCTTCACTTATTCAGCTGGATTCGTTGGTATTACAAAGAAAATATGCTGCAATTCTAAGACATTCTCTTTCTGGGCGCAAGGGAACTCCATATACGTAACGTCTTGGACGCAAGTAGCGAATAGGCGGTGCCTTCGGAATCCAAATCCCGGGGGAGCAAGCTTCAACGTCTGTCGACTGCAAGGCAACTAAATAATTACCCACGAGCCTCGGCTTCTTCAGGACATGAGTAGATGTTATCCTTTTTTTGTATCCTTTCTATTAGAAAATACATCCCAACGCCTAGCAATGCTGCGCCGCCCGCGAATGCAAACACCCCCATAAACATGATGGAACCATTTCTCAACGAAAGCCTTCGCTCTCATACCTCTCCCACGCCCCGCCTCCCGTCTGCTCCCCCCTTTCCTCACAGAAGCGCTCCAGGTCAGCCTCCATGTCGCCGAGCCTGAGCTCCTCCCTCCCGACCCAGTGGTCAATCACATCGGCAATCATCCTGAACGCCTCGCCATGCCCACCCGCCTCGACACCACACATGACAAACAGAAAGGAGTGAATCATCTCGTGCAGGAACGTGGCGATCAGTAGCCGGCGGTTGTAGCGCGTGTCCCTGAGTATGGGGCTCGACAGCACGATGAGCGTCTCGTAGCCTCCCAGCAGCTGCGAGTGGCGCAGGGCCGTCGTGCCAACAATGTGCGACGTGTACTGCTCCGACGACGTCGTCGACCAGTCCCACGTGACCCGTCGACTCAGCCGGTTGGCGAAGAAGAGGGTGTTGGCCGTGTGGAAGAGGCTCTCCAGGGCCTTGTTGTCCAGCGGGAAGCTCGAGTGCGGGTGCTTGTTGTCCAGCGGGAAGCTCGAGTGCGGGTGGATGAGGGAGTGCAGGATCCGGGACGGCTGCGAGTCGCGACGGGAGAGCAGGGTGTGTTTCTGCACCATGTGCGCGGCCTGCAGCTCATTCAACAAGGGTCGCGTCGTGTCTCTGAGCGTGTCCGCGTTGGAGATGGACAGGCCAGAGGCGGTGCGCTCCATGGGCTGCGGACATGGTGAGCGGTAGCGTGGAGGGGTGCCCTCGCGTGGGATGGGCGGCGGCGTGCCCTCACGTATCACGAGGAAGGCGAGGTTCTTGATGGAGACGGAGTCGCCATTTGTGCGCAGCCGTTTTGGTGAGTCGGATCGCTGTTGCTGCTGCTGCTGTTCATGGTGGTAATAGTGATGGTGGTGGTGGTGGTGGTGGTGGTGGTGGTGGTGGCGGTGGACGACTCGTCTCTTTGCGCCATGGACGTATGTCTCCTCCTCAGCACTGTGATGACCCGAGTCGCAGGGGTGGTGGGCCTCGTCAGGCGGAGTGCCGCCGCCTACGACCCAAAAGGCCATGGAACATGCTCGATCTGGTCCCAGAGAGAATGTCAAGATGGGATGGAAAGACAAGAGGCCGCCGTTGGGCGACTGGACGTGGGCAGTATAAGCTCCAGTCTCTAGGCGGGTGCGGCGCGCACGGATGGGCAGGGATGGTGACTCGAAAGGCGGTAAACGTTCTGATGTCACGAGATGTAAGTCAGGTTGTAGGTCTTGCTCATTCGACCAGCGTGCTGGAATGAAATTATGTATAAAGTCTAGTAACTACAGAGGAAGGACGAACAAATAGAGGCGACATGGAGTCGCCGTAGCCAAGCCATGAGGAGAAGGAAGAGGGAGAGAGGTGGGTGTGCCACCGGGCTAGCTGCCCAGGCTAACCTTGCATGGCGACACTTGACGACAGCCTCACTCGCTAGACGTAGCCAAGGCACGGCACTGATTCGACCACGCATCTCTCACAGCAGGAATGGAATCAGCATCGGCAGTCTGCAGAGGACAGGACAGGAGGCTGGAGCAGGTGGGTTTCCGGTGTGCGCGCGCGCCAATCCAGCGGTGTACGTACTATCATCATGAGGTACAGGGAGGTGCCCGTGCAGCATGCACTGCGCTGCTGGTCTCGTGTCGTGTGTTTGTTGGCAGGGCGAGACGGGCGTGGTCTCTTGTCCACGATAATAAATGGAGCCCGGATCGTCGACGCCAAAAGTTGAGAGACCAGACATTCGACGGGAAAGTTCCTCGGGCAATCTCCCTTGTCCGCGCGCGCGCTCATCAATCGACCCTCTGTCGATCGACCAGACAGGTGGCAATGCCTTGCCATCAGAGTCGGTCGTGGGGTCCGACTTTCGGCACACCTTGTCGCAGGCGTACTTTTAACGTTCGTACTTGTTCATACGATGCAGTACGGAGTATGGAGCCGCATTTGATCGCCTACTAGTCAGTGGTGGTCGCGGGTGGGTCGTTGTCAATTGGCGATGGCTTCATTGGCTTTGAATACTGCATCGCTTTCGCTCATTGGCCGCCTCATGTTCAAGCACAGCATCCACAGTCTACTTACCTTATGTACTCCGTACCGACTTGATTAACACATATCATATACCGATCCATATCATTTTGTTTTCGCGTTGCTTCATTATCCCGCTGATGGACTCCTGCTCCCAAGTCAAATGGTCCAAACCGCTCCGTCGCTGTGTGTAAAGTCAATCATGTCCCTCCTCGCCTGGCCTGCTACTCAAATTTCACCATGTCCCAAACGATTCGGCACTACCCAAGCCGAGAGCACTCATGAACCGAGCGTCGTTGGCGTCTCGCCGAAGTGCCTCGCCCATCTTCTCCCTGAAAGCGTGATCGGCTTCGTCCCCCTCCGTGGCGCTTTCTGGCAGAAAGTCTCGCTCGGTGTACAGCGGGTTTGACGTGAAGCTGACCAGGCCCAGCCTTTCGCCGGTCCAGAATAGTATGTTGTCGTCGTTTGGTAGTGACTTGCCACCCTCTGTCCTCGTGGAGATGATCTTCCGGGCCACATCGTCCAGCTGGGGCTCGGCTGCGAACAGCGTGCCCTTGCCTTCCGTCTCGCTGTGCCCGATGCGCAGGCGGCGGCACTCGGTCGTGCCGTCTCTCTCGAACCACTTGAGCAGCCCTGACCCGTCAGAGAAGACAATCCTCGTCCCCTGCGTCGCAACCGAGAGGATGGGCGCCGACGCCGCCGTGTAGCGATTCTTCACCGTCGAATTCTGTTGCAGAGTCGCGCCGCTGTCAGAGCCTGGTGCCCCGGGCGACATGCCGTATATCTCCAGACTGCCCTTGTTCTGGTATCCGCCGCCCGCAATCAGGGTGCTTCCCTCCTGTTCCTTCATGTCGGCCACCACCTCACTGCTCGCCTCAGCGCCTCGCCTAACTTCATGGTGCAGGGCTGAGAAGTGGTAGGGCAGGGCTGCCAAACTGTTGATGCTTGCGCCAGACCAGTTCGACCTCAACACCGGAAACTTGCGTAGGTCGTAGTGCAGTATGCTCCTGAATCGTCCCGACACAAAGACGTCATCGGTCAGGACGTTGCCGCGTGGGATGAAGATGGCACTCGTCGGTGTCGGCTGCGAAAGGGACGCATATGGCGGTAATGGATTCGGGTCAAAGATCCCCGATCCTGGTCCTGGTGCGCGGAAATCGTGTAAATGCACGCCCAGGGACGTCCCAACAACCAGAGGCTTGTTCGGATGCACCGCCGACATTGTGTTGATGGAGAACTCAAACTTGTTGCGGCTCACGACCTGTAACCGGTTCAGATCCACCTCAATCAGGTCTGCGCGCGGGTTAGCAAGACGTCGTCCATTCGAGTCGAGGTCTGCCTACTGTTCTGTATCGCAATGTACGCCTTGTGATGCGTGTTGTCGACCACGACCCTATCAGCGATGCTCGAGTCGATCTTTTCAGCCCGAGCTCGTCCGCATTGACCCGCCGTCGACTCTGAGTAGAGCATCTCCGGCGCACCCCGGGCCAGGATCGCCCCTTTCCGACCTCGGGTCCCGTTGATGTCCCACAGGCACACCGAGCCATCGTCCAGAGGCGCGATGGCCAGCTTTGTCCCGATCCCGTCCGACCCGTCATGCGGCGCGTACATGGCTACTCCACGGGCCTCGATAATGGCCTCGAGACCTCGGTCGCTCAGGCGCGGTGCCTCGAGCCAGTTGACACTCGCTGGACCCTCTCGTTGTATGTATTCATTGTACCAGGACAGTTTTTCGCCAGGGTAGGAAGGGTCCCAGTTCGCCATATCCTGTAAGCGCTGGGCTCGCTGCGTCTGTTGCCGTTGCGCATCCGCGGGAAGCCCGTTGGCGGGCTCGTCCTCGTCGTCTGCGTGCGCATCGTCGTCGGGCGCATAGGCCCTCGCCGCCGCCGCGCGACGGTTCGCCAGCTGTTGGCGCCATGCCGACTCGTCAAAGCAGAGCGTCTTCCACAAATCGTCGTCGAGGCAGATTTGCTGCAGAGACCGCGAGACCTGCTGCAGCTTGGCTAGTTCGTATGGTTCGAGGTCTTCACACAGTGTCAGCTATGGTTCATATACAGTGTGTCCGATGCGGTTTCGTACAGCGAATGATTTGTAGGACTAATTCGTCCGGCAGAGCCTCAAAGGCAGATGGCGCGGTTGAGTGCACGGCCATGGCGTATCGCCCGGCGACAGTTGCAATGGTAACCTACCAAAAAGAAGCCCGTCGACGTCGTTCCACGGGCATGGTACAGGGCAAAGAAAACAGAGCCGATCTACTCTTTCCAACAGCCCCCGACGTGCAGAGCAATCTGTCAGCGGGCAGGCATTGATGAACTGATCACTGATTCTTTATAGGTCGCCCAAGGCCAAGGGACTGTTGAAGGAACTGGGACGCGGTGGGGTCAACTTGACCAAAGTGCATCTGCAGGGTTCCGCCCACCTCCACTGTCCAGGTCCTAACCGTCCTACGCCTCAGTGTTTCGCAGGCTTGAAACGATGGATACTTCCCCTCAGCGGATCCGGTCTGTCGTCTCTGTGTTGGTGGGGTTGATAGAATTGTGTCTGGACTCTGGACGAGGCAGCTGTGTAACGAGTGATAGTGATGAAAGCAGTTGGTGTATCATAAAGCAAAGCGTCAGCCCGAGATCTCATGACCTGAACTGCACGCTGCAGCAGAGGACAAGGTGCGTGAGACGCTGGAGTGCATGTGTTTAGAAGACGGTGATCAATTTCAGGTGCTCTTTGGATGCTTTTGATATCAAATCGATGGAGCCTGGGCCTGGGACGTTGAAGGTGCGGAGCCCAATCGCCGATCGGTCTATCCGCACTCGGCGCTGTGGGGCTGCTCAGGCACACGCCAACTGATTGGTCAGCTTCTGAGGGTCTCCGATAGCGCGCCAACATTCTGAGAACTTCACATGTCTTGTTTGGCTTGCCTTCAAGCATACATTGATCATATCTAAACCGCGGACTCCTCAGATAGCAGTGGCACTGTACGCTATATAACTCCCTCGGAAACGATACTTTAGAGCGAACGATCATGTTGTTATTATTTGCGCTCCTCGATACGTGATGCTCAATGGTGAACAGCAACCGTGTTTGTCAACAAGCAAACACACAACCTCCCGTTAATCTAGGGACTTCGGCCCGGAAGCTATGTTTCTGAGCCAAGGGTCGACATGAAGGTCCCTCGACGACTTCAAGACTCAAGACTTCTCAGACGGTGCTCACCTTCGATCGCCACGTTGGCTCACACCAGGTCAGGTGACCATGGATAGGAGCAGGTAAAGACAACAACATCAGACGAAAGTCCTCAGCCCGGGACAGGGCAAGTGCTATACTCCATCGCTTGCACAAATTTTCTCAGTTGGCCACAGAGACTGCTGGAACCCCGCCAACATTCAGTCGCGTCTTCACGTCCAGTCCTCTTTCACACAAACAAACACCAGCTGCCTGTCTATCTTCACATCCACATTCTCCTAAGTCACGAGACTCGCAAGCTTTGCTTTCAAGTCTGTGAACTCCTGACCCGCTGAAAGTATCATGAGCCGCGTCGAAGCGGTGAGTACAAAGTCCAAGGCAATTCATATCTCTCACTGACTATGCCACAAGCCCTCCTCTCACCAACTGAAGCCGCACGCCAGTACTGAAGAGGGCAGAGCTGGGCATGTTACCCAATCGCTCCATATGGAGTTCGATCGCGGGCTGCCAGACCGGCCTCGTTCCATCGGCCCAGATTTCAGCAGCAGGCCGAGATTCAACTCGCGTCTGGACGACGACACTGCTGCATCCGAGTGGGAGACGGTCGCAGGCGGCGACGAGCAAGAGGACTGCCCACCGGACCTGGACTGGCAGCTGAAACGCAAAAGAAACTTTGAACTCGTCTCCCACGCGCAGGATATTCTCCATCCGCCTCTACCAGGCAGCACGTCTATCACGCGCCGATATACTGTGTTGGGACCGCCTCACAGTGCCTTGGCAAAGCTGCCCACGGGAAGATCGAGGGCACGACTGCCTGGGTCCGCGTCTTTCCGCTCATGTTCGAGCTTCGATACCGAAAGTTTCCAGGACGCAGCCACTGATTCTCGATACACGTCTCCCAATGTCTTGCCATTGAGGCCTTTGCGACGTTTTGAGAAGCCGGCGCCGTCGAACACGGACACAGATGCCTGCAGTGACCTCAAGAACTCTGGCAGAATATCAGACAGCATCGGCGGCAACCCTTTCGAATATGACGCCGTTCTGTACTCGACCTTCTTGCAGCCAGCAGCCGAGAAAGAGGTGAGCGGTGCCCTCTGTCGAGTCGGTGATAGCTATCCAGAGCGTCCTTCGCTGTCAGCACCGCAAGATAGCGTCCAGCTTCCTGCGGGGCATCGCCAGCACCGATTTGGTTCACAGTTCTACGACCCAGCAGCGATTCGCTCAACTTAGAAGGTTGACGACGACGTCAAAGTGCCCGTGAACACAAAACCATCAACGCCCTCGGACCCCGAGCCACAGCTGTCTCGTCGCTTGAGCGGAGACATCGCGACCCTGATCCGCTCTACGACTGATCACGCCACGGATGGTGACTGGCAGACGGTTACGGAAGATTGCAGGTTCGGTCCGTCAACGGGATTGAACGAGCTCGGCATCAAAGGCACAGGAAGCAGCCTGGCTGACCTGTCAGACGGCGCCTCCTTTCAATACAACCACTTCCCGAACAGATCAACTGACCGCATCATCCAGCACCCACAGCCCCATGGTGCCAATGCGCGTTATCACGTCCGCACGGACAAGCACACAAATCGACCGGTCCTGCTTCCTGACTTCAGGAACAATGATGTGCCAACCTTGGGACCTGTACAGAACTCGTCGCGCAAGACTTCGCACCCTGCTTCTCGCGCAGCCGCTGCCATTCGCCGCTTCTCAAACTCACTGCGTCGTGAGCTCACGCCAGAGCCGATGTCATTGAGCCCCAAGTATATCGAAATGGACAGCTTTGGCCACGGTCATGCCAGTGTGGAATCAGAACACGAGGTCGGCCGGGTTGAAGAGAATCAGACACCTGCCGAGAGGTTTCGATTCAGGGGGTCTCAAATCATTGAGAGCTTCGCCCGTGACCCGTCCACGCCAAACTTCATCGTGTTCGACAAAGCCTGCTACGGGACTGCCACTGCTGGGGAGACTCACGCATGTGGCCAGTCACATGTACTCCATGACGAGTTTACCGCTGGCATTCCTCGTTTGCCATTCCCTCTCGTCAGCTTGCCTGAAGCTGCATTGCTGCAGCACTTTCGCAGGGAACGTGGCGAGGAAGACCACACAGAGAATGGCAGCTCGTTTTCGGCCAAGGCCAGGTCGGTCACTCTTAGTTCTGTGACTTCGTCACAGCCCTTGACGCCTCAGTCTCCGTTCTTTGATTATCGCGAGGCATTGAAGCGAGGTTCACTGCCGTTCCCTGCGACGACGTTGCCGCCATCGCGGTTGCGTGGTACCAGTCGATGGACTGCCTGTGAGTGCATTTTGGCCCGGAACTTCCCTTTGAGCTTGACTGACGGATGTGCAGCAACTGACGATGGCACTGAGATGCCAGAACTGTCGCCCGCCCACTTCAGAACTGTGAACACAAATCCCGCAGCGCCCCATACGCCATGCAAGCCGTGGTACAAAAGCGGTTCAAGCGACAGCTGGGCCATCTTGGGTGACAGGTTGCCCATCTTTCACTCTCGCCCCATGGCGGCCGGGGACAAAATGGTCTATGACCATGCCGCAACCGATCACAGGCCAATATTCCATCATGCTGACGCCATGAGCACGGCAAGGGAGCATATGATGCTGCGTCGTCGATCCTCCACCAAGGACCAGCGTCGTGAGGAAGCCATCTTCCTCGGTGTAGTTGCGCTAACAGCCTGCTTTCCGCCCATCGGTATCCTGGCCTTAAACGGTCAATTCGACGCGACGATTTCGTGGTTCACACACGGTGAGCTCCATGAGTTCTCTCGTGCCCAGAGACGCGTCCTCCAGCAGCAGCTTCTAGCCGTGTGCTTGATATACCCGACACTCGTCATCTCTCTCTCCGTCTACTTTGCTGTGTCCAAGTGAAATATCTTTGGGGAGTGCAGTTTCTACTGTCTGGGCGGGTTGGTTCGGGGTGCTCGGATGCCAGTGTCATGGTCGAGCGAGGCGCGAGAAGGTAGTTGAAGAAAAGGGAATGGTGTAATATTTGGTCGGACATGATTGTATCCATCACCATGAAGGGGAAGCTTGTTGGCTGAACTGGGACACTGGTCCCATTTTGTCACTTCTGATCTACCTTAGATACTGAATTACGCATAACGTAGTGACTCTACTTCTGAGATCCTGAACCGTTGCCCGAAGACTGACCGCTTGAGGGTGTGTACACGGAGCCACCTTGACCATCGTTGTAGTAGGTCGAACCGTTCGGGTTGGAATAGTAATAAGACCCATCACTAGGAGGTCTCAATGCCCGTGAAGAGAGGAGCGGATGCTCATCGACTTACGTGTTGGAGTAGTGGTACGAGTTGGAGTTGGAGGCGCTGGAACCGTAGTCACGAGCGCAGTAGTGGTTGCCCTGGCACCGGTCAGCATGTGATGGCTCGCGTACTATGTATAGCTACAGCTAGCTGTACTTGCCTGGCTGTTGGTGCCGGAGCTCTTGTATTCGTAGCCGTCAGGCATGGTGAAGTGGTGGCTTTTGGACGTAGGCGGAAGTGTTGCTCTGTGAGGAGATTGTTAAGAAGTGGAATGAAGGGCGAAGATCCAGGTGAGAAATCACCTTACTTTAAGTACTTCTTACACTGTTACACAGAGTGAGGGCATGTAATTACCAGCCTTCCCGAGCGGGGTGGACATGAGGAGTCTTTGGTCTGGTACTAATTAGCGCGCTTTAAGGTTTGCCGAGATGAGGCTGGGAGATAACGATGGCGGCCAGCCGCGAGTCACGGACGCGGGCAAATACAGATCACGTAAACATCAGGAACAGGCATCGTGTGGAGAAAAGGATCAATGCTCGATCATGACATTATCAATTCACACCGACATCCACTGGAGTCTCCCATATATAAAGTGTGACGCCAAGCCATGCTGCCACCAGGGCCTCCCCGACCCGGGCGAATGAAGTATACGGCTATCAACAAGAAAACGCCAACCGCATGCGTACATGTATGCCAAAAAATAACGACCGTCGTTGGGGTTGGTCAGTGACACCGGCAGGCCAGTGAAACTACCCCCAACAGACGTGGCCAACGGTGAAAATAAACAAGAAAGATATAACACTCCTCGGCCTCTGACGAGGAAGCAAGCGGCGAAGCAAAAGGATGTTCGTGGCTGTATGCACGGTTCCGTGGGTATCGAGTGTTGCGCCTTGCCCGGCGGCCTATGCGCGGACATGGGGCCCGTGTTGTAAAGGAACAATGCTTGCGGAAAGCACAAATGCAATGCGAATCAAATTACCACGTCGTGGTACGGCTCCAGCGTGATGGTGGAGCGACTCGGCGCCCCAACTTAGTAGGCGTAGTAGTCGTTGATCTTGAGATCCTCGCCTCGGCCATCTTGAGGCAGGGAGTAGCCGTTGGCATCACCCTGGTTCATGACGCCATAACCCAAACCACTGTGGCCTCTACTGGCGTGAGGCTCCACGGACTCCCTAGGCGAGCTGATCAGGCTATAGGCAGATGACCCAGCGCTGGCGCGCATCCCGCCCAGCCCATTGAAAGCAGGAGGCGGAGGGAGGGTTTCTTGCGTGTTGGGCAAGTGGGTGGTGCTGCGTGGCGACAAGAACCCGCTCGATTCGACGGGGGTGATGCTGCCATCATCATCCTCCTCGAGTTCTTCGGCGGGTGTCGGCCGAATCTTGGCGGCACGGAGCAGCTCGACAACGGCGGCAGTCAGGTGGGACGCCGCCGCGTCGAGTAGCGATACGGGCGACAGACCAGCACCCGCGGCATGGTTTTTCGAAGACGTGATGACGTGGTTCGCGGCAGCTGACACCTTGGCCTTGAGCTTCGGCTTCTGCTGCGCAAACGCCTCGTCGGTGGGTGTGCCTTCGTCCACGTCCTTTGTAATGCGTCGCACGTTGACCACAACCGACTTCATAGCATCAATCACCAGCTCAGGGCGGTCAAGACGTGCCTTCTGCAGGAGCTCGTCCACCGCAATCTGGAACTTGGTGACGTGAACGTCCTTGATAAGACCGTTCTCTTGCGTGAATCCTCCGTGGTTGACCATGTGGCCGGCTTCCTGATCAACGGTAAGACCAATCGAGGGAGCCCGCATGCTGCGCAGCTGCGTCTTGGTACGCGTGTACTGGCCCTTCCATTGCACGACCTCGGTCTCCAGCTGGGCCACCGTTTGCTCAAGCTCCAGTTGCTTCTCGTATGTTGACGTGCTCTGCTGTGACAACGTGCGCATCTCTTGCATGAATGCCTGAGCCTCTCTCCGCACCTCGTCGGTCACCCGTCGCTGTTCCAGCAGCGACTCTCGAAGTGTCCTGTTCTCTTCCTGCAGCTCCATGTCCGCATTGCCGACATCACCCCTTTGCTGCAGCTCCGCCAGTTGGTCGCGCAGTTGGCGTGTTTCCTCGTCGTGGTCCTGGCGCAGTCGGCCAATCTCTTGCCTCATCTCCTCGTCGTGATCTTGACGCATCCGTTCGAGCTCTTGCCTCATCTCATCATTCAAAGCCTGCGCATCTTTCACCTGGCTTTCCAAAGCGGTCCGAGCATCTTCCCATTCCTTCTTCTGCTCGTTTGAGACTTGTTGGTCCAATGCTGTGCGAAGCTCGTCCTCTTTCTGTTTCATGGCACCTTCCATGCCTTCCAGTTTGTCGCGTAACTCTTTGACTTGTGATTGGTACTCATCAATGAGCTTCTTGTCAGTCTGCAAAAGTTCAGTTAGTGTTGATCCCGTGGTTCCAAGCTTGTGACGCACCTCTGAGCCACCCGCACTTCGCTTGCTCTCTCTGTTACTGCCGAGGGCGTAGGAGTCACCATCGTCATCATCATCCTCGACCATTGTGCTCTTGTTAGGCACAATTGTGTTGTTCTGATTTAGCTGCTTCTGCATGGGGTGTCCGAAGCCTTGCGGCCCATTCGGACCAGGTGATGGTGGAACTCCATAGTTGTCGGATGGCGGCGGGCCACGCATTGACCCAGCATCAGAAGGCTGTCGCATGCGAGGGCCTCGTGGGCCCTGACCTGGTCCTTGCCCTTGGCCTGGGCCTGGGCCCGGGCCCGGGCCAGGTCCGTAGCCACTCGATGGGGTTCCAGTCCTGCCAGGAGGTCCACGCATGGATATTGAGCTGACCCCTCGCGGGATCTCTGCGCCAACGAATCGAGGAAATCGTCTCTCGAGCTCGTGAAAGACATCTGTAGCGAGGTCCCTGAATCGAGGGGGACCTAAGGAAGACAGTCGTTGGCGCGCTTGATTTCGCTTGGGATGAAAGGTCTTTTCGGGCAAAAGAAACGAGGGAGGCGCGTTCGGGGCGTTGGGTGGTGCTCTGGCAGCGCTCTGCCGACGGATGAGCTCGTCGTAGACGTCGGTACTGAGCTCGTAGAACTGCACGGACGAAAGGCGCAGCAGCTTATCGCGAGCTTTGTTCGGTGGGTTCTTCCCATTGGGATCGCGTCCGTGCAAGAAAAGCTTTAAAGCATGGTAATGATTCTGCAAGACAGAATCATCTATCTGATCGGCGCGAGTACTGTTCCGGGCGCTGTCGCTGCGAGCATACGTGCTGGAGCGGCCAACCGAAGCTGGAGGCGACGGCCCGCCCCCATTGCTCCTAGGGCCAGAGGGGAAGCCATTCATGCTCATGACGGGGTTCGGGTTCGAGCCACTTGAAAGCGGTGGCGAGGCGAGGTTCCCGCGACCGGTGGGAAGGGAGTCTTCGGGTGCGTACTTGTTGCTCGGCCATTCGCCGCCGCCTAGAGAGCTGGGGGACAAGGGTCCATTCCGACCAGCGACGCTCATAATCTCGGGGGTGGGCGTAACGTCGAGTTTCGAGGGTCAGACGTCAATGAGGCATGAAAGCTCGACTGATGATGCGTTGGAAAGGGCGGGTTGGCAGTTGGAGTTGCTGCGCAACGAGGAAGATAGATGTCTTGGAGATTGAGCGCCAGGCGGTGGCTCGAGAGGTAAAGCGACAGATGGTGCGACCGGTAGCCCTGGCGATACTTGCGGCCCGTGTTGTCTCTCGTTATCGGTGCGTGTTGCGTGACGTGTAGCAACGCTCTTCTCGCTGTCGGTGATTGATCCCAGGTTGGCAACTCGGATGGTGTGTATCGGGGTTCAAGTCCAGCCCGACAATAGACGCACCGTTGCGAAAGGGTACAGTTCCAGCAGCAGCAACTCGCGAGGTCCTGGAACTTGGTCTTGGGCAAGTTTCCCCTTATCGACAGTGTGTGGCGAGGAGCAAGTCAATCGAGCGCGGTCAATGTCCAATCCGAAAGAAGACCATTGGGATCAAGTTGGAGTTCCTGATGGCGGTGCTGTGGGTGGTACTGTAGGAGGCCTGGCTGGCTGGAGCTATCTCCACAATTGCTGGCGCAATCAAATCATCGACACATTCAGGGCTGCATCACTTGTGCGGCTCCTGCTGCTCCGCCCTCTGTCTTAATTTGTCGACCTACTGCCCACCGCTGTGCATATAGTGGTTGCGCATGTTAGAAGGAGGCCGGGCGCTTGATCTTCAAATGCTCCTTCCTCCGGAAATTCAAGCCTCACGCCTCAAGTAACCAGACTGCTTTCTCTGCTGCTTCTGATCGATGCTTTCTTCCACACAATGATCTCTGATCATAACTCCCCTTCACTACCCATTTCTGCGACTCCAAAGGCACGGCTTCTGTAGCAATTGCGTCTCAACCTCGAAACTTCGAAAGGGGTCGCTCGCGCTGAGTGGACCCCTGGAGATCTTGAGGCACGCGGAAATGAGCATTCCCCCTTCACTTCCCCAGCTTCCCAACCCCCTGCGGTCTTTGGAAATCCAGAACACCCAAGATCTGATTTCCACTACAAGTGCTCACGGCGTGCGCGTCCTTGACCAAATGCGTGAGTCTTCTGCGAATTGTCGCCCTGGAAAAGGGGTCTCTCTAATTAATTATGCGGCGCCTGCAATCACCGACATTGTGACGTGCTGGCTCAAGCCACAAGCGCTGCACTAGCCACCTGCCCCCTGAGTCCGGCTCCTACAAGCACAAAACTAAAGCCAATGCCGGCCCGTGATTTGTGCATCGCAGTGGCTTGGGCGAGATCCCCCTGACGCTAGATGAACCTCCACTTCTGGCCAGCCAGCCACTCACGGGCCCCCGTTGGAGATTCACACAAGCCCACCATAGAGCCCGAGTGAGGCGGGATATCCAGTCGTTCGTTGCTTCGCGCGCGACGTTCGGTTGGCGTTCGCACGATTCCTTGGCCTTTTTAAGCTCACATATACGAGCTCAGGGTGCCGCACATGATCTTCACTGCCGCAACTGGAATGTATTGAGCAATCAGAGCAACTCATGGTCAATTTACCCAAGTACAGCAACTGATGTGGGAGTTGCGGATCAATAGACCCGCTTCATCTGGCGGCGCCAGGCTGTGCACTGAAGACAGCACGCTGCAAGTGAGATTGTCGTCCTTGCATATATATGGTTTTCTTTATTAGTGCACGGTCTCAAATGTGACTTGGGTTGCGCACGCGGCACGCCGATGCAACTCGCAAGCAGGTGATGGCTGTACAGTGTAGATCTCTTGGCGCGAACGTGTGGTCTAACAGTAATTAATCTTAAGTTCATGAGTCATGACACATGTTCTGTCACCAGTCACCTGTGACACAGATCGGAAGCAAGCGAGATCAGCGATAGGGATCGGTAACTAGTATTATAGCTGCAAGATGGGTTCGTTCCCGTATATATTCCGTAGACCAGGCCAAAAAGCTCCCAACGCCGCAAACATGCCATCCAGGGGGGTATCTCAATGCTCCATCAAAACCAAGCCAATGTCCAGATGGCAGGCAAATTGGGCCATCTTTCCTGCCACGCGCCCAGGATCTCGGGGACCCTCTCGTCAAACCCTGATCGGCTCGCGGCGCCCGCCGCATCAAACGCAGACGCGCCGATGGCATCTCGCTCTTCCTGCGCGGCTTTGTTCAGCGATGTTGCCAGGTCCAGAATGCCCTGACCGCCAACAGCAGCCTCCTCGTGGTTATCCTTGATGTCTACGTTGATGACATGCACGGGTCGGTTCAACGGAGAGCCGCGGTTCAGCAGGTCATCTATGACGGCGTCCCAGCAGCGCTCCTCACAGGTGATGACAACATCTACTAGCCCAGCCTCGGTGCCCTCGCTGCCACGGTCCTTGGCATGCTGGAGGCGAGGGATGCCGACCTGCCAGTCTTGCCACCGCTCCGGGCCCCATTTGACGTCCCGGTTGCGGCCCAGCATGTTCAGAATGCCGTTGTTCTTATAGAGCCTAGGGTCTTTCGACTCGAGTTCTTTGTACATGCTATCGTACGACGTCTTGTTGAACTGGTAGACATTCGGCTGGGTGATGGTTGGGCCTGGAAGTCGGACAAGGGATCCGGTACCGAAAGATATCACGGGAAATTTTGCTTCTGACAGGCGAAGGTGTGCCTCCATGGAGCTGGCACCATTAGCGGAGATGATGGTCATTGTGACATTGTTTCTTACCGGTTGTTGTTACTGGCACAAACGGTGCAAAATTTCAATTTGTACTCGCTTTCAGGAGCGGCGGCCCCATTCTGAGGGTGGGAATTTGCGGTCCCATTTGATGTGTCCATGATGAGCGTTTAGCCTGGAGACCGTTTGTGAACAGCGTAACGATTGCAGACTGTGCATCATCTGCTCAATTGCCCTGAAACTGGTCAGCTTGGATCTGAATAGATGGCTTCAGGACAAGTCCAGTGGGGTAATTCAATCAGTTAAAAAGCGTATAAAATGGTCTCAACAGTGTGTTTCAGACAGCTCCAATATGGTATTCATCATGAAAATGGAAACAAGGCAAGCGACGTGTATGGAAGAGGTTTCTTACCTAATGTGTAGAGGTGCGCTGTTGTTTACTGTCTGGTCGTCATGTTGAGGTTGAGAGATCGTGTGCAGACGTCGAAGAAGTTGTGAGCTTAGCTGCCATATTCAGGCCGGCACAACGTCGGCCCGGCAGATCACGCTTCAAGGTCTGGAGTACGTACTTACTTGCACCCAACTGGGATGCAAAGCAGAGTCCAATGCTCGTGAAATGTCATGATTGAGCACATTTTGCCTTGTACAGATCCCGGTTCAAGAGTCTTTTCAGCTTGCAACATCATCTCAAAGCTCGTGTAATTATACGCTGCGCTTACGAAATGGACACGTGACCCTGCCGATGCTGGCAGGCTCATGCCGCTGCGCTACGATTGGCTGTTGATTGGCTGCATGACCTGAAACGACGAGGCCGAAGTGAAGTCCAACCAATTTAATATGAAAAAAATGCAGTCTGCAGGTATGGTCTCTAAAAATAGTGCCAGCAGTGACCAATACCACAGTTCGCTTGCAAGTAATGGTGATATCGAACCCTTGGGCAACATGAGCATCATGAGCGGGGTGCTACAAGTACTATTGTAGAGAGTCTGGCTCTGCAAAAGACATCTGCTACAAGCCTTGCGGATTCCATGAAGTTACCATGGTCGATGATGACCTATTCCGTGCTACGGTCTAGCCAAGTACAATCCTTCCTCATCTCCGGACCGACCTCATTTCTCGAGGCCCACTGCCTAATAAGCTCGGGTAGCTGAAAAGCGATTCTGGAACAGAGTTGAAAGGCAATTGCGCTGGCGCTCGTTCTGTAGCACGCTACATGAAGTCACGGCACCACGCGCGATGAGATTCCACGTGGCAACTGAAGCTCAGTTCAATTGTCAAATATCAGATGTAGGTTAGTGTAAGCCATCCTCGAGCTGCATGCGTGGTTTGTCGAAGCGAGCTGTGCCGCGCAGCAGCCTAAAAACGATTGCCTGGTTCTCAAACTTGAGGAGGTGCCACAGGCGCATAAGATACCTAGGTCATAATACCCAAGTGATGCTATAATGGCGATGGTGATCTGTGATCTGTGATGTGATCTGGCTGGGCAAGTTCGCAAATGTGCTAGGCTAAATGCCTTGTATACATTCCCAATGAGATATATGCCCAGGTGCTACTGCAGCCTGCTGGTCGTCGCAGAATGCAGTCTAACGTAATTGCGTCGTTGGATGCGAGTAACCAGGAGCTGAGGGCAGGAAGGATGGATGGTCGGCGCTTCTGACCTTTTGGTACCTCCAGTACAGTAAGGTACAGTACAGACAGACAGCCTCCACCTTCGGCTCCAACTTGCCCTCAACTCAACCCTCCCTCTATTACTACACGTTCCATTCCTCCCATTCGCCTCGTCACGGTGACACTCATTCAGTGTGCGGACACACAAGTTTTGAGGCACATTGTCTTACTCACACTACCGCAACCCCCGCTGCTGCGCATCTTCAGGCCCGTCGAAGTCTACGCCACAGCCCTCCCGTCGCCGCTACGCTGCGATCCAAGTCGACACCGCGCTTGGAAACACCACGCTTGAAGCCCGCTGTCAGGCTTTCGGGGTCCTTGCTGGACCAGGCCCCTTTCGGGCGACTCGACATACACGGCGATTGCGTCTATATACTGTTGAGCCTCACGGCCCACGTTGTGCGACGGGCGAGCGCGGGGTCTCGACGACTTCGATTCCGGCTGGAGACATCAGCACCACACGGGCCGCAGGCGGCCTCTGCCATCGCATCACGAATACACCGGTCTAGTCTGATAGTGCTCGATACACAGAAACCGAAGAGGGCCTACAAGGGAGCGCAGCTGCAGCCATGGCCTCGGATGCGCCCACCGCCACATCCCCGCGGGACGAGCTTGCCTCGCAATCGAACCAAGACTCTCTCACTCTGCCCCCGCAGATGACCTCGCCAAACCCTCAGCAACCGACACGCGCAAGGCCACTGTCGCACGCCTCAAGAAGCCGCTTGTCGCAATACTCAGCCAGCTCTATACCCACGAGGTCGCGACCGGTATCGCACGCCTTTCCCATATTCACCTCGAGCCTGCCATACTCGTTGGTCCGCGACTTTGCGTACGGGTCGGCGCACCCGTTGCACTATGGCCCGCCTCCAGAGCCGTCCGGACCACCCTCGGGCATGACCACGCCTGCCAGCGAGCATAAGCGATTTTCGGACCCGCCAATGGCTTGGGACTCGTGGACGGTGGATGGCTTCAACAGGGGTTACAACATTCCCCCCATTCAGCCGGGTGACGGGCCGCCATACAGCGAGGACGAGGACCTGCAGAGTCCTGTGGTATCGACTCGCCATCGCAAGCATAAATCGACCTCGGCAGCCCTGGGTGGTCCCGCATACGGTACGGAGAGGGGATACTATATCGACTCGGGCCCCGACGGGAGTGAGAGGTACTATGTCGATCATGGTTTGGGAGGGGAGTATGTCAGCTACCCACCGGGGGAGGTGCGGCACAGTCGAGCGTATCATTTCGCCCAGCAACCCCAGCATGGCCATGAAGCGCCCGAGGGTGACAGCTCGCCACCTTCGCCGGCATTTGATGGGCCAGACGAGTCGAGATACTCGCGGGATTACCAGTTCACGATAACGTCGCCTGACGAAGAATTCCATGGTAAAGCTGTGGCGCTCTTTGATTTCGCGCGGGAGAATGAAAATGAACTGCCTCTGGTGGAGGGCCAGGTCATCTGGGTATCATATCGCCACGGACAAGGCTGGCTCGTTGCCGAGGACCCCAAGACCCAGGAGAGTGGACTGGTGCCTGAGGAGTACGTGCGTCTCCTGCGGGACATTGAAGGAGGTATGACAAGCTTGACCGGGCAGGTTGGCGACGGGTTTGCTTCGCCCAACGATGTGCCTACGCCTACCCAGCCTGAGCACACTGGGCAATGCCCACCACCACCCGCACAGGGCAATGGAGCGAATGGGTACCATCAGCCTGTGCTTTCCGTCTTCTCGACGTCGAGCAAGGATCTGAACCCCTACCCGACCGGGCAACTCGGGCTGTCTACCGGACAAGCACCGCCTCAGGTGGTTCACTATCATGGACAAAGGGGCGGCAGCCGAGCGAACACGCCGACTCTGGCCCAGCATGAGGGACTGGGACGGCGCGAAAGCCAGGACACGGGCAGTGGGCAGGATGCTGCCGCGCCGTTGACGGAACGGTGACATGCATACATGCAGAGGAGCAGGGTGTGGAGCCCTCAAAGCTACGAATATCACGAGCCGCCCACGATTCACGCAGCCTGATGCCGACATCTGCCGCTTGCGCGCTTGCGAGGATGCGAGGATGCCTACTTTCTCGCACCGCCCCAGAGAGTATTTACGATCTTGGCCGGATGCTTACGTTGCCAGAGTATGGCGTCCAGGGGGGGAGCCACATGGCAGGATGCAAGCCATGTGCATGGGGAGGGTTGGAAATCGTTGAATATAATGAGACGTGTCGCGTACGTAGATGGTACATCTATTATAGACATGTGAGAAGGAACAAAGACGATTTGATGTTTGAACACTCTGCCTTGCAAATACGTATGCCGATATCAGTCATATCACTGATCAGACCATCGTGCAATCGGTGGACTCTGGCGGACCCACGTGATTTTGCAAGACGTCATTGCTTGCCGTGGAGCAGCCTGACAGTTTCCGAGCTTGTCCGTCCGTCAATTCTCAAGGTCTTCACCCATCCACTTCCTTCTTCTCTCTCACCACACGAATCTGCCGCCAATTGACCCAATTGACAGCAGAGGACCCAATTCTCATCAGCATCATGTTCGCTCGCTCAGCATTCCGCGCGGCGCAGCCGCTCAAGTCGGTACGTGGTGCGCCCTTTAGCCGTCTGATCGGACTGATTATCAATCCCATCCCCACGCGTTCGTCTTCCGTCTAGGCGATGCTAACTGTCCCTGTAGCAGGCTCGTCGCTACGCCACCGAGTCGGCTCCCAAGGGCGGCTCCAACGCCCTACTCTACGCCGCTGGCGCCGCTGCCATTGGCGGTGCTGGCTACTGGTACTTTGGCGGGTCGAGCGCTGCGCCCAAGATCGAGGCCGCCTCGCCTCCCAAGGTGGCCTTTGCGGGCGGCGACCAGGGCTTCATCTCGCTGAAGCTGTCCGAGGTGGAGAATGTCAACCACAACACCAAGCGCTTCCGCTTCGAGCTGCCCGAGGGCGACATGGTCTCTGGCCTTCACATCGCCAGCGCCATCCTGACCAAGTACAAGGGCCCCAATGACGAAAAGGCCACCCTCCGCCCGTACACGCCCATCAGCGACGAGAGTAGGTTTTAGATGCGTGGAAGAAAAAAAAGTTGACGCTGACCTTCCCAGGCGACAAGGGCTTCATTGACCTGCTGGTCAAGAAGTACCCCGACGGGCCCATGAGCACGCACCTCCACAACATGGAGCCCGGCCAGCGGCTCGACATGAAGGGCCCGCTGCCCAAGTACAAGTGGGAGGAGAACAAGCACGACCACATTGCGCTGATTGCGGGCGGCACGGGCATCACGCCCATGTACCAGCTCGCGCGGGCCATCTTCAACAACCCCAACGACAAGACCAAGGTGACGCTCGTGTTCGGCAACGTGACGGAGCAGGACATTCTGCTCAAGAAGGAGTTTGAGCACCTCGAGAACACGTACCCCCAGCGCTTCCGCGCCTTCTACGTGCTCGACAAGCCGCCCCAGAGCTGGCCCGGCCCCGGTGGCTTCATCACCAAGGATCTCCTCAAGACGGTCCTGCCCGAGCCCAAGGAGGAGAACGTCAAGCTGTTTGTGTGCGGACCCCCCGGTCTGATGAAGGCCATCTCCGGCAACAAGGTCAGCCCCAAGGACCAGGGTGAGCTCACGGGCATTCTCAAGGAGCTCGGCTACAAGGAGGACCAGGTGTACAAGTTCTAGAGGACAGTGTAAGATTTGTATGTAGACATACGATTAGATGGGTAGAGCAGTCCATTGCCGAATATCAGTCAAATGCAGAATATATTTGCTAAACATGCGCCTAATGCGTTTTAATTACCTATTTATATAATATCACCACGTGTATCTGTGAGATCAATGCCCAAAACAAGAAGAAGAAGAAAACGCTGGACGCCCAGTAGAATGCTGTCAATCTGGTGGATGCAAAAGGCCGTCACTCATCATCACTCGTACTCTCACTTGTATCCAAAAACTTCCCCCGACTCTATTCACCTCGCTCGCGTTAGCAACGGTGAACGCTCGTCCTCGTCTGAGTCTTCCTCCTCCTCCACAATGGCCGACTCATTGGGCAGCACGTCTTCCGCGTCACTCTCGTCGGGCGTGGCGCTAGGCCCGTCCCCCTCGACGGCCATGAAGACGGGTATGGCGCCGAGGAGGGCGATGAAGGACAGAAACGCATACGGGACGAAGATGAAGCCGTTCTCGGCGCCCCATGTGAAGGCGAGGCCGGTGAGGAGCGGGCCGGCGGCGCGGCCAAGACCGCTAAAGGAGGTGGCGAAGCCGTTCAGGGTGCCGAGGACGCGGACGGAGGAACAGGAGTTGGTGAGGAGGATGGTGGTGGAGGGGAAGGCGATGATGATGGAGAAGCCCTTGACGAACATGATGAGGGCGAGGCTGACGTAGCGGCCGGTGCCGCTGTCAAAGAGGGCGGTGTACGGGGTGAGGAAGTACGTGACGGGGAGGATGAGGGCTGGGATGTTAGCTTTTGGCCCTAGGGCACGGATCAAGAGGGAGGACCTCCCAAAAGAACTTACAGCAGACGCGGAAGCAGCGCAGGACGCCGTAGCGGGACACAAGCGTGGGGTAGATGAGGAACTGGATGAGACCGCAGGCGACGCCGTAGCAGGTGAAGATGGTGCCAATCTCGCCTGACGTGAGGCCGAAGCCGCCCTGGAAGGAGAAGGGCAGGCGGACGGGGGCGCCGACGTCCTTGACCTTGGGGTAGTTGAGGAAGACGGGCAGATTCTGGTCGTAGGCGACGGAGTGGAAGGCGAGAAAGGTGTAGGCGACGAGGTTGATGACGGTCTCGCGGGTGAAGACCTCCCTGGTGCTGGGGGGCGAGTTGGTGGTGCTCTTCTTCTTGGACACGACGTTGGCGGGGATCAGGGGCGCGGTGGCCTCGCCGTCGACAAAGGAGGAGCGGCGGCGATGCTGCGAGGAGGTGGACGAACGGTGGCCACGACGCTTGAAGGCGCGTGTAAGACGCTTGCCGACGGATATGCCCCAGTCGCGCTCGTCCCTCTTGCCGGGCAGGGTCTCGCGCAGGAAGAGAGAGGCGACAGCGACGGAGATGAGAAAGAAGATGCCGGCGACGAGGTTGGGAAGGGCGTAGGGAAAGGTGCGGAAGTAGGCCATCTTGCCAAAGAGGGAGGGCCACTGGCGGGCGGGATGGGCGAAGAAGCCGCCAAAGCTGGGACCGACGACGGAGCCCAGGGACCAGACGAGGGGCATGACGGAGAAGGCGCGCGGCTGGAGCTCCCGCTCGGGCACCATCTCGGCGACCATGGTGCGGATGATGCCGACGTTGCCGTTGCCGCCGCCCTGGATGGCGCGGGCGACGATGGCCATGGGGAGGGTGGTGGACATGCCCCAGACGATAAAGGTGAGCATGGTGGAGAGCAGGCCGAGGATGATCATGGGCTTGCGGCCGTAGCGATCGGCGCCGCGGCCCCAGGGGACGGCGGTGATGCTCTGGGCGACGGAGAAGACGGCGGAGGTGAGGCCGGCCCAGCGGGCGATCTTGTTCTGCTCGACGCCAAAGTCGCGGATCATCTCAGGGAGGTAGGGGAAGACGGACGTGTAGGCGAGGGGTTCGGCGAAGCGAACGACGGCTGCGCATGTCAGCACGTGTGTCTTGGTTATTGTGCCTCGCGTTCATAATGTCAGGCTGCGGCTTGCTGGTGTCTGGGTGCTTGAAGAGGGCCTGCTCTGATGAGATCAAACACGGCCATCCATGACCATATTGATGTGCAGTGCGTAGATCAAAGGGAGCCTTACCCAGGATTGCCAGCTGCTGCACAGGCAGCTTTGCCCTCGTGGGCGAGGCATTCTTTGGCGGCATGGTGTCGCCGTCGAGAGTCGACCACAAGGTGCTGGGCAGCAGTTGAAGGAAGGCTGAGGCAGAGAAAAAAGGCTGAAGCCTCTTGAGATGGATGATGAGTGGGTGAAGTTGAAGTTGGAACCCCACTCGGTGGGTTTGACTACCTGGTACCTTGGTGAGCCTACAGCACCAAGCAGCAGATGAATCAGAGAGTATGTTAATGGGGATGGGAATATGGGAAGCAAACAATAAAGACCTGCCTCGACACAATTGAGTTGGCTATGACTCCCGTGTCTTGCAGTCCGCGATGGCTGGTCCACTGTGGGGAGTCCGAGTCACCGGACAAACTCCAGTCGTCAGCCCGGGACTCTAGCTGAGTCCAGCACCAGCAGCATCACCATGGACGCCCTTGGCCGATGGCCCACCCCGGCTGGGGTCCCGATCTGGAGTCCCCAGCGCCGACTACGGAGACGGTGTGCGGAGGCTTTGAGACCACCCAGCCTCATATACGCACCGGGCCTGTGAGTCCCTGGAATCCTTCCTCGCTTTCATCTTATTATGTACAGAGTAGTTACTCCTCTCTCTGCATGTCTGCTGGTCACGATACACACCATCAGACCGGCTGTGATGCTGGACGGGAGCCGCAAGGAGGCGTGCGTATGCGCGTCTGCTCGCTCTGTCCATATCTGGCTATGCTGACATCCATTGTCCCAACGTGCAGTGCGCAGATGCATACGTGCGGCGTGCTCCGACGACCCAAGGAGCGCTGTCTAGTCTAATTATTAGTATAAATACCCGCCTCTCTTCAAGCATGAAGGCAGTGCCTCTTGGAGGCGAAGCTAGAGCAGAACTGCAAAAGGTACTACGACATGAATGACAAGATAGCAAGAAGAGAGCTGGGGGACTGCGCTCCGCGGGCACAGCCTGACAACTAGTTGGCTTGAAAAGCATTCAATACTCTGCAGCATGCATCCTCATCCATTCAACGGACAATAATTGATTCCAGTTCCATTGCAGCGGAGAGAGCGCATGTGCTTCTCAAGCTGTAGGGTAGTCAGATTCAAGCTCGGATGTCGGCACCATGATGTGGCGCATATCTCCGTCCGAGGCTCCAGCCACAGACTGCCCCGCTAGCCGGCATATACAAAGGTACCTCGCATGACGAACCTGTGGCGCCACCTCTCCCTCCGGTCAGCTTATGACTACGACTTATCGGCCATCGTGAGCTGGACAGCGACCTCCATCCGTCATCACAATCCATCCAAGGACCAAGTCTTCGAAGGTGTCTGGACAGGGCTCATCTCTCATCAGAACCCAAGAGACCTGAGCAGTCGTCCGTGTGACATGTCCGTACTCTAAGCTTGGCGCCTACCTTATCTCATCATTCTCATCCATCCACGCGACAGCTTAGATATTACCAATCACTGGCCTCAACTCCTCAACCCAATCGTCACCACGAGAATCCATCCCTCGCTCACCATGCCGGGTGAATCGACGCCCCTCATCCAGACCGTCAGCGTTGGACCGCAAAGGCGACGCTACCCCCACAACACATGCCGTCGCTTCTGCACCATCCTGAGCTGCTCCCTTCTTATCACGGGCTTTGCCTCGTTCCTCCTCCAGGCCATCTTCATATGGCCCAATGAGAACCGCCATAAACACCATGGGGGCCATTACTGGCCTCCGCAAAATGGAAACAAGGGCTTAAGTCTCGAAGAGGTCGAGGGCATCCTGCTGGACACCCCTTCGGCCGAGAAGGCGGAGGAGTGGTTGAGGTACTACACCGCCGGCCCTCACCTGGCTGGCCAGAATCTCTCCCAGGCCGAGTGGACGCGCGACAAGTGGGAGGAATGGGGCGTCAAGTCCGAGATCGTCCCATACGACGTCTACATTAACTACCCGCTGAGCCACAGCCTGAGCATGCTCCAGCACCAGAAGAAGCACGACAGGTGGGACGTTGTCTTCCAGGCTTCGCTCGAGGAGGACATTCTCGAGGACGACCCCACGACCGCCCTCAAGAACCGCGTGCCCACCTTCCACGGCTACTCTGCCAGCGGCAACGTCACCGGGTCCTTTGTCTACGTCAACTACGGCAGCTACCAGGACTACCAGGACCTCGTCGACGCCAATATCGACCTCGAGGGCAAGATCGCCATCGCCAGGTACGGCGGTATCTTCCGCGGCCTCAAGGTCCAGCGCGCCCAGGAGCTCGGCATGATTGGTGTCCTCATCTACAGCGACCCCGGCGACGATGGCGAGTACACCATCGAGCATGGCTACGACGCCTATCCCGACGGCCCCGCCCGCCAGCCCAGCAGCGTCCAGCGTGGCAGCGTCCAGTTCCTGAGCACCATGCCCGGCGACCCGACCACGCCGGGCTATCCCTCCAAGCCTGGCGTCCCCCGTGCCCCCGCCGAGGGCTCGACGCCCACCATCCCCTCCATCCCCATCTCCTACACCGACGCCCTCCCCATCCTCAAGGCGCTCAACGGCCACGGGCCTCGGGCCAAGGACTTCAACAAGTACTGGACGCGCGGCAACGGTCTCGGTTACAAGGGCGTCGAATACAACGTCGGCCCCTCGCCCGACCACCTCGTCCTCAACCTCGACAACCAGCAGAACTACACCACCACGCCCCAGTGGGACGTGATTGGCATCATCAACGGGACCATCCCCAACGAGGTCGTCGTCATCGGCAACCACCGCGATGCTTGGGTCGCCGGTGGCGCAGGGGATCCCAACAGCGGTTCCGCCGCGCTCAACGAGGCCATCCGCGCCATCGGCACCGCCCTCGAGGCCGGCTGGAAGCCCCTGCGGACCATTGTCTTTGCGAGCTGGGACGGCGAGGAGTACGGCCTGATCGGCAGCACCGAATGGGTCGAGGAGTTCCTCCCCTGGATCCAGGCCGCCAACGTGGCCTACCTCAACGTCGACGTCGCCGTTAGCGGGCCCACCCTCGGGGCCGGCGCCACGCCCACGCTGCACGGTCTGCTGCGCGCCTCCGTCCACAAAGTCCAAAGCCCCAACCAGACCACCCCCGGCCAGACCGTCGGCGACCTCTGGTCCGGCGACCTTCCGCCCCTCGGCAGCGGCAGCGACTTCACCGCGTTCCAGGACTACGCCGGCGTGCCCTGCATGGCCCTCACCTTCACCTCGGGCGAGGCCGACCCCGTGTACCACTACCACTCCAACTACGACTCCTTCCACTGGATGGAGCAGTTTGGCGACAAGGGCTTCGCGTACCACAAAGCCATGGCCCAGCTCATCGGCGTCATCGTCGCCAACCTCGTCGACAGCGTCGTCCTGCAGTTTGGCGCCGCGAACTACGCCGACGCCTTGGACGAGTACCTGGACAAGGTCGAAGCCAAGCTCCACGACGAGGCCGTCGAGCCGGAGACGGACGAGCAGATTGTCGCCTTCCGCGCTCAGGTCTCACCCAGCGAGATCAAGGGTAGCGCCGACGCCTTCAAGAAGAGCCTTGAGGATGTGCGCGACGCCATTGCCGATTTCCGGGTCAAGGCCCACGCGACGGACATGCGAGCCGAGTGGGCGGAGAAGCAGCTGAGGGAGGGCATCCCGTGGTGGAATCTCGTCAAGAAGGCCAAGCTCGGCGCGGCCATTGTCGCCGTCAACAACAAGTACAAGTACCTCGAGCGACAGTTCCTCTTTGAGGCCGGTCTCGACGGGCGGAGCTGGTTCAAGCACGTCGTGTACGCACCAGGCCTGTGGACGGGCTATTCCGGAGGTATGTTCCCTTGTGTTCTGTCGAATAAGACGCTAAACTAACATTGATGTAGCGACATTCCCCGGTCTCGTCGAGAACATTGACGCCAAGGACTACTTGAACGGTTTGAAGTGGGCGGGCATCATCAAGGAGCGTATCCAGCAGGCGACCAAGAGCTTGGCGTGAACGGGTCTGATGCAGCATACATGAAAATCAAGCCAGCTTAGTATATCTATAATGTAGCGCAAATCGTACATTTCTCATCAGACGTTACCAAAAACACCACCCATCCCAGCAAGTCTATTCCGTATCATGTTACAGCCATTGTACACCATCCGCCGTCTAGAGCTACCTCGCCCTCCTCTCCTCGTCCTGCCTTCTCATCTCGTCCCTAAAGGCGTTTCCGCCCTCCGAGTTGTCCCTGAAATCAGGCGTCACGGGGCTACCCGCGAGACTGCCCAGGTCGCTGTCTCGCCTAATGTGGCGACGGGGCGCCTCGGGCACGACATCCGAGTAGACATACAGGGGCTCGCCCTGCGTCTCGCGCTCCTCGAGGCGGATGGCACCAGCCGCGCCGTCCCGGCCGAGGTTCTTACCAAAGACACCGCGGACCTTGCGACCCGTGTAGCCCCTAGAGCGCGACATGATGTTGCCAATTTGGATCCGCCTGGTCTTGCGGTTCCAGAGGAAGACGCCGCCGGCGATGAAGATAAGCAGGCCGAACGTGATGGGCAGGGCAATCACAATGTCCCGATGCTCGTACGTCTCGGGGTCCTGGTCCGGGCGCTGGTGGTAGTCAAAGACGAGGGGCAGCGCAGGGCCCGTCTCGTTGAGTCCCTTGTTGCCATGGGTGCCGACCATGAGCTGGAGGGTGATGTTGTGGGGGCGCGGACCCTGGAGGTACTTCTTCTCAATCTTGAGCGGGAGGAAGCCCCAGTCGGCGGGCACGCGGTCCGTCTCGTCGAGCTTCTCGTACTGCTCGTCGCGCCACTCCTCGAGGTTGTTGTAGTCGGGGGCCTCCTTTTCGGTGGTGCGGTTGAGGTAGTCGAGACGGACGGCGATTTCGTAGGTGACGTTGCCCGGCTTGTCGGTCTTGTTGAAGAAGTCGGGGTCCCAGGTGACTACATCTCGTTAGTGGGGGGATATAGGATAGCAGAGAAAAGAACGCACTGTAGTACGTGGTGCCTTGGAACAGGGTGCTGTCTTCCGCAGGAGCACACAGGGGCGCGTTGTCGCCGTCCTCATTGTAGCAGCGTGAGAAGGCACCCTCGCCGTGCTTGTTCGTGGCTGAAGGATTGGGGGGCTCGCCGGTCGACGTAGTCACGCGTCCCCAGGCCGTGCTGGTGAACTCGGACGCGGTCAGGTCGTGGGGTGCCGCATTATCGTACTCGTCGTCCGAGCCGTCCTTGAGCTTGGGCGTCAAGGTCTCGGCAGGGCGGCCCTCGTCGTCCACGCGAACCCAGGGCGCCGTGGGCGAGGCACGCTTCGCGAGAACGGGGGCGGCAGTGATGATGGCGACGGGGTCATCGTCTGCCTCTACAGGCGCCGCTGGATGGGCATTGGCCTGGAGGAGCAGCAAGGCGCTGGCGAAGAGCGAAGAGCCGCGCATTGTTGGCTGGGACGCGGTGGCGAGGGAAGTGAGGTCGACGCAGAGGGGCAGCTGACTCGACTGCGATACGATGCAACGGCGATGCTAGCTGAGCGAACGACTGTCCTTGGAGGATTGACCTTGAAGGAGTGAGAGCTGCAATGGCGATGGCAAAGCGAGCGAAGGAATGTTGGACTCGGGAGAGCAATTTTTGGAAGGCGCGCCCCTTCTCCCGATCCATGAAGATGCGCCCCAGAAATCCAATTGCCTAGATTGGCTAGTCCCTATGGCGGACGAGAGGTCGCTGTTCTGGGCCCCACACTCCTGTTGCCTGAATCCCTTCCTTTCCGTGACATTACTGTATATAGAGGCCTCCTGATGAAAAGGGTGCCTTGGTAATTGATTAACGATATTATCGCGAATTTCTCGTATACCTACTCGTTATAACGAGATTTACTGAAGTCTGAAGCGTATCGCCCAGCCCCAGTGGAGTTCGCGCCTGCCGAAGGTGCCGACTTGTCCATGCACGGTGCCGTATCAGGCTAGCGTGCTCGGGAATTGGACGGCGTCCAGGACTCCAGGGGCAGGAACAACAAACGAGCCCCTTTTTCAGAGGAGCTGCACGTACTTGTCCCACAGATGGATGTGAGCTTCATTCTCTGTACATGGTCGTTTCTTACTTCGCCAAAAGGTTCACGAACGAATGCCAGTCATTCATTTCATGTAGTTCATTAGTGTTCTCTGATTTGTCCGTTCGTGTCACGTGTAAGAACTCGGTATGCCGCATCCTGGATATCCATGCTTCGCTCAAATCCTCAAAAAGCCCTCGTAAATCGCACCCTCTAGTCCAAAATCATACAACCATCGAGGGGGTTCTCTCCCTACCCTCAAGTAAATGTCTCAATCCCAGATGCGCCGCGCTCACAGGTCAAATCAACCGTTCAGTCCATGCGCCCCGTCTTCTGTAGCTCTGCCAGCGAGTACACTCCCCTCTTCATATCAACAAGCGAGGTAGCGCTAATGACAGGGCTCTGCTGGTCGTCGATTAGGTAGTCTTCGTCTTCAGACGCAATGGCCGAGTCGGTCCACGCATGGTCATCGTCGTCGTAGACGGTGAACTGCAGCTCAGGGTTGTCCTCTTTTCCCACGCGCCCTTCTTCTATGTTGCGCATTTCGTCGTGATACTGGACTTCGCGCTGCTTCTCTGCAAGCCACTCGTCGTAGATACGCTTCTGCTCCGTCTCTCTGGCTTCTTCTCCGGCCCGCTTCTGCTGCTCGAGGGCTTCGATGCGGCGTACGCGCTCGGGATAGGTCAAGACCACTTTCTTCTTGAAGTACTTTCTCGCAAACTCCTCCTTGCGAAGCTCCTCCACCTGTTTGAGCTCCTCATCTCGTCGCTTCTTGTCGAGCCTGGCGCGCTCTAATTTGGCCAGTATCATTGGCGCGTTGACTCTGTCGGGGCATTTGGTGTTGGGGCATTGGAAGGAGGGATACATGTACGGCCATTGCTTGCCGATCTGGGGCTTGTGAAGATACACGGGGCATCTAGTCGGCGGAAAGGGCGTGGGGTAGCCTTCGGTACAGGCTTTGCGCTCGGTGCGCCGGTAGGCAAGGCATTTGGTCCACCAGTAGGGACGCTTGTCGCCGCAGGCTCTGCATAGGCGCACGTCCGGCACGCACATAGTTGGTTGGATTAATTAGCAGGAGAGGAGAGTGGAGGTTCGAGAGCAGCCGTCTTGATGAAGACGTGCCAGAGGCACGTGGCGCATTGACTGAATCGCAGTGTGGTTGCTAGGGTCTTTGAGGGTGTTCGTGACGGTTCGACTGTTGTTTCGAGGACTGTGATGATGTTCGCCATGTAGGCGCCATGAGAGAGGAGCAGTCTTGCAAAGAAAACACATCTGAGGGACTGGGCCTTGGTCGGCCACCAGGTTGGGACGAGCCGGGCGAGTGACTGGAAAGTGAGATTCAGATGAGTCCGCCATCCACTCGGCAGGAGTTTCCCCATCCTTCATGGGGCAATCGACAGCTGGCATCACATGATTCATAGCACCAGACGAACCAGACAGGCTTCTAAAGACTCTGAATCTATCAATAGCATCGAGGACTACCTTTGACGTTCTGATGTTGTCTCTGTACCGAATATCGCCATCTATCACGGGCGTCACTATTCTCCAAAACAGCGCAACCGAACAACTTCTGCAAGTATCTTCGCATTCCGCATGGGATTGCTCTGAACGGTGGCTCAGTTGAGATATGTCACTGGCGCAGAATGCAATAACACCATTAACTTGCGGGCAGAAGCGCTCAAAGCTGCGCGGAGTCTTGCAGACTTGGGACAGAAGCCACTTTGCTGGTCTGGTACTTGTCCATCATGTTAATTGTCTGGCCACTAGAGACGCCCAAGGCGACTGGAGCCAAAGGTAGTGCCTTAATGTACCAGTCCTTGCATTTAAACTCGTGCGCAGCGGACAGTGCAGCAAGCGTCAACATGGAATACTCTAAGACAAGCTTGGATCCTTCTGCAATTATAAAGAGCCAGACTGCCCTCAGAAACCCACTCATCTGGTGTTCGTCAATGTTCTCCGTTGTTCAGTCAAGTGCATGCTTCATCACTAGGTAAATTAGGGGCTATTGAGGACCTGAACGGTCGAGGAAGAGCAGTGATGTTCGCCAAGTTCAGTCCCGAAAGATTCGAGGCATCCTCATGTCTGTAAAAGAAATGAATGCTTCTGAGCTCACAGCAAAGTCGAGAACCACGTAACCTCCCCGGAGTCAAATCAATGGGAGGATCAGCACAAAGCATCTTGGGGATTCTAGCGGTCTGTAGAAGCCATTCAATGTGTCAATTGAGCTGGGAGCGAAGGGTCATGGACTTGTGAGAACAATTGTGTCCAGTCTCGAGAGATGTTCGTTTAAGAGAGACCATGTCGGCTGGTGGACAAGGCTTGCTTGGCCTAAGTGTGGCGCCGTAGAGTGACAGCTTGAGGGAAAATACTCCCATTTGGTCATTCTCCCGTGTCATTCGTTGCAATGCCATGTTGCGCAAGATTCCAGCTTGTTTCATCTTTGCCTACTTCATAGACCTCACAGATGATGTGTGTTATACTCAATGCCCTCCCAAGGCCGTCTGTGGTCAACGCCTGGAGCTAAAAGGCATCGGAACTAACACCTGGCCATTTCATTACCAGATCTAGTTGCAAATGTTCAACCTATGCATATATCGGTTAAGACCGACCGCGCTACATTGTAATCACCTTCTGGATTCTGCAAGAGGTCGTGTGACACCGCGTTTCGGCTCTCATGCCTGAAAACCCGGTGGCACGACACGTTTTCTTCTCGCGGAATATGCTCGACGTCTTCCGGTTGGTGTCACCTTCCATCAAGTCAATTCGCCGCGTGTGCTTCCCCGGCAGTTCAGCAGAGTCAGTCGTTCAGCCACGCACAGAACAGCCGTCCCGATGTCTGCATGTACCCATGAACACGTTGCTTCCTGGCCCCTGAACTGCTGACAGCTCCAATAATGCTCGGACTGCTATTATTAAGGTACGATGAACACTGCCGACCCCTCATTTGGCGCGCATGGCGCGGCAGAGGATCATTGCAACACACTTCGCATGGAACCTTTCACCCTTTCATCCTTTCATGCTTGCAAGCAGATCGAGTGCCGGTCATCGGCGCCCTCAACACGGCTGCATGTAATTATATACTATACTCCAAGCAGTGGATACTCTTATGTAACTCAGTGCGAGCGCAGTCCAGAAGGCATTGCCAGTGGATCCGAAGCGGAAGCTCAACCTACCCGCTGATGCTGGTTTCCGATCCTCGTATCCACCTCCATCTTTCTGATGGAGTCGGGAGCAAGCGCGGGACAATGCAAGCACATGCATGTGCAAGCCTCGCTTCGACCGACTGTCGTTCAACCTGGTACTGTTCACCATGTCAGCTCGACAGTGACTCAAGCCACGTCTCAGAGACACATGTCCCGGGCAGTTTCTACCAACAGCGAGCCAGATCTCGGGGAACACTGCCGTGAACACCCGTTGCCTCAAGGCTTACCCAGGCCAACCTGGCGGGACCCTGGGATTACATGGTTGCGGGGCTGACCAATGGTATGCGCTGGACGCCTCCCCAGCTTCCTACATCTGGCCATGACCTGCATCTGTTCGCGAGTGGCGTGGGGGTCAACACAGCACAAATGCAGCATAGATGCAGCGAGCTGGATGTTTTTTTTTCCCATCGATCCACAGACCACTCGGCCACTGTTATTTGCCGTTCCTTTAGCGGCAACTTTATGATGCCGAGCCAACCAAGGCGAATGACAGTGACATAAGTCATTGACTCTGCCAGTGTGGATCGTGTTGGGGAACTGACTTTGAGTTGGCGGGGCGTGGGGGTCGTCGAGCGAGCGCCGCCTGGCAAATGATTGTCGCGTCAGCAGACCGAAAGCAAAATCTGCTGTCTGACCGACCTTGGCAAAGCTAGGCCCCGGGCTTCGGTACTAGTACGTATAGATAAGTAATCGGGTTGGACGAAAGTATAAGAGGCCGTCATGTCCTGATTTGCAATCGACGGACGATGGCATCAGACCCCTTCCTCACATACCTTTGCCACTTGACACGCATTCCACCATGACAGCATCACGGAGAACAGAGACAGCAGGGTCCAGCTTGACGCGAGGCATCTATGTGCCCACTGTCGCCTTCTTCACCCCAGAGGACGAAGTCGACATCGAGACCACCATCTCCCATGCCACCAGACTGGTCCAGGCAGGTGTCGCTGGGCTTGTCACTCACGGCTCCAACGGCGAGGCAGTCCACCTTGACCACGAGGAGCGCAACCTCATCACCAAAGCCACCCGCAAGGCCCTCGTGCAAGCAGGCAAGCCTGACCTGCCCCTGATCGTCGGTTGCGGTGCCCAGTCCACGCGCGAGACCATCAAGCTCTGCCGCGATGCAGCCGAGTCGGGAGGCACCCATGCCATGATCTTGCCGCCTTCATACTACGGCGGTCTTTTGACAACCGAGCTCATCGTCCAACACTTTGAAGACGTTGCCAACGCCAGCCCTATCCCGCTCCTCATCTACAACTTCCCGGCGCCCTGTGGCGGCCTCGATCTGAGCTCGGACACCATCCTCCGTCTCGCGCGACACCCCAACATTGTCGGCGCGAAGCTGACGTGTGGCAACACGGGCAAGCTGGCCCGCGTCGTCGCCGGCACGAGGGACCTGGACTTTGTCACCTTTGGCGGCAGCGCCGACTTCACCATCCAGACCCTCTCCGTAGGCGGCCACGGCGTCATCGCCGGCACAGCCAACCTTGTGCCGCGTCTATGCCTCCGACTGATGCAGCTGTGGGACGACGGCGCCCTGGCAGAAGCCACGGAGCTGCAGGGCATCGTCGCGCGTGGCGACTGGGCGGCCATCAAGGGCGGCTTCGTGTCCGTCAAGGCTGCGTTGCAGCGGTACCATGAGTACGGCGGACTACCGCGCCTGCCGTGTGCGGTCCTCGAGGGCAAGGCGCTGGAGGCGCAGATGGTGGAGTTCCGGGAGGTGATGGAGCTGGAGAGGCGGTCATCATTAGCTGGAGGATCGTAGTGGGGACAGAGGGGCATGATCATGACATTTTCCCGTACAGTAGCGTTGCTTCGGTTATAGGGCGTACAATAATAATCAGACCATGGGTCGTCGAGTATGCTTGATTTGGCATTCGTCGGCGAGAGTGACCGTGACAACCTCTGATCGGATCCGTGCACAAGACAGACCTCGCACTCGCAAGATGCCGCCAGGACCCAGTATTTCGGGTTACCTACTGCACATGCGGCGTGGTTGCGAACTTGCAAACTTGCGATCCGGCGCGCTGACCCCCACGCTACTCCAACGTCGCGGATCCGTTCCGGAGGCTGGGCTGGGTGGATGGGGCCGCCTCAACGCCATGAGAGAGACTGTGGGAGGACGGAGATGAATCCTGTTGATAAGAGAGGAGCAGGCGCGAGCTCCGCCGGGGCCCACTGTCGTCCTGTAGGTGAGAAGAAGGGGAAATGCGGGCGGGGTGTCGTGCGATGCGATAGAAGATGGCGATTGCAGAGGCTGAAGAGGGGGAAGACAGCGGAGAAGTGAGCGAGAGAATGGAAGAGATGTCCCCCCAATCAATCGCATGAGGGTGAAGTCATGTGACGCAGCGTCAGGCAGGCACGACAGGTCCAACAGCGCTCCTTCCTCTTCATCATGCAGGCCTATATAGGAAGGAAGGTGAGTCGTGCCTGCCTTACACTGCCATAGAGGCGGCCCCTGAGCACAACATCTGATCACCATGCTTTCAACTATAAGTAAGTACTTGGTAAGATCCTCCAATGGTCAGACAATTGTATATACAGCCTCTTCTCTCTACCTTGCTCAAGCTTATGCGAGACCCTGCTTGAGCATGCATGCAAGTATGTAAAACATCTCCCAAATTACAAACCGAAACGCCGCCCCTGATCCATGCCAACGAATCTGACTGACGACTAGTCAGCTAGCTACATGTAGCTGTGCTCACTGCCCCTTTTTCGACTTTTTGTGCTTCTTCTTCTTCTCCCCAAACACCTCATCGTACACCTCGGCCGCCGTCTGCTGGCCCGCCTTGCGCTTCGCCTTGCCCGTCTTGACGCTGACCTCGCCGGCGGCACGGCCCTCCTTGGTCGCAGCGCGTACCTTGGACTCGGCCTCTTGCCACGCTGGCGCGTCGCCCTCGATTTCGTACCTGTGTCTGGTCAGCAGTGGCACTTGTACAAGTAGTATGGAAAAAAACGTACTGGTCTAGAGGCAGCGAGTCGATGAGCTGCCGTTGCTTCTGCTTGAGCGCCCGCAGCGCCTCGTCGCCGCCCTCCTCGAGCTCTTCGTCCAGCGTCACGTCGAGCGGCGCATACTTCTCGTCCACGACCTCGTCGTCGTGCGCGCCGCTGGCGTCCGCGCGGCTGACGCCGAGGTTCTGCGCGCGGGGCAGGGACTCGTCAGCGGCCTGCGTGACCAGCGTCGTAAAGTGCACGTCGACCTTTTTCATAATCTTGGTGAACATGGACAGCAGCTGCGACGTCTCGACCGTGGGGAGATCCGCCGACACGCCGTCAATGTCCTTGCGCTGGAGGCCAATGGCGAGCAGGATGCTCTGCTGCACGGGCGTGAGCTTGACGGACGCCTTGATGCGGCCGGTAAAGTACCACGTCGCAATCGCCGGCATGAGGTCGAGGATGGCGTGGTAGTCAATGTGGCTCTGCGCGTACGAGTGGATACGCTTGAGGTCAAAGGGCGACAGCTGCATGTCCAGCTCCGCCTTGGTCAGGGGCGCAATCTCCACCTCGTCGTGCTGCGCGCCCTTGTTGGCCGACTCGTCGATGCTGAGCGCCGTGATGGCGGGGAACTCCTTGAACTTGTAGGACAGCAGGGACAGGAAGCGCTTCTGGAAGTCGCGCGCAAAGGCGCCCGCCCAGGTGCGGTCGGCCGAGGTCTCCAAGGGCCGGAGCATGATGCACGTGTGCTCGCCCGTCAGGTCGTTGGCGGTCTGGCGGATGTACACGGGCGAGAAGGCCGCGCGCTTCCAGAACTTGTGGAGGGGCGGCGTCATGCCGTAGCTGACACCGAGGTAGTCGAGCGCGGCGGGTTTCCTCTGGTGCATCTTGGCGAACAGCGGAGGCATCTCGCTCGTGCCGCGGATACTGATAGTCTCCGTCCGCAAGTTTGATCCCGCGAGCTCGGCGTCTGTCTGTCGGGTGATGGTATCGACGATCTGGTCGTCGTCGTTCTCCGACAGACTGGCAAATCGGCCCTCGTAGTAGTTGGTCAGCAGCTCCAGCGCCTTGGTACCGTAGCCCATGGACATGTATTCTGGGTTGGCCGCTATCCGGACCACGCGGGCGCCTGACAGCGAGGCAAACTCTGGATCTTGGAATTGCTGCGAGATGGTCCAGGGGATCAGATCACCAGACGGCCTGTTGCCGCGGCTCAGCTGGTTCAGCACGCTCTGCCTGCTGATCCTACCCTCCAGAGACACCTGGATTACACAGAGCGGCTCGGGAAGAGAGCCCGTGTTCTCCGACAGCGGCGGCACCAGGACAAACAGCTCGTGGGCCGGCGCATCGCTCATCAACTGTAGGTCGTCGGGTGTGTTCTTGTAGTGGCTCGCCACGTAGAGGGCCACCATTTGCTGGAGGAACCTTTCGGGCACAGGGTGGAAGGAGAAAAGCGTGTCGCGGTTGACGTTGAGGAGCTCGCACTTGTTGGGGTCAGGGCAGCCGCCGTTCCTCGACTTGGCCTTGGGCAGCGTCGCATCGAGGCAGAGGAGCTTGTTTAGCCACTTTTCGACAGAGTCGCCCTTGGTGTAACGAATGGGCTCGTCAAGGGTGATCTCGCGCAGCTTGCGCCCGGAGGACAGATCGCCCGTCTTAGAGGCCTGCCCCGTCGAGCGATCCGCGACCTGGGTGTCCCCGTTGGTCACGGGGGTGTACGATTGGTCGCGAAGCTGCTTGATCAACTTCAACGATAGGGATCGGCCGGTACCCTCGTAGCCGTTGATGGTGGATGCCATGAAGACCAGATAGGGACCCATGAGTTTCTTCACCAGGGGCAGGGGGATGGCCGCCGCCTCATCAATGACCAACAACTCCGCCTGCCCGAGCACATGCGCGTCCTGGGGCCGGATGTACTGAATCGTCTGGCGATGCTGCCTGTGAATGTTGACGCGGACAATCGCCTTGTTGAAGTCCGGGTTGGTGCTCTGGATGATGGAGTAATCCTGGTGGTCGACATAGTCCAGCGCGTCGAAGCCCTTGAAGACAAACTCAAAGAGCGTCTTCAAGTTCTCGGGCGAGGGCGACGTGATGAAGATGTTGCTGTATCCGTACGCGACGGCGGCGGCAATCGCAACACCCATAGCGGCCGACTTGCCACGACCACGCGCCGCGGTCAAGGCCACCGTGCTGCGCAGCGTCTTCTCGGAGATGGCCTCGGTGAAGGTCAGCAGGGCCTTGGCCTGGTCCACAGTCTTGGCCAGGGAGATGAGGGCGCCCGTGGGCGGTCGGTCCTGGTGCTCATCCTTGATCACATCCAGCGCCACCTGCGACTCGGACTTGGGCTGGTCGAGATCGGGGGGCGGCAGCGCGGTCACGTCCTTGCCCCCTGAGATGGGCAGGACGTTGAGCTCGTCGTCGATGACGAGGCACGAGTCGCAGCTGCCCAGCGACAGCATGAAGCGCTCGTTGAACCGCGCCACGACGTCGTCGTGGGCCTCTGTCCGGTACCGCGAGTGCACGTCCATGGAGAGGTTGTACAGCTGCTTGAGACTGTTCATGCCCTTGAGGAGCAGGACGACCATGCCGCCGCCCTCGACGGTCTCGATGGTGCGGGCGAGAATGTTGGGGGTCATGGCTTCAAAGTCCTGCAGGACGCACATGCCAAAGGTCTGTCCGAGGATCTTGTCCGTCTCCTTGTAGTAGCAGTAGCGGACATTGTTGAGGGTGACAAAGAGCTCAAAGGGGTCGGACTCGTTGGCGTCGCGCAGGCCGCGCTTGACCTCCTTCTTGATCTTGGCCTCGCGCTTCTTGCGGTGGCTCGTGAAGCCGAGCAGCTCCTTCTTGTAGGCCCAGAGGATGTTCTTGTTCTTCTTGACGCCGATGCCGTGCATGATCCAGTACAGGTTGACGAGCGCATCCTTGGTGTTGTCGCCGACAATGACAAAGAAGCTCCTCTTCTTCTCCTGGTAGCCGTTCTTCATGAGCGCCCCGATGCGGGCGTCCCTGTTGTCGCGGTTAGCGAGCGAGATCAGGCGTCGGGGGTGAGAGGAAGGGGGACATACACTTGCTTGCGGACCGGCTGGCGAGGCTCCTCCATGCTGGGCAGATGATGGCAGCGTGAACAGATCGGCGCAGTTGCTGGACGTTGCTCGGTCGCAGCTTGGACTGGCTGGCTGGTTGGCGGATTTGGCTGCCTGCGATTGATTCCCAAAAATTTGGCTGACCGCCCGGATTCTGCCGCCGGACGTGGGGGGATCCACCGAATCCTTCACCGGGCTCACCGTGACTCACCGAAGACTCACCGAGGGGCTACTATCACCTACCTGGTATCATCGTGATGCCCTCCGTACAGCATTAGACTACATAAGTACTCACTGTAAGCACCACAGAAGAAAAGCGAGCACTCCTTGACCACGTTGTGTCATTATCCGCCCCTATCCTACATCTGCTACAAATACAAGTACACTTCTCGCAGTTCAGGTCTGTCGACATGCCACAACGATGATTGCTAGCTGCACCAGACTTCTATCATGACTGACTGTGGGAAAAAAAACTCGGAACAGTGCAGAGGGAAACTAAGTAGCTGCCATGCCAAATAAAGCCATGCCAAACAAACACCGTCATCTGCAAGACCCCAAGGATATATACCTGCGACCGCCCTCTGTGTTCTAATTCCTGTCCAGCTTGCGACGCTCGTTGCGCGTCCGCTTCATGAGCTTCTTGTACTTCTTCTTCTTCATCCTCAGCCGGCGACGGCGCAGCACGCTGAGGCCGTACATGTCGCGGCCACTGGTGCTCTGGGCGTCCTCGAACTTGAGCTGGCGCTGGGCGAGGCGCTGGACGAAGCTGCGCGGCTGCTGCGACGGTTGCTCGTCGCCGTTGAGGATCTGCGGGCTGTGCGCCACGATGCGGATCTCGCCGTTGGCCTCGGTGTTCTCCTCAATGGTGAACATGGCCTTGTAGGAGCGGTGGTGAGCGGCGTCGGCGTCGGCGGCCTCAGCTTCGGCCGCGGCGGCCGTGTCGGCCTCGAGGTTGGGCTGCGGTTGCGGCAGCGGTGGTGGGCGGAAGGGGAGGAAGTCACCCGACATGTGGTCGACTTGCACGTAGATGCTGGACTCGGAGCCGTCGGCGTTGCGGACCTGCATGCTCTGCATGTGGTCCTGTGGCTGGGGGTCCTGGCCGATGGACATGGAGCCCATGGGGCCCTCGAGCTGGTCGATGGTGCTCGAGAGGGTGGCCATGGCATCGCTCATCTTGGACGCCTTGGATCGCGACGCGAAGATGGCCGCAAACTGCTCGTCGGTGATGGATCGGGGCATGGTCTGCGTGATGGAGATGGGTCGGTGGAGGGAGAAGAAGCTGGACAGGCCAAGGGCTATCAAGGTCAGTACGGGGCTGTTCATCGATGCTGTCGTGTTCTTTTGCTCGCGTTGTTCACTCACCTTCGCCTGCCATGTGGTGCGTGCTGGGCACGCTCGGCAGCTGCTTCATGGCACGCTGCGCCGACTTGCGTTTCCTCTTCTCACCGGCGGTCTTGCCGTGTCCTCGCGCCTGGACCGCCTCGTCGGCCGTCGCGGGGGGCACAGGGCTCGATCCGTTGTTCGAGCTCGAAGGTTTCGATGAGGAGCAGCGTCGCTGGTGCCCGCGGAAGAAGGGCGTCGCTGTCGTCGCGGCCGAGGCGGCGGCTGCCTTGGGCGCGGTGCACGCCAGAGAGGAGGCGAGGCCACCGGCTTGGGGTGCCGTGGTGGCCACGACGCGGCGCACCGATGAGGGCAACATGATCCGTGCGGACGTCTCCAGAGAGATGAGAGCGTCTGTAGAGTCGTCCCGAGAGGTGTGAGGGAAGGTGGACGGTGGTTAGGATGGTCAAATGGGATTAGGATGCGCAGTATGTGTGATCACGGCGGCTCGTCAAAATCCGGGTTTGCAGGGTGGAGCCTCGTCGGTTCGTGGTGGCCTGCTATTCGTCGGCGGCCTGAGGCAGGCAGACAACGTGCGGCTGTTGGGGTCGATGGTCTCTGCTACAACGACTTGAGTGTATTAAATGGGCTGGGAGAGATTATTTTTTTGCACAAAAATTGACGGAACAGATCCTCATATCATTTGGAATGGCGCAGCGACTAAGTGGTTTTGCCTTTGTCTCCAGGACAGCCCTGCCTTGCGTAGGACGTGTCCAGAGCCTCCTCAGTGCCTCACCTGACCCCAGCCTTGACCGCTCCCTTTCACGAGCTCATGGCTCATGAGGGGTATTGCATAGAGCCAAGCTGCAGGACGGCGTCTATCGCGCTCAAGGGCTATGACGCACTTTCTTACTATCTTGCGATCCACAGATATGGTCTCGAGTCCTTCACCTGAGTGCAAAGCACTGTCCTAATATTAGACCACCCAACGTGTGGCCGAGTTGGAGACTTGGAGTACGTCCGTCTCCAATGAGGCTGAGAAGAGTATCACCACGTAGTCACGAGTCGCAGGTTGATGTCCTTCCATTACAACGTATGCTTTAACTTGCAATTCTCAGCGCAATAGCATACCAGGCATCTTCGCCAACAATGCCTCTATGACTCTATCCGAAAAAAAGAACCCTCTAGTATGCAGAAAGTGCGAATGACGCCAAACCATGATCTATAGCTCCCATCGTGTTCCCAGGCAAAGCAGACCTCGCGCAGAAAGAAAGGCAACGGAAGAAAAGAGCGATCAAAAGACGGCAAGGGCACGGCCTTATTTGTTGTTCACCCAGCTCAGGTAGCTGTTCCACCCAATGGAGATGACATTGGCAAAGAGCAGACGGTGCTGCAGCGGCAGAAAGGTAAAGTTGACAAACTGCACAAACGGCCAGACGCACCAGTTGGCCGTGAGCGCGGGCCACCAGGTCGTCTGCAGCTTGCGGCTGGGGCTGCCGCCCTCCATGACGGACATGCTGCTCAGGAAGGCGCCGATGGCGACGGGCGCGAAGAGGAGCTGGTCGCAGGCCACGCGCGAGAGGGTCGTCAGGCGCGGGTTCCGGGGGTTCACGTTGCGCGCGAGGAAGGCGAACCAGGTCGTGGCCGCGGGACCAAAGACGCAGCCGCCGTAGAGGGCCATGCGGCCCGTGCGTGTGAGGTCGTGCTTCTGGAGGCCGCGACCCTCGACGAGCTGCTGGGCCGTAATGTCGCCCGTGGCGAAGAGCACGGATGTGGTCACGGCCTGGGTGAGCAGGGGGCGCGCGGCGAGGCGGCCGTTGTACCTGGGCAAAAGGTTAGCCTGCCATTGTCTTTTGAGGGGGGCTTTGAGATAAGGTATTTTTACATACCAGCGAATGAAGCCAGACATTGTGGCTGTTGGATATACAACTCGAAAGGGTAGTGTTGATGCGACGGACTGAACTTTAATGTTCCAGTGAAGAGTGAGTGAGCGAGCGAGCGTCTATACTCTACCCCCTGAGTTCAAATTTCAAAAGCTTGCGCGAAGGGGTCAAGGGCGCATCAATGGCAGTGGAAGGAGGGTTAGAAGGACTAGAATGAAATAACGAGTTGTTCGCGATGATATGAAAAGCCACGATGAGAAGGGAGAGAACGAAAAGTCAGGCCTGAAGAAGGTCGTGGGATGGCAGACAGTCCAGTCTGTCGCCGCATCAATCTTTTTTTTTCCCTTTCGCCTCCAGTCCAGCTGGAAAGATGGGGGTCCAGGTCCAATCGCCAATGGGGGGCCAGCCGCCTAGGCGGCTGCCTTTGGAAATTAGGGGGGAAAACGTGGGGTGCCGCAGGGCCTCATCCCCTGGACTCGGGCGGCGGCCCCGGGGTTCTGCTGCCGCTGGAATTCCGATCAGTGACCACCAACTGGACTCACCCAAACACTCGTGCTTCTACAGACCATCAACTCCATCGTTCAAGATCTGTCTGTCATGATCATAGGAAAATCATATTTATAGCCGGTCGCCCTGGTCTCTACCATCATGGCCACTCGCAGCCATCCATGCTCAGCCCCCCCTCTTGCGGACAACCAGCCCACGTGATGACCGACACTGACTTGATCAATTTCCCAACCCATGAGCGCAATATCGGGACGGAGGCATGGCTTGAGCCGCTCACTACGCCAGCCCAGGTGATCAACAGACTTCTCAAGAGACCCTAAATTTGGTACATTGCTTTCAATACGGCTCAATCAAACGCCTATCGCCATGCCTTGCCTTGCCATGCCCTCATCGCCCAGAATACAGTCTGGCGTAACACACCACATGCTCTCGGTTCATCGTCTGTCTCGTCAAACCTCCGTCTCAATCCCCGTCTGGCCCGTCTTGCGATCAAAGACGCCCTCCACCTTGTCGCCCACGCTCTCCGCCTTGTGCTTCACCCACTTGGCTGTGCGCGGAATCTGTTTCTTCGGTTAGCCCACGCCACGCCTTCGGTCACTGTCGCAGACAAAACTCACCTTCCACTGCATGAGGCCTCTGTGCTGGCGATGTAGCCCTTGCTCTCGCCTCTTATAGTCCTTGGCCTGGTCGATGGGACCCTGCTTCTGCCCGGCACTGCCGTCGGGCACGTCGCCCTCCTCATCAGACGAGTCGCTGTCGGACGAGACCTCCTCGTCCACAATGCCCGCCTTGCGCTCCATCTTGTCGAAATCGTGGTTGTCCTGCGCCACGTTGATGACTTCCACCACATCCCGCAGGTTGGGGTCCTTGTTCGCCCAGCCCGAGTGCGCGCCGCCGAGGCCAGCCCAGAACGTCACGGTCAACGTCACCGTGCCCAGGCGCTCGCCGGGCTCGTCGACGCAGTTCGCCGTGGCGCGCTTGAAATCGCCCTTCCAGACGGGTAGCTCCAGCTCCTGCTGCTCCTCGTCTGGCAGGTCCTTGAGCCACAGCACACAGAACGCCACCGTGTCGTCCTTGAACGCCCCCTTGGTCTTGAACGAGATGGACATGCAGCTCGCGTACCGCCTGTGCACGGCCAGTCGGAGGCTCTGGTCCCTCTTTGTGTGCCAATTCTTCTCCTCCCTGTTGGCGTACATCTTGCCCTTGTCGAGGTTTGTCTTGAACTTAAGGCGCGCATGCTGCAGCGTCTCGTCGAGGCCCGTGAAGCGCGCAATGTGCTGCACCTCGACCGTGCCGCAGTCCCATCCCAGGAGGTTGGGCGGTGCCTGGAGCTGCACGCTGCGCCAGACCATGGACAGGCGGATCTTGCCGTGCCCGATGCCGCCGGCAAGGGGCCACGTGCCCATCAGCTGCGACTTCTCCCGGAAGATCTCGTACAGCGGGAGGTGCACAATGCCCAGCAGGGCGTCGTCCTCGTCCACGCGCGAGTCGCGTACCGACACGTACGCCTCGCACTCGCGCCAGTCGCCTACGAAGCGCTCCGTGCCCGCGTTGAAAAAGGGCTTGGAGTTCTGCGGCTTGGTGCGCGTCTTGTACACTTTGCGGTGGTTGATGATGATGGTGCAGTACGCACTCGGCAGGCTCTCGCCCGTCTCCTCGTCGTCTGTCCCGTCGCTAGCCTTGTCCGACTTGTCCTTGCTAAGCCGGCCCAGCTCGAGACCCATGATGTTGTGGATCTGCAGACTGAAGACGCCGCTGGGGTAGCCCTCGGGCGGGGGCGCAGAGATGATCATGGCATCTTCCGTGGCCTTGAACTCTTGCTCCTTGAGCTGGTCCAGCTCGCTCTTGTCCTCGTCCTTGTCGCCCTTGCCGTCCTTGATCATCGCCTCCCGCAGCTTCTTCTCACAGCTGGCGTTGACCTTGCTCTTCAGGTCGTCGAGGCTGCGGATCTCGGGATCGTAGCTCTGGTGCTCGTACTGGCACTTCTGCAGCCTCGTCTTGGAAAAGTACCCAACCTCCCACTCCAGCTTGCCTGGCATACCATCGCCGGGCTTGAGCGCCCTGAACCCTTCCGTGCGCTTCTGCATACGGCCGTTGGACTCCTTGTTCTTCATAATCTCCTTAACGTCCACTTCGATGCGGCCCAGGTCATCGTCCGCGCTCACGCGGTCAGAGTCCCAGAGCTGGATGCGGATACGCTCGTCGACATTGAGTTCCTCGTCCGTCACGAGCACAAAGCAGTGCTCGTCCCAGTGGGGCTCCATCTCGGAGATGAGGATGCGTGTGCTCCAGAGGACCTTGCCAAACTTGGCCCAGCCGACAGAGACGTACGGGTCGGAAGACCCGTCCTTGACCAGGGGAATACCAGTGTCGGCCATCTTGAAGTCGTAGCCTCGGACAATCCGGATCATCAAGATGCCCTTGGCAGTCGTGTCCTTCTTGTAGTCCTCTCCTGCCAGCATGTCCTTCAGGTTGAGGACCAAGCTCTTGGGCGCCACGTACTGCGACATTGCTGCATCGATGGAGGCCTGCACGAAATTGCTGATAAAGGGGACGTCCATGATGTTCAGGCCATGCTTCGTCAGTGGGGTGCAGCTGAGGTCGACCTTGGGCTGGCCGAGGAATGTGAGGGTGCATAGTTCAAAGAACGGCGGGTCAGGGGTCAGCTGTAGCCTCAGGCGGACGGTGCCGATGATGCCGCGGAGGTCCACCCAGACGGGGAGCTTGAGGTTGCCGGGCATGTAGAAGGCGAGGCAGAGATGTATGTCCTTGGTGCGTGATCTCATGGAGTCGGAGCTGGAGCGGGATCGATACGCAAAGGCCACCTCGAGGTTGATGAACTCGCCGTCCTCAGCCTCCATGCCCTCCTGGATCTCATGGCCCTCGCCGTCCGTGTTGTCATCCTTCTCGCCATCTTTGCCCTGATCGGTCTGCTGCTCGGATGTCAACCCGCCGTCTTGGGTGACGGAATCGGTCGCGGCACCACGGGGCAGCCAGCGGACGCCGAGGATGCGGATCGCCTCGCTACCTTGCCCGATATCATCGACGCTCACCATGCGGACGAGCTTGGGCAGCGATGCCTGCATAACATCCTCGAGGGTGTCGCCGAGCGAGGCAAACAGATCAGGGTTGATCATGGGCCAGACCGATCCCAAAAGAGAGTTGAGCCAGACGGTTGTTTCCGTCTCGTGCTTGCGAGCGTCCGAGTTGACGAGCTCGCGCTGCGCCTCCCAGACTTCGTCCTCGAAAACGTTGCTGATGCGCCTAGAGATCCAGTCACGAACGGCGAGCGTGAGAACCGCCGCGCCCCCAATGCCCACCGTCATCAGCGAGAACCAGGTGACCTTGCCCGCGCTCGACAGGGAACCATCTTTTTGGTGAATGAATTTGCTGAACACGACACCGCTGAAAGTAATGACAGCCAACCCAATCAGGCCGAAAGTAATACCCTTGTTGGCAATGGTGCTCATCTCCTGTCGCAGGGCATCAAAGTCGGGTGGCGGGAAACGATGCACGAGCTCTCCATGGTCCTGCTGTAGTCTGGTCTTGTCTTTGGAGAGCTTCTCCCCCTTGGCCTTCTCGCTGAGCCCAGACGTCGTGTGCTGGATACCATCTGACTGTGGATACGACTTGTCCATGTCCACGTTTTCAAGCGCCTGGTCGGTGAAGTCATGGATGGTAATGGGCAAATGGGTCACCGGATCCGTGACCTCACGCTCTGCTCTCTCTTTCTTGTTTCCATCCTTGCCCTTTTTGCTGGACTTGATTTCCTTCATGCGCTGCCTCGGGTCTGCGGCCCCTGGGTCAATCTCGGATGTGTCTTTGGGTGTGTCGTCTTGTTGCTGCTGCTGCTCATCACCATCGTGATGCTGCTGTTGGGTTTCTTGCTGCTCGTTGTCCTTGTTGCTCAGCTGCCCTGATCCAAGCGCAGCCGTCGTATCCGTCACGCCCTGCTCGTCATCATCCGCCTTCATCGCCGCATCCTGGCGAGCTGCCTTCTCCTCGCGGTACTTGGAGATGGTGGGTATGGGGTGCCTGGCGCCATAGGGCGCGTGGTGGCGCCGAACGTCGTCAATGTCCTCATGGCCAGACATATTAGGTACGACTGACTTTCCTTTATGGGATGAGCAAGGGAGGATGAGAGGACTAAGAGGAGGAATTGGATTTTCTTTACTTTTCACCCTGCCCGTCGTAACTATGACCATGTTTGAAACGCGTGGACCAAGGCAAGGTGAGAGGCTACGTCATAAAATTGTGGTCGTACGTGGGGCAGGAGCACCAGCACCCAGCAGCAGCCCAGCATCATCGTGCTCAGCTCCAATCCATTGGCATCAGTTGGGCGATCTATCCATCCAATGCCAGTGAAACCAAGTTTGGTCTTGCTCCTATTCGAGTCGATCTCTCCATGTTCTACCACCCAACCCTGTATGCACCCCCCTTCACTGTCTTCACCGTCTGTCATCAATAGTGTAGAAGCAACCCGCTTTGCATCGTGATGCTGCGCTGGGCGAGGCCGCAGACTAGCGTTATGGTTGGATCAACCGGACACAAACCTCCGTTGTTTGGTCTGATTGTTGGTTTTTGACGTGTGACAGCGGGCACTGGATTAGAGCTGCATTTGCGGCTCCTCCAGTCGTTAGTTGGGTTGATCATTAAGGTACGCGTAATCACAGGTTAGGCTCGTACGTTGCGGCTTATTTTAGTGCGGCCACCCCGCCAGCTGCCAGCTCCAACATATCAGTCTTTGATCAAAGATGGCTTACCATCAACTATCACGCATGCTATATTGATAGGAGCTCGAGGGTCATCGAGCGAATTATCTGCCGCATCAGAGTCGAGAATCAGACTTCTTTGCCTAAGACCGCTGTCCGCTTTGCGCTCCTCACCTGGAACAAGCTGCAAGCATAGGTCGCCGGTACCATGAACAGCTTCTTGATGGTCCTTGGTCTTGCGGGTTATCGTGCAGAACCAACCGAGTGCAAGCGAAAGAAAAAGAAAAGAAAACAGCCCTGGCACACTGCATTCTCGTATCGTACATTGGTCATACGTAACGTACGTTGGAACGTGGCGGGTAGGACCATAATGTAACGCCGGTGCCGGTGAATCCCAGCAAGGCTTCGATCTCCCCCAGCTTCCAGGCGACGTCATCGTGAATCTGTCCTAGATCCTCGAAGATTCTGGTGCAGAGAAGGCTGTGAACTTCTCATTGCCGCTGACGCGCCGATCAAACTCGGCTCAGCAGGAGACTGTTGCAGAGTTTTCGTTGTCCTTGCCGCAACCTGTTGCTCAATGGGCGGTGGCCGCTGACAAGGCGTCGTATTCGGCCTCTAATGGTCATTATATGACCATACCCAGCTCATAATACGAATGGAGCCGAGGCATCGACAGGCACAACTTAATTACCTATTACAGGTTGGAACCAGGCAGATGGACTTATCATTTCAGTACCCGTGCGTATGGTTGCCATGTGTGAGCTCATGGCCCAAACCGCCATGTCGCGATGATAATATGCCAGATCAAGTGGAGACTGGAGACTAGGGGACCGTTGAGACAACCCCACACTCGCTGGCGTCGTCCAGTACCCTGCCACCAAATTTGCAAGTCGGGCTGCCTCTTCCCCTACCCGTGCCAAGGTATTTTTCCTACTGTGGTGCGGTGAGGACGAAATGTGTGAGAGAGCCACGCTTTGAAAGACTGCCAGTGAGCAATCAAAGCAATGAAGCAACGACATGAGCTCTATGCTGGGAATAAGAGGAATTCCGTGTTATTAATAGCAATTAACCAGCGGTCGACTGACTTAATAGATCCCAAGTTCTTGCGGTCGCTGTGGGTCCTTGGCCAATATTTAAGCGCCGTGGCGCTTCTTCGGGCTTAGCGCCTCTGCGATGTTCCAACCAACCAACGCAAGAAGGATCGTGAACTCCCCAAAGACAACGCCGTTAACCGCTGAGCGTTTGCCGCCGGATCGTCTACTACTACATCTCCTCGTCATGATGGGAACATCTCCATTTGCCTTCCCAATGTTGCACTCGACTCTCCAGACCTTGTTTGATCTGTACGCTTTGGAATGTGAAAAGGGTTGATCGGGTCAAAGTCCCCTTTCCCCTACCCCCAGTGCCCACCCTTGCCTGCGCCTCTCACACCCGACGTCGCATCCTGATACCGCTGAGACGGTACCAACCGGACGAACGACGACACGGTTTCAGCAGCGTCGCGCCGCGACCGTCGACGCTCTGCGCTTTTACTTTATCAGTCTCGCTGCGCCTCTTCGAGAGCGATAGTTTTTCTTGTCCCTCGTCAGTCGCTGGTCTCGACTGTCGTTCGCTCTACTGTCTGCTGGTCGGGATATCTCTTCACTCCTTTTCTCATATTCTTGGCGATTATACACATCCTATCTTTAATACTACACAGCCTCCACAGCACAGCCAGCAACATGGGCGGCCAAACTACATACGGCGAGCTCTTTCGCAAGCAGCTCAAAGCACCAAAGCTCCTCTTTCACTTCTGCTTCTGGGCTTTCCACTGGGGCATCTTCGCCTATGGCTGGTACAAGCAGGCTTCGGATATCCGTCTCGCCGGTCTCAACACGCTCACCTTCTCGGTATGGATCTCTCGTGGCGCGGGACTGGTGCTCAGCGTCGACTGCATGTTGATTCTGCTGCCCGTCTGCCGCACGATTATGAAATTCATCCGCCCCAAGATACGCTTTCTGCCCCTCGATGAGAACCTCTGGATGCACCGGCAGCTCGCCTACTCCATCCTCTTCTTCACCTGTCTGCACGTCGCCGCGCACTATGTCAACTTCTACAACGTCGAGATTGGGCAGATCCGACCCGTTTCCGCGCTCCAGATTCACTACGCGCAGGCAGGAGGCATCACCGGGCACGTCATGCTCCTGTGCATGTTCTTCATGTACACCACGGCACACGCACGCATCCGCCAACAGTCCTTTGAGACCTTCTGGTATACGCACCACCTCTTCATCCCTTTCTTCCTGGCACTCTACACCCACACTGTCGGGTGCTTTGTCAGAGACTCGGTGGAAGGATTCTCCCCCTTTGCGGGCAAGGACTACTGGGACCACTGCATCGGTTACCTTGGCTGGCGGTGGGAGCTTTGGACCGGCGGCTTCTACCTCATGGAGCGCCTGTGGCGCGAGGTCCGAGCAAGGCGATCGACCGAGATCACCCGCGTCGTCCGTCACCCATACGACGTTGTCGAGATCCAATTCGACAAGCCGAGCTTCAAGTACAAGGCCGGCCAGTGGCTGTTCCTCCAGGTGCCCAGCATCAGCAAGTACCAGTGGCACCCGTTTACCATCACTTCGTGTCCTTTTGATCCCTACGTGTCAGTGCACGTGCGACAAGTCGGCGACTTTACACGCGAGCTGGGCGACGCCTTGGGTGCCGGCGCGGCTCAGGCCAAGTTGTACGATGGCGTGGACCCCATGGGTATGTACGAGGTCGCCCTGCAGAACGGACAAGAAATGCCTGGGTTGAGGATCGATGGTCCCTACGGAGCCCCGGCCGAGGATGTCTTTGAGAACGAGATTGCCGTGCTGATCGGCACGGGTATTGGCGTGACGCCCTGGGCGAGTATCCTCAAGAACATCTGGCATCTGCGCAACTCCCCCAACCCTCCTAGGCGCCTGCGCCGCGTGGAGTTCATCTGGGTGTGCAGGGACACGGGCTCTTTCGAATGGTTCCAGACCCTCCTGTCCTCTCTCGAGGGACAGTCCAACGAGGCCGCGCGCATCCCTGGATCGTCGGGCGAGGAGTTCCTCAAGATCCACACCTATCTCACGCAGAAGCTCGACATGGACACGACCCAGAACATTGTCCTAAACTCGGTGGGCAGCGAGATGGATCCCCTGACCGAGCTCAAGAGCCGCACCAACTTTGGACGACCCAACTTCAACAACATGTTCACCGCCATGCGCGAAGGTATCCGGGACAGGAGCTACATGGGCGGACTGGAGGGGAGCATGAAGACGACGGTGGGTGTGTACTTTTGCGGGCCGTCTGCAGCTGGTAAGTTTCTGCGCACCACAAGCATAACCTGATGAACCTGTTGCTAACGAGATGCGCAGCCCGAGATATCAAAACAGCATGTAAGGATGCTACAGCGAGGGACGTCCATTTCCGATTCTGGAAGGAGCATTTCTAAACGATATTATTTGTCACGACTACGTAGAAAGCGTCGAATTGAAATTTCTGAACCACCCAGTTATTATTATGCCACCTGACACAATACGGAGTAATATGTACACATCGGATTCCTCAAGTGCCGGATACCCCTGAAGGGCTGCGTCTCATCACGACCCTGGCCTGGCCGAGCATGTACCTATACCCGAGGCGCATATAACACTAATGACCATACTTTGTTTGCCGAGGCAAGATAGATTTATATGTTCATTCATCTGTTTAATTCCGGGTGACCAAAACCGGTTACGTAGTTGCAGAAGTATCAAAATGTGTTCAACACTCAAAATTGATATTCCTACTTCCTTCTCCCAATCTCCATCAAAGCTTGAATCTGAAAAAGCTCAAAAGCAACTGTCTTCCTCATTATTTAAACAGTGTCAAGAGAAAGAGTCAAAAGCTATGTTCCGCAGAAAAAGGCCTGGCAAACCGTGTTCACTCCAAGGTGCAGGGTTCGCAAAACGCCGCTGACAAAGCGCTGCACATCACGGTGCGCGGTTCCTTTGGCTTGCCTTAGATCGCATCGCATTGCACTCTTGGGATTCCATTTTCATCCACTCCAACACCACCTCAACACTCCACCGAATCTGGCCTTGCTGTGCTGTCAGTGAACCATTGTCATTCAGATCAACTGCCACACTCCTCCACCAGAGCCCGCACAAAACCACAGCCATGGCGACGGCCACATCGCCCCAAGCCGCCGCCAGCGCCATCCTCAACCACACCTCGCCCACCTACACATTCGCCTTCACGCCCTTCCTCCAGCAGACCTACCAGGTCTCCCTCCCCGCCGACCGACCGATATGCCGCGCCTTCAACACGGGCACCTGCCCAAACGGCACGCGCTGCCCGGAGCGCCACGTCCTCATCAACCCCTCCGAGTCCACACAGCGCCAGGGCGGCCTCAACTCGCTCGTGTGCAAGCACTGGCTGCGCGGGCTGTGCAAAAAGGGCGAGCACTGCGAGTTCTTGCACGAGTATAACCTACGCAAGATGCCCGAGTGCAACTTCTTTATGCGCAACGGGTACTGCTCCAACGGCGACGAGTGTCTCTACCTGCACATTGATCCGCTCTCGCGGCTGCCCCCGTGTCCGCACTACGACATGGGCTTCTGCCCCCTCGGCCCGCGCTGCGCGAAGAAGCACGTCCGGAGGAAACTGTGCGTGTACTACCTGGCTGGGTTCTGCCCCGACGGACCCGAGTGCAAGGCTGGTGCGCATCCAAAGTGGCAGACCAACCTCGATCGGCCGCGGGCGAGGAGCGAGGTCAAGGAGGAGGAAGACGCAGAGCGGGAGGCAAGGATCGAAGCGGCCATGGGCCGAGAGGAGGAGGAGCGCAGGGAGGACTGGGGTGGCGGACGCGGCGGCGGTCAACATCGCGGTAGGGGTGGGCGGTGGAGAGGGGGCAGAGGACGATTCAGGGGAAAGCACTAGAAGTGACGTCTCGATACCCCAGGATGAGAGAGAAGAGTCTGTACATTTCATTGTTTTTATCTACAGCTGCGACGGCGATCGCCCCCAAATACCACTTTCCACGTCGGACCTCCAGATATTCTTCTCAGGTGTGATGGCGACAAACTGCTCCGATGCGGAGCCCTCGTCGCCATTCTCGGATCCCTCGCGCGACGACCCCTCGTACGAGCTCGTCTTCCAAGTGGAGAGTTGGTCGACCTTGCGGATGCCCATCATCCATGAAACCAGGCTCCTGGGAGCGAAGCGGCCGACGAAGCCATACACGCTCGCACCGAGGCCGACGCGGATCGTGTCAGCGGTTATGGACCCGTCGATCACGTCAAAGACCGAGTTATGGAGATGGCGTAGCGACGATCCCTTGAGACCCCTGATGCGACCGCCCGAGATGGCACTGCTCGTCTGCGCCATAAAGTTGCGCCCGTAGACGTGACGGGCACCGTCAGGCCAGACGAGCGTGTCCTCGGGATTCCCTGCTCCCAGCGATGCGTTCTGTCGTGCTGGCACAAAGGCGGAGAGGTCAAATGTACCCAGCTGCATGTGGGTGACCGTAATGTCCAGTGGCCTCAGCTCGGCGGTCAGGACGTCTGTGAACGCCCCCAGTGCCGAGCACACCGTTGCCTCGGGTGCATGGAAGGGTGGGTTGATGGATGAGATGATGCTGGGTGTAAAGACGAGAACCTTTGGTGGGATCCATTTCTCCCCGATGGGTTGCAGTCTCGAGGTCAGCAGCGGTAGGAAAGCTTGGATTGTGAGGATGGGCTGCAGTAGATGCGTATTAAAGAGGTCGGCAAAGCTGGAGGGCGGGATGGTCGCAATGGGCGAGGTTTGGTAGTTGAGGCTCGGTATGAGAATGATGGATTTGAGAGTGAGGGCGTTGGGTTTGACGGTGGGCGCAGGCGAAGAGCCGGACTGGAGATGGAGTGCGAAGCGTTCCATGGCGGCCCCAGCTTTGGGCGGCTGTCTTTTTGTTAGGGGTTTACGCATGGATAAGGGGGGTTAAGGAGCGCACTCACGTCTGTTGTGTCGATAGTCAGTGGTCTGATGTCCGGCCTCGCCAGCGCAGACACTGCTCCCTCGTCCTCGGCCGCATTGCAGACAATGTACACGACGAACCCGCGTCTCTCCATGTCCAAGGCCAACGACTTTGTGAGTGGCAGACTCGCCGAGCCGGCGATCACGACAACCTCTGTTCGTCCACCGTTCCTGGCGCGTTTCGCTCGTCGTACTTTGCGAGCCGATTTACCGGTCTGGTACCCCTTCCAGACGACGGTCCCGCACGCAAGGACGATGCATCCTGTGAGAATTTTGTTTCGCCAGATCCATGCTTGGACCTTGTCCAACCTCGACAGAGCAGAGACAGGTACGGGCGCTGGCTTGGGCGGCGGGAGATTCGGTCGTATGGTATCTGGGATCCACGAGGACTGGGAGAGCGTGGAGCGGATCTGTGAAGCGGCGGCGTCGACTTGTGTGTTGATGACTTCAGCAACCGAACCGCTGTAGGAGACGATGCGGTCGGGCAGCGAGGCGAGCTGGTATTCGTCAGCGGAGGAGAACACGCGCCAGTCTGAAGTTCATATACTTACCGCGTCCAGGAACTGCTGGTCGTCAGCAGACATAATGCCGTCAGTGGTGATGGGATACTGCGGTGTTGTTAGGCATGGAGAAGAAGGAGATGACGCCTATTGCTCTTTCCTTTCACCTCGCGTCGGCAGACCAGGGCCTGCGGATGCGTTTCCGTGATTGGATGCCGGGCTTGGCGGCTCTCCACCCTTATCAAGCAGATGGAAGTGGGGCTATGTCAATGTTCACATGCGAGGACAAGTCAGGCCTGGAAGATCATGATGCAGAGAAATAATATAGAATTAAGCAGAAGTATCAAGGGCGAATCCTTTCAGTCATACAAATATTGCACCTGCCAGAAAGTATAATGCTGCCATGTTGTTGCGGACACACAGCTGTCAATGTACTCTCATAGAGTCACATGCATGCGCGCGCGAGTGTCAGCAGAGGCAAAGGATTCAATGGGACGATTTCATGTACGGATAGAGTGATATACGCATATTACACACGGTAGAAAAGAACATCCTAGCCTTTCCTGGCCAAGACCCCTCAGTTACCAAAGATATTTGTCCTGAACCTACTCAGCTTCATGTCGACAGCGCCCTAGAGAGCGGTAGCTTCCCCGGATTACCCCACACGCCCAGCGAACGGCTATACACGGCAAGCTGCAGCTCAGTCGATCTATCTCTTAGTCAACGCTTAAAGCCAGCCAGCCCGCCCGTCCGTCCCCATCCCTTATCTAGTCCTCGGCGTCTAGATCCTCTTCCTCCCAAGCATCCCCTCAGCTCTGTTCGTCCGAACCCCGCGAGGACACACACAGACACCATGTTCTTCTTGGATTATCTCAACCATCGGCGCGACTGGTATGGCGTCACGTCTCCCACACAGGATCGCAGAACTGACAAGAGGCAGCCAGTTCAAGCAGAATGAGCGCGTCGCTCGCCTCCGTGGCCTCCCCTCGTGCTACCACGCCGCCTTCTCCCCTCTCGACCGCGACATCGTCACCAAGCCTATCCAATCGCTCGTCGAAGATGTCCACAACGACCCCTCCAAGGCTACGCAGATCCTGCGCACCTATGGTAAAGTGGCCGTCAAAGCGCACGAAAAGACCAACTGTGTGACGGAAGTCATGATCGAGCCTGCCGAGGGCTGGCTCAAGGACGGCAGCGTCAATCTCAAGGGGCCCCTGGCCGGCATTCCGATCAGCCTGAAGGATTCCCTCGAGGTGGCCGGGTTCGACACCACGGTGGGTATCAGCAGCCTGACCGGCAACGCCCAAAAGACCGACGGACCGCATGTGAAGCTCCTAAAAGATGCGGGCGCCGTGCCCTATGTCAAGACGAACATCCCCATCACGCTCCTCAGCTTCGAGTCGACCAACGAAGTCTGGGGCCAGTGCACAAACCCCTACAACGAAAAGTACACACCGGGTGGCTCGACAGGTGGCGAGGGTGCGCTGCTCGCCCTGGGTGGTCGACTGGGTGTCGGCAGCGATGTGGCGGGCAGCGTGCGTGTCCCCGCGCACTGGAGCGGCATCTACTCTCTTCGCTGCTCGACAGGACGATGGCCCAAGAGTGGTGCTCTCACACCGATGCCGGGGCAAGACGGCGTGCCTTCGGTCCTGAGCCCAATGACCCGAACACTCAACGATCTAGTGTACTTTACTCGGTCGATTGTGCAAATGGAGCCGTGGAAATACTGCTACACGTGCCACCCGCTTGCCTGGCGATCAGATGTTGAGAAGGCGTACAAGGAGAAGAAGGTGCTCAAGGTGGGCATCATGAGGACGGACAATGTCGTCGATCCTTCACCGGCATGTCAGCGGGCCCTGGAGATGACAGAGGCTGCCTTGAGGCGGGCAGGGCACGAAATCAAGGAAATTTCACCTCCCGATCCGTACGAAGGTCTCCAGGCTGCCTCTATCCTGCTGAACAACGACGGCGTGAGGACGGCGACTGACTGCATGCGCTGGGGCGAGTGGAACGACAAGGGCGTCGCGCAGATGCTATTCTACATGAGGCTGCCCCGTCCGATCAAGTACCTGCACTACCTGTGGGTCAAGTACGTCCGGCGGGATCCCGTCTGGGCGGGCTTGCTGCGAGACTGGCATCCCAAGAGTGCCTACGAGGTCTGGGGGCTGAACGCGAGACGTGAGGCGTACAAGCGCAGGTGGTTCGAGTGGTGGAATGCAGTGGGTGTGGACTTTATCATCGCGCCACCAAATGCCACGCCAGCAGTACCGCACGGCGGTATGCATGATGCCGTGAGCAGCTGTGGATATACCTTCTTGTTCAACCTGGTGAGTCTCCCCGATCGGTTCCCGGTGGTCGACACAAGCACTAACCATTTTTCCAGCTTGACTATACCGCCGGAATCATCCCTGTCACCCACGTTGATCGGGTGAAGGATGCCTTGAGCCCTCACTTCAACATCAAGAAGCTGAACGGTGTGGCACAAGGAGCATACAAGCTGTATGATGCGGATGCGATGCACGGGCTGCCGGTGGGTGTGCAGGTAATTGGTCGGAGACTGGAGGAGGAGAAGGTGCTGGCTTGTATGGAGAGGGTAGAAGAGGCCTTGGGAGATGAGAAGTTCAGACTGTTGGAGCTAGATTGAGCTGTTGGTCCTAGTGGCGCGCAACCTGGATACTACCACAGGTAGAAGCGCCTGACACCGAGCAAATGATGACATGTGAATTTCGTTACAGAGTCGTTGAAGAGGCTGACTTCTGTTGACTGAACGATCGGCACATTTTGCAGAGGCCTATACTTATTGTACTGCCGAGTAGTATAGGAGGGGGATTCCGCTGGACGCTGCCCCCTCGCCGAGATCGGAGCACCGGCTTGAGTACATATCTAGCAAGGGACGTCGAAGTGAGCATGCGCCTGTGATAGTCTCTATTTCCTTTTTGATTCATAATTCCGCACACATAGAACTGTGCAGAGGAGTACAATGGCCGACAACGTTAAGAAAGACCATTGGTCTTCATCGGTCAGCCCCTTTTCTTGCCTGTGTGCCAAACCTCCACTTACACGCCCAGGCTTATCAACACTCAGCCTCTTTCGTGCCCAAGTTGGCAACAAAAGTAGTCCAATGGCTTGATCTAAAAAAGGACGATGTCCTTCTTGACGTGGGCTGCGGCGGTGCGTTGTCTACTCCTCGGATCACGGCCAACCTTTGCTGATGACGAGCGGCAGACGGCGTCCTTGACGTGGAATTCGCCAAGATCCTCGCCCAGGGCAGTGGATCTCTCCTTGGAACTGATGCCTCTTCGTCCATGATCAACGCGGCAAGGCAAGCTTGCAAAGATGCCCCCAATGCAACCTTTCAAGGTCTGTGAGCCGAGCAGCCTGAGTTAGCACACTTGTACTCACGTTTCACGCAGTGATTGACTCCACGACCCCGAATGCCTACCAGCGGGAGACCTACACCAAGGTCTTCTCCAATGCGGCCCTCCACTGGATCCTGAGTGCTCCAAGCACGCGCGTGTCAACCTTCCAGTCCATGTACGACGCTCTGCAGGCCGGTGGCTCGCTGATCCTGGAGATGGGTGGCCAAGGTAACGTATGCGAGATGCGCACAGCCATTGTATCCGCGCTTGCTCGACGCATGCCCATGGAGAAGATTATCGCCGCAGAGCCTTGGTTCTTTCCCAACGAGGCCTGGTTGCAGCGCACGCTTGAGAGCGTCGGGTTCGTGGTAGAGAGGTGTGAGCGCGAGTGGAGACCCACGACCACCGACCGAGGCGGTGTCGAAGGTTGGGTGAGGCTGATGGGCGGGCAGTGGCTGGATGTGCTAGAGGATGAGCAGCAGAGGGAAGAAGTCATCAAGGAATGTGCACAGGTTCTGCGACACGTTTGTGGTGGAGAGGGTGGTGACGGAAAGGAGATGATCAGCTATGTCAGGCTGCGTGCGGTGGCCAAGAAGCCGGCCACGTGAGAATTCCGAATCATTATTGTTCAAGTGAAGCACCCGTATTTATGTCTGTGTCTTTTGAGGTGCACGACTTGAGGTTCAACGTGGTGGTGGTTGTGATCGCGAAGCGGGTACGGTCTGAGAGTATTTTTTGCTGATGAGTAATCCTCTCCCTAACATTGATATTCGCAGGCATCTTCACGTCGTCATCCTCAGATTGATAGCAGCAGCCTCTCGCAGTCACACAGGTGAACAATGTGCAGCCCCCAGTGAATCTATTGCGCAACCTGGAGCACAAGGACCAGGCAGTGGCCAGCAGTCATGTCGCGGAGTCGGTCGCTTCCCAAAGGTGCGAAACGCTGATACAAGGCTAAAGGTCGTCCGTCTCTCTTTTGATCCCAATAGTCGTAGACCGCTTTGTCTGTTGACTGGGTATACTTCGCTACTCTCTGCAAGACGCTTTCAGGGCTTTCGAGCCCGTGCCAACCTTTTACCAACTTCTTCACTCTTTCTTTTTACGCGATAGTAGAATACGATGCCCGAGATAGACGCCTTGGTCAGGGGCTACCGCCACCTGCATGACTTTCCCCGAGCAAACGATGCTTTGCAAATCCTCAAGAAAGTCGCCTCCCTGGCGAAGCCGATCATGCGGGCGCGCAATTGGAAGATCTCCGAGCTGACAGAGTTCTTCCCCGATGACGGCAAACTCCTCGGTATGCTGACTATCCACCCTCTCTTTGTGCATTGAGTGGCTCACAAGGAAAAGGACTCAACGTAAACAAGGGAAAGCTAGTGTGTATCCGTCTGCGATACCACAATGACAGGACAATCTTTCTTCCCTTTGAGGATGTCGTCGACACGATGCTGCACGAGCTTTGCCATAACACCATCAGTCCTCACAACTCGTCCTTTCATGCGCTTTGGAACCAGCTACGCGATGAGCTCGAAGCCCTGCACCGAAAGGGCTTTACGGGCCAGAACTTCCTATCCTCCGGGCAGAGACTTGGTGGAGGGAGGATGCCGCAGCAGGAGATTAGAAGGCTGGCACGTGAAGCTGCTCAGCAACAGCAGGCAGCACTAGCCCGGCAAGGTTTCTCCCGCCGACTCGGGGGCGAGATACAGAGTGGTTGGGACCATGTGCGCACCGCCGTGCCCCCCGCAGCGCGGAGACGTCAAGAAACAAGGAGGGTCTGCAGTAACAACATGACGGAGCGCCAGATCATTGATCTGACGCAGAGCGCGAAGGATCACAGCACCATGACAGCAGCAGAGGGGGGGGAAGCGAACGAGGCGGCCATAGCGCAGGCCTTGTGGGAGATGACCCAGGAGGATGAGAAGAAGGCACTCGGCAAAGACTACGTTGCACCTTCGCAGGAAAACCCCACGGGCAGCGGTGGAAAGCTGGGCATGGGCGGCAGATGGTCGTGCCAGGTGTGCACGCTGGTGAACCCGGCAGCCTATCTCTGCTGCGATGCTTGTGGTAGCGAGCGTTCCGCCGGTGGAATCATTCCTGCCAGCAACCCTGCCAGCAACAGCGGTGGCACGCCGCGGCCACAAAGTCCAAGTCCAACACAACGGGTCCCTGACACGGTGGATCTCACGGGATCACCGAGTCCGCCTCGGCCGGCAGACAAGAAACGACGTCGCGTGGAGGAGTCGCCAGCAATGAAGCCAACAAGGAGGACCATGCTACCGCCGACATGGAGATGTGTGTGGTGTAGCAAGGTGATGGAGCAGCAGTGGTGGACGTGCAGTGAGTGTGGCCGAATGAAGGACAGGTCGTAACTCGTAACCGTAGCGACCGGGCACGATTGGGGATCTGGCGGGTTCATGGGAAATGCATGTTGTTTGAGAATCCCATCACGACCCTGGATGCACCCTGACGCAAGGCGTTCGCGAGCTGCATGAGTAATGACTTCATGGCGCCGAGGGCATCGTCATGCCAGATTGAGTTCTTTTTCCACCGACACGGGTGAGGCGCATGACGTAGGGCGAGTTTGGGAGGCACGGGCGCCTGATTGGGACTTTCTGTGGTGGGTGGGTCCAGATTGGCTGAGATCGTGCGTACCCGCTTGGCGTGCGGCAGTGACGTACAGTATGCCGCCCTCACGGCTGGTTACATGTAGGTACGACGATACATATTCGTCTGGATGATAGAAGCTGGAGGACTGTGCCTCGGTGCAACTGGACCAATTTGTGGCCGAGGAGTGATGTCTTGACTTGAACAGGTAGCGCACACGCTGAGCTAACCAAACGCTTTCATCAACAGAGGCAGGAGACTGGACACGCGGTCTCGAACCAGGGCACCATGCCCGACGCATGGGTGTACGTGGGGCTATCTGCACTCTGCAGCGCCAATGCCGGGGTACGCACACCCACTGAATTTGTGGCGCGATCCATTCTCAGCGGGTGCCGGGCGGAGGCTACAGCACCCGCCCAGCCCTGCACAGCAGCATTGTCCGCTGTAACTTGGGCTCGAGGGAGCCAACTCAAGGTTCCGTGCCGGTGAACCATCCAATAAGCAGCGGGGAGCAAAAATCGTTACTGAGGTGAGTGAGGGCTTCACGATGTCGTGCGCAGCATCCACATGTACGGGAGTTGTGTTGTAGATCAATCAGAGTGTCTCGGTCTGGTCGAAACTCTCCACGAGACTCGCTGGTATGTCTCTAGTTGGTACATGGGAATCGACAATGGCACGTCCCGCTCGTGGGAAAGCAGCAAGTTCCCGCCCATGATCGCGATGCCCAGAGTTCTAGGCTTGCACCACGAATGCAGCGCACAAAATAGTCTCTCTTTTAGGCTCACCCACGCCAGCAGAGCTTGGTGGGCGTGGGCTGGCCCGACTAGGGGAAATGACCCTGGTCTCGATAGGCTCCACGGGGCTGGCCTGGATTGTCGATCATCTGAGCGCTGGGGTCAATCGAGCGTTTGGTGCCCTGCGATGCTGATGATTGTATTTTCTCCTTCACGAACTGCGACCATCTGTCCATCTTTCTATCTTGCCTTCCATCCCCTCCCAACCCAGCTGTGGCCCAATTGAGACAGCGTCCGACTTCTGCAGCAGTGCCTGACCTGGCCTGACCTGACAGAGCGTCATCACCTGCCTGCCACCAGTCTGGTTTGGTTGTACCTTCCAGTCCTCCTTCCCGTCCGCTCCAGTCACTTCTGGCCGCCTGTCGACATTGTCAACCCGGACCTGCGGCGAGAAGCCCACGTCGAGTTTTCGTTTGGGACGCAACCTACGAGTCTCCTCCCAGCCGGAATCTGTCGTTGTCATTCTCAGGGCCACCGTCTTTCCGCATCCGGAAACGGAGGCGTGCATCATCGTCATCCCCTGTCCGCCAGCGCGGCGTGCGGCGTGCCCCTCGACAATCCCATCCCACTCCCCGTATCCGAGTCTTCCACCCTCCCCCAACTGTGGTCGACGTGGTGGAACAAGCACGACGCAATACACGCGACGGCTACACCGGCTGGCCATGTTTGTGCCATGCCCGTTGTATGCTAAAGCCTCTCCATACCAAGATTCCTCGCCAGCACGCGATTCCATGGTTGGCACACGGGACGCCACGATATGACACCCCCCGACACCCTCCACATCAGCGACGACCCTCGAGCTTTTAGGCCCGCACATTCAGTCACGCACGATGCAGACACGCCAGTTGCTGATGGTGATGAGGTTGGCTCCTCCCAGACGACACCACTGGGCCAACCTACCACAGACCCAAAACCGATCCAGACGAGACCCCCGTTGAGACCCAGCCCTGGCATCGCCGCTCCTGTCACAGGCGACGACCCTCCACACTCCCTCGGCGGATCCGGATTCACGAGGATGCCTTCCGACGGCCTCAAGCGATCCCAACCAGAATCGCTCAGCCCGCTCCGCTTGGCGATGCCAACCATATCGCCCGGGCAACTTGCCTTCTCAGCGCTGCAATATCTCCCGGTGCCAACACTTGTCTTGAGCAGCCTGAAAACCGTCCTCCTCGCAAACGAAGCCCTCGGGCGTATGCTGGGAATCGTGGAGGACCATTTGGACGAGGTGGATGCCTCGACGACCCTGGAATGTTTGCGAGGCCAATCTCTCTCACAAGTCGGTATTGACATGATCCAGGATGGACAACCGGTCTGGGTGACGTGGGAGGTATTCCTGGACAATATCGTCAATGAGATGGGAGTTCGCCCGCCAGCAGGGACACAAAGGGGTTCCCCCAAGGACGGTCCAGACACGCCCACCACGGCTCCCACGCTCCCGATCGAACGAAGGTTGTCGGGTGGTCGCCCTACCCAAGACGCCGTCGTTGACGTTGTCGTTTCGCGCAAAGGTATCAGTAAAACGGCCTTCGACTCCCGGTACAAGTCCAAAGTTTCCGAATATCAGGTCTTTGCGAAGATGATCATCTCCATCTGGGAGCTCGAGGACCGGCAGACGTATTTCACACTGACCTTCACAAGCACGCAGTCAACGCCCTCTTCTTTTGCTGCGCCGCGCAAGTCGGTTGCCAAGCCCAGCATCCTCGAAGCGGCGGACAGGAAGACGATAGTGACACCGCTGGCATCGAACCCGCCGTCGGTCGCTTCAAGCCGCGACTCATCCGAGCCATCCTTTTACAGTCCCTCAGCAGTGACAATATCCGCCACTCCATTCCCTCCCATGGGCCCACCTTCTGTAGCGTCGCGGTCAAGCACGCCCTCGGTTCTGCAAAAGATGCTGAGGATGAAGGATGCGTTACTGGACCACACGCAGATGCCCATCTTGGCCATGTGGAAGGATGGAAGCGTCACGTTCCCCAACAAGGCGGCAAGGGGACTATTTCGAAAAGACTCGAGTCCCGACGCATCAGGCGATGGGTATGAGGTCCTCAAAAAGTTCGACATGTGGACCGAGGATTTCAGCCGAGCTCTTGACATTGAAGAGTACCCGATCTCAATCCTGCTCCGCAACGAGGAGGCCTTTTCTAGCATGCGCGTCGGCGTGTACGACGCAAACGGCGAGCAGTTGGTCATGGACGTTCTAGGCGAGGTGATACGAGACGAGAGCACAGGCGAGTTCCTGGCTGGTGTGGTCACGGGCCGCGATATTACCGGCATGACGAGAGAGATCACTGAAATCAAGGAGCGCGATGAGGAACGGTTCAGGCTCATTTGCGACACGATGCCACAACTCGTCTGGACCGCTCGACCAGACGGGTACCATGACTTTTTCAACACAAGATGGTACACGTATACCGGTCTCACGCCTGAGGTGTGCTTCGGCAAGGGCTGGCAGCTTCCATTCCACCCGGATGACATGGCCGAGACGAAGGCCCGCTGGACGCATTGCTTGAAGACGGGCGATCCGTATGTCACGGAATATCGGTGTCTCAGCAAGGAAGGCGAATGGCGATGGTTTCTCGGGCGAGCGCTGGCGATCCGCAACAAGGAGACGGGGCAGATCGAGAAGTGGTTCGGTACGTGTACGGATGTGCATGAGAGCATGGAGACCAAGCTCAACGCCAAGCGGACGAAGCAGCAGCTCCTGAGCGTCATTGCGCACTCACACGTGACTATCTTCACGGCGGATATGGATCGCAGGGTCACGATGCTTGAGGGAGCTCTCATCTGGGACAGTGGGAACGATGAGAGTCGCGACGATAGCAGATGGTTCGTTGGAGAAGATGTGTACACCGTCTTCTCCAAACTCACGGAGCATCTGTCCGAGGGGCTGAAGCCTCATTTCCTCGGTCCCATTGAAGACATACTCAAAGGCAAGGTCGCCGAGGACGTTGTGACCGAGGAGCATCCTTTCAATGGACGTTGGTACCGCACCCGCTTCTTGCCCATGTACGGCAAGAAGGCCAGCGACGGCCGAGTCGTTGACGAGGCCTCCATCGAGGGCGTGATTGGCGTCATCATGGACGTGACGGAACTCCGACAGCAAAAGCACGAGGCTGAAGTGCGGCTCCAGGAGAAGCGCAAGGCGGTCGCGAACGAAGCAGCAGCGCGAGAAGCCACGAGACTCAAGAGCCAATTCTTGGCCAACATGTCGCACGAGATCAGGACGCCTATCACTGGTGTGTTGGGCATGGCCGAGCTGCTGGGCGGCATGGAACTCGATGCGGAGCAGAGGGAATACGTGGAGAACATTTACAGTTCGGCCAACTCCCTCTTGACCGTCATCAACGACATTCTGGACTTCTCCAAGGTAGAGTCTGGCCGCTTGGATGTGGAGGAGGTGCAGTTCTCGCTGTCACTCATCGTCAAGGAAGTGGTCCGCATGCTGCAGTTCGCCGTGGAGAAGAAGAATCTCGACTTCCGGTCAGACATTGAGGCAGAAATCGAAACGGACATGGTGGTCATTGGTGACCCGGGGCGCGTGCGGCAAATCATCACCAATCTCCTGACCAACAGTATCAAATTCACCAATCAAGGCTACGTTCGGTTCTCTGTGCAGAAGGAAAAGGAGACAGCCGATTCGATCACAGTACGATTTGTGGTCGAGGACACGGGCATTGGCATCCAGGATGATGTTCGGAAGAAGCTGTTCCAGCCTTTCAGTCAAGGCGACGCCTCGACGGCCAGGCGATTTGGTGGCACGGGTCTTGGCCTCACCATCTGCAAGAACCTCCTCGAGCTGATGCGTGGGCGCATAGATCTGCAGTCCAAGGTCGGCAGCGGCACGACGGCCACGTTCTTCATCCCCTTTAGCAAAGTGCATGGACGCAAGGAGGCCCATCCAGCACAGGCCGGGGCGATCCCGGATAGGTTGCAGAGTGAGCTGAGCTTGTCGTGCAACAGTTCAGAGCAGGACCACCTCATCAACAGCGCGAACGAACTCGGGCAGAATTCAGCACCTCCCCCATTGCGCCGGACGTCCTTGCGGACGCCACCCACTGTCGATAATGATCTCCCGCGCTCAGAAAGGGCCAAGATGCTGATTCTTGTGGTCGAGGACAAGTGAGTTCGCTCGATATCGCGGTAGATAACCCTTTTCTTTGTTACTGACGCACGCAGTCCCGTCAACCAGAAGATCGCGACCAAGACCATCAGCAAGCTGGGGTTCCAGGTCACAGCCGCATGGAATGGGCGGGAGGCCCTCGAATATGTGGTCAATTCGACAAAGGGCAAGAATCCCAGGCCCGATGTCATCCTGATGGACGTGCAGATGCCGGTCATTGACGGTTACAAGACAACTCACCTCATGCGGCACCACCTGCCTTACAAGTACCTCGTGCAGGATGTCCCCATTGTGGCCATGACGGCCTCGGCCATCCAGGGCGATCGGGAGAAATGCACCAAGGCCGGCATGGACGACTACCTCTCGAAGCCGGTCACCATGACCATTCTTGAGCGCATGCTCATCCGGTGGTGCCTCCAGAGGCGTCGTGCATGTCCGTCACCGGCCCCATCCGACTGCTCTGAGCAATCGGAGCATTGTGAGAATGCGGACATCCCGCACGTCGCGCATGACGAGCAGGAGCCGTCGTCTGGGGCTCCTGGCGGCGATAACAATTCGCCGCTCACGCCCCGTCCGCTGACGACCAACGGCCAGTCGGAACCTTCGCCATTCGACTCACCCATGCCGCCACAGGAGGTGCGACGACCTGAAGACGAAAAGGAGCAAGCGAGTCTTCTGCAAGAGACGAAGCTCATCGATGCGGCCGGGGGGCCGCCGTCGGCGATGAGGAGCTCAAGTTACCAAGCGCCGTCGCCGGGCGAGGCGTTGACTGAGGAAAATATGAACAAGCTCAAGTCGGAGGCCAGACCGTAGGACAGGCCAGGCCTGGCCGAGCGGACCGTACATACTGCATAGCTTTGGGACCGGATTGCTATTTCACTTTACGATACACGATGCAGCAGAGCAACGAAACTTTGATTCTCGCCCTGAGAGGGGACTTTCTTTTGGCGTTAGGTGGACTGGAAGGGGCGGTCTGGTGAAGGGTGTTAATTGATGCACATATGGAACCCTACGGGTGGCACGGGTGTTTTCATTCAGTTCAGTTTGGGGATACCTGAAACCTTAGAGGCTTGGTGTTACAGCAAAGATAGACGAGCCTGATTCACTGCAGTACGACAAAAATACAGCATACACGTCCCGATACCACCAGCCTACATGAGTTTAGAGTGCCGGCTCCCAGTCCGAGTCCATCGTCACCAGGTCCGTGCCCTTCTGTCCGTAGCAGAAGCGCGTCACCATGTATCGATGCGGCCTGGGGTCCTTCATGCTCGCCCTGGCGGCCGTGAGCAGCCGATCCCTCTCGTCGCCTAGTATGCCGAGAGCGGCAAAGGGTTTCGCGGCGAAGCCCTCGAGGACGTCGTCGAGCATGGCCTTCATGACGAGGCCGGAGGACTTGTGCTTCTGCTCGCGCGCCCAGGTGCCGACGGGGACCTTGATGGAGACGACCTGCACGTTCTCGAAGCCGGCCGCCTCGAGGACGTCCTTGATGTCGGTGGCGCCAAAGAGACGGCAGCCGAGCGTCCGCATGGCGCGTATGCCGAGCTGCATGAATTGCTCGAGGGCGTCATTGTCGCCCATGGTGCCATCGTCGCAGTGAATTTGGGGAAGGACGTCCTGGAACTCGACCCAACCGCCTATCCGTAGGTTTCTGTCCCCCTAGTGTCAGCATGTCCCTTCGCGTGATGGCGACGAGAGCGCCAGGTTGAATTGGCTTACTGGAATACCTGTGTCAGGACGTGCTCGACGTTGCGCAGCATGGGAAAGACATCGCGAAAGTGGGCGAGGTCGTAGCCGCTGCCGTGCGGCCACTGCTCACGCTCGCAGTCGTCGATAAAGGTGCGGAAGTTGACGGGGAGCCATTGCGGCTGGATGGGCGAGAGGTCGGTGCCGACGACGTGGGCACTCTGGTAGTGATCGGCCACTGCGTTCGCGATTAGGCTCGCGTCCTGTCACATGGTGAGAGAGTGTGTGTCTGGTGCTCACCATCAATGGCCCATATGCCACTGCCGGTGCCAATGTCGATGATCCTCTGCGGCGAGGGGCCTATGTCTGCCAGCCAGAACTGGCCATCCTACAGGTGAAGTGGGTGAGCTGAGCACAAGTCACGAGCGGACGGACTCATCATCGTCACGTACAGTCAACTCGGTCATCCAGTGATGCTTGAGCGCCTCAATCTCCTGCTCGAAATGGTCATTGGGCCACGGGTAGCGGCCGCATTTGTAGCCGTGGTATCGTCGCCCATAGGCAAACTCGAAGCGGTGCACGCTGGGCGTCACGGACGTCGAGCCATTCGAGGCCGTGTCCGCGACGGTGTCGGCGAGATCGAGGAACTCATCGTCCTCGTCGTGCTCGCTGGCGCGCACAAAGTGGAACTCGTCTGTCCGCTGCTCTGTGGAGCCAGAGGAGGGCGTGTAGAGGGATCCAGCCCCAGGATCTTGGGACGACGAGGCGGCCGAGGTCGAAGGGGCACTCATCATCGTCGGATCGTCGCGCGCAGCGGTGGTAGTTTGCCCGCAGAGGAGAGAGATGAGGTTCTTCCTAGTCTAGGTATTGATGTAAGATGGTCGACCATCTTGGGAACCCCATCCCCGCCTGCCCCTGGTTGGGAGTGCCCCGGTCAGGCTTGATCGCCACAATAATTAATACAGTACAATCAGTCGCCGCCATTGCTGGTGAAGCCTGATCGCGGAGCCTCGACCAACGTGTCAGTCTGGAGCACACAAGGTGACAAGGTTGGGTAGCCCAGGCAGGGGGCCGCAGGGTCCGTGGTTGGTTGGAACGGGTGTATGGGGGGGAGGGATGCGTGCAGGTGCCAGTCGACCAGAACCAACTGCGTCAAACGCCACCTACGGCTGTGTGCCAAGAAGAGGACATAGGCGCAAAGCTTCCGGTCTTCTGGACTGCTTCTCTCTACGGAGTACTCCGTACAGTACGTGGTGTTGTGCTCGATGAACAGCTGGGCCCAGGGGCTGCCAAGACAGCACAGCACAAATGCGATTGAGTGTTGACCAGAACAATCGAGCGAAAGATCGTGGAGAAGTGAATGGGTGGGTAGTAGAACAATAGCTGTCCAAAGGACTCGGCTCTCAGTGCTCACAGGAATGAAAGGGTCTCGCGCGAAAGACGTATCATCTGTCGGAATGCTGTTTCAATGGGCGCATCAAGCACCATCCACGTGCCGGCAAGCAGCTGCAAAGGAGCAGGGTAATAAGCTGGGAATAGATCACGCTCGCTTTGCGGGACTCATCATCGCGAAGTTGGGACTTGGGACGCTTCTGAACCCTGCATGTCGTGGTGATATTAGAGGTGGAGGAAATGGCCTGAGGCTGGGGCCTTGGTCGCTGTTCGTTTAGGGTAGGCATCTTCACTTTCCAGTGGGTGGGTCCATACACTAAATGCGGCTAGACAAAGACCGGGTGTTTGTTTACTTGGATCGACATGCCGACACCGCCCACCCACCACCTGCGCGGATCCAAATTCTACAGGACGTACCTAATTAATCGTAATTGCCAGCGCCTCGCGTTCGGGGAGCATCGCACATCTGCCTCTCACCAGACACATGGTGAAGCATACAACACACAATGAAGAGATCGACGCGCGCTTCCGCTGCGCGATCGATTCCAGTCGCGCCATCGTCCTCCACGAGATATGACCGTCCCGTCCAGCAACAAGCCGCGTCGACGACGGCCCAGGCCATGAATGCGCCTAAGAAGCGCAAACAGCGAGAGTTCGAATCGGACGCGACAGATCAGCAGACGTTCATACGGGCCGTGGTCAGGTGTCGGGCGCGCAACGAGAGGGAGCGCCGCGAAAACGACAATGTCGTCGTCTCCACGCAGAACGCCCTGGGCGACACGGTGCAGCTGTCTCTTGGCTCACACTCGCTCAGCGGCAAGAGCTACCAGTTTGACCGCGTTTTCTCCACGGCGGCGGACCAGGTGATGGTGTTCGAGGACACTGTGAAACCCATGTTGGACGAGGTTAGTCAGGCCAGGACGCGCCTGGGGACATGACTGACCGACGCAGATGCTCGCCGGGTTCAACTGCACAATCTTCGCTTACGGACAGACTGGCACGGGAAAGACGTACACAATGTCCGGAGACATGCAGACGACGGCGGGGATGCTTTCGGACGATGCTGGTATTATTCCTCGAGTCCTCCAGCGGCTCTTCGACAAGCTCGAGTCCACCGAGAAATGCATCAAAGTTTCGTTCATCGAGCTGTACAACGAAGAGCTCTCCGACCTCGTATCGGTGGACGATGCGAACAAGCTCAAAATCTACGACAACACAACGCAGAAGCAGCACGGCGCCACGATTGTGCAGGGGCTGGAGGAGAAGCACATTCAGAATGCGGCCCAAGGTATCAAGGTCCTTCAAGACGGGAGTCTCAAGAGGCACGTCGCAGCCACAAAGTCCAACAACCACAGCAGTCGAAGCCACACCATCTTCACCATCACAGCGTACATGCGCCGGACTGGGGGAAACGGCGGGGAGGAATTTATCCAATGCGGCAAGCTGAACCTGGTGGACCTGGCAGGCAGCGAGAATATCCAGCGGTCCGGCGCCGAGAACAAGCATGCTGCCGAGGCAGGGTTGATCAACAAGAGTCTCCTCACGCTGGGAAGAGTGATCAATGCCCTCGTCGACCGCAACCCCCGCTCCCACATCCCGTATCGAGAATCGAAACTCACCCGTCTACTACAGGACTCGCTCGGCGGACAGACCAAGACGTGTATCATTGCCACAATCTCACCCACCAAGAGCAGTCTAGAGGAGACCATGTCCACACTGGACTACACTTTCCGCGCAAAAAATATTCGGAATCAGCCCCAGGTGAATCGATTCATCAACAAGGAGATGTTTCTCCAGGATCTGGCAAACGAATTGGAAAGGCTCAAGGCGGAGCTGGTGTGTCATCGACAGCGAAGCGGCGTGTATCTGTCGAACGAGTCGTACGAGGAAGTCATTGCGACCAGCGAGTCACGGCGGATCGAGCTCGCCGAGCACTCGGCAAAGATTCAAACGCTCGAAGGGAATTTGCACAACAAAGCACACGAGCTGCTCAACCTGTCCACCTCGCTCTCGAGCTTGCAAAAGGACCACACGAGCCTGACTGCGCAGCTGGGTGATGCAGAAGATGCCGTGCGCCAGACGGAGAATGTCCTTGCCTCGACGCGGGAGACACTGGCCGAAGAGTCTCGGCTGCGAAAAGCCCATCAAAGTACGGAGGCAGCCCTGACCGGGGTCGGTAAAAAGCTCATCTCGACACTCAGCTCCGCCGTTGGTGACGTGGATGGACTGCATGCGAAAGGTGAGCGGACAGTAGCGCTGCATGCTCAGAACAGGGCAGCATGGCAAGAATTGCAACAAATAGCCCGCACGAAGACGCGCGAGGCTGAGCAAGATGTGGTCGCTCTGCAAGATGTCCAAGCACACCATGCATCGACAGTGCAAGATCGGTTACAGCATGTAACCGAGCTCCAGTCGGCCGAGGTCAAGTCTACCCGGGCCCTTCTCGACCTGAATTTGTCACTTCTCAATGCTTCGAGGGAGGGTATCCTGGATCGCAACTCGAAAGATACCATGGACGAGGCTCTGAAGCAGATCAAGACGCAGGGGCAACTTGCCAAGCAAACACTCGAGCAAGGTTCCCTCTCCATGTCTGCGGCCGCCCAGAAGGGGATAGGAAGCTTGGTCTTGGAGATGGATGCCACACAGGTACGGATGCAGAAATCTTGCCACGATGTCCAAGCCAGCATCACGTCTTCTTTCGAGGAGTTGATGGAGCACTCCAGCAGCCAGAGAAGGGAAGCGCGGCACCACAGGCAGCAGATGCGTGATTCCGTGACGGTTGAGCTGGAGAGGAACACAGCGATGCTGGAAAGGATGGATCAGCTCATGGCCGATGAGCGGCAGCAGCGAGACCTGGAGAAACAGGAGCTCATGTCTCAGATCGCTGGCCTGCTCAGCGCGCAATCCGAGAGGCAAGATGCGCGCTTGAAGCAGAAGTTGGCGACGCTCAAGAACGACATTCAAACCTCTAGCACTGCCATCGGCCAGAGCGTATCCCAGTACGACGGCGCAATGGAGATATGGGACGCGGAAGAATCCCAGTCGTCGGAGCGACTGCAAAGATGTCAAGAGACGCTCAACACGGGGATGCAGGAGAGCATAGATGTAAGCCCAGGCTGCAAACTTGTTGTTGTATCGTGAAACTAACTTATCAATAGATCTGGAGCAGCCACATCACTGCCGCGCGCACCGCGGCTGAGCGACTGGCTACCGAGATGGAGGACCTTACGGAGCAGCATGTTGCCGGCCTCGATGCCCATATGCAGCCGTCGGAGGATGCCGTACACCGTGCGTTGCACGAGAATAGTCGTCATCACGATGCGATTGTCAAGTCTGTCCAGGAAGTGTGCAGGCAGGTGGAGACATCGCACCAGACGCTGTCTGAACGTGGCGATGCGATGCTTGAGACAATGCAGGCCCTGAGTATTGAGGTCGCCGCCATAACACAAGATGCCAAAGAGGGGGCCACGAAGAGGGCAGATGCTCTCAACGCATCTCTCCTGGCCTTGAGAGAGGCCTTTGTGCGCACTGAATTCAAAGAATACCGGCCCACAGGAAATACGCCCAGGAAGGTCGTATATCGTTACGAAACCGAGCTCCCTCGGACGGCGTCTCACAAATCCAGCGTCGCCGTGAGCTCCGACAGTTCTGATGACGATCCAACGGACTCTGAGGCAGCGGCTGAGATAGAAGAAAGCTCCAAGGTCGAAGACGAGAGTGTAGAAGAACAAAGGGCGGAAGATGCCGTGGACGATTCGCTGGAAGAGCAGCAGGAGTCCTCCATTCCCATCTTGCAAGAGCTGGATGCTAACGTCAGGAGGAACGCATGTGCGGACACGACGATTCCTGTGATGAAGCGCATTGCCAGCTCTACGCATCTAAGTAGACCGAGGGCGAAGCAGGCGAGGAGGTGAAGGGGCTGTAGATATACTAAAGCAAGAGAGATATTGTCAAGCATACCTCCCGAAAGCAGTGGGTACACCATGATGTCCGTAGATTGCGACTACAAAATGATTTACGACCTACGGATCAATACTGAGCAAGCAAGGAGTTGTAGTTGAAGGCAATGCCGTCGTTCTGCACGCCTCGCAGCGCAACCAACCGCCAAGTCGCAGCGCGTCACGCAAGCGCCGCACCGCCTCGCCCACCTCACGTGTTTGTCTGTCTGTCTGTCTGTCTGTCTGTGTTATGGGCTGATGGACCTTGAGAGGTACCAACCTTACCATTAACCTTCTCTCCACCTCTGCAAGCTCGACCAGATCCCTCCAGTTCATTCAAGATGTGAGACCTCGCGACCCTCTCCCCATTCCCCGCGCAACAACCATCATGTCTACTTCACCCGTTGTCGCTGCTGCTGCTGCGGCCGCCGACGCAGTCGCACCGACGACAACGCCCAACGAGAACGAGAATGAGGATCAGCAGCAGCAACAACAACAGCAAGAACCGCAACTTCCCACCTTTGAACCCCTCTTCACCCTCCTCACAAACACCACCTCGAACACGACCGTCCACCCCCGCGTGCAGTACCTCTTCTCCGACGACGACCCTTCCACCCTCGCCCCGTCCAGTACATCCCGCGCCATCGTCGTCGATCTCGTCCCTTCCTCCACAAACAATTCGTCGTCGACCGACAAGCAGAAGCAGTGGGAGGTCAACTACGCCTCCTCGCTCACCCCCTCCTTCGCCGTCACGGGCACGGCCTTGGACCCGACCACGCTGACCCTCCGCCTCGACGGCGTGGAGCGCGAGCCCGTCCCAGAGAGGAACAAGGGCCACGAGAGCGGCAGCGAGGACCCGGATGCCCTCGTCGAGGAGTTTCGACGGAGAATGGGCATCATGAGCAGGATCGTGAGCGAGGCCGATCGCAGGGATGCTGTTGTCGAGCACGACGAGCCTGCGGTGGAACAGCCGAAGCCCGAGGCGAACGAGGAGGATGCATCCCCAGGGGGATCATGAAGAGAGGAGGGGATATTGGTTATATTGACCAGGAGCACGTGTCATCTTCTTTATGTTAAGCTTGCATTCTGGGCATCTCTTGCGCGCTGGCGTTGGGTACAATTGGCAATATGAATCACGACACTGTTTGGCAGCACATCATGCTGCAGCGCACTCGTCGTGCATGGCATACTTTACGACAGACATGGAATTAAAACGTATGTATAAGGCGCCCTAGAGAAAATGCAGTGCGCGCAACTCCCGTGTCCTGGTGAAGCAGAGCCAGATGTCTCCCTCGAGCACCGGCCCGCCAAGTGCCAAGTAGCATCCTTCCTCGATGTCCTGTCCATCGAGTGTGTCCTGGCCAGTTGCAAGCCAGCCGGCCTTTTTCTATCCATAAGCCAGGTGATGTAGAAACAATGAAAAATTCTCACGCTGAGTGTAGTCTGGTATATCCCATGATAGACGATGATACCCAAAAAGTCAAAAAAGAAAAAGGGAAAAAACAGCACGCTCCTGGTCCGTCCGTCGTCTGCCGCAGCTTTCATTGCAGCTGTTGTGGCAGACGGACCCGTTCGCGTAGCAACCTCGACATCTCGCCCACGGCATCTTGGCTGCGCACCACGCGCGAGTTGATGACCGGGCTGATAAAGGGGAGAAGCTCAATGTTGGCAGTATCGCGCTTGCTGCTGCCGCCGGCACCCCCGTTACCGCCGCCGCCGTTGCCGTCGCCCTTGATGACGAGAAAGTAGATGACCACAATCACCACGACAATCACCACAATGGCCACTGCACACGGTTAGCAAACACTGTCGACAGGCAAATTTCAGACTGCAAAACGTACCACTGATACCCAGGCAGATCCACTTCTTTTTGCGCGTAGCACGCGAAGTGTTCACCGCCACGCGCATCTCCTCGTTGCCCTTATCCAGGTTGTCGACGACTTCCTCGCCCTTCTGCTCAATGTTCTGGACCGCCTCCTCCTGCTGCACGACCAGCGTGTCCATGTCCTGGAAGAGCTGCGCCAGCTCCACAATCTGCTGCTCGATCTTGACGAGCGCGTCGTGGCGGTCCTGGACAGCGCTCAGGGCAGCGCGGGCCCGTCCCTGACGGTCACTGTGCATCAGCGCCTGCTGGAAGACCTGGCCGTTGGAGCTGGTGTCCTCGACGGCGGCGCGCACCTCCTGCTCCGAGGCCTCTGGTCGTACGATGCGGTACTGGCGGGCCATCTGCTCCTGCGTACGCTTGCGGAAGCTCGACTCGACAGACTGGTACGACCGGATGGCGTCCTTGAGGCGGCGGTCGACACGCCCGACCTGGGCCTTGTTCTTGGGGCTGTTCGCCTCGGGGATCGACTTGACCTGGCGGACGCGCTCGGTCAGGGAGCGGTAGAGGGCCATGGTCTCCGTGGAGAGTCCGTCGAGCTGGCGGTTGGCGGCGCTGGAGCCAGAGGCGTCGGCATCGTCGAGGGTGCGCTGCTGCAGCATGCGAAGCTGCTCGAGGTTGCGTTCCACCGTGTCAATGCCGCGATCAATGTCGCGGCACTCGTTCAGGACGGCATTGGGGTCGCCGCTGCGGCCGACCGAGGCGCCATTCTGGGCAAGAGGCTGCAATTCAACGCCGGAACCTACAGGCATCGTTTGTCAACTCCTCGACTCCGGTTTGAACCTCCGCTTTGCTGACTTACCGGCGTATCCGCCGTCTAGCGAGGGTTGGCCCTGGCCGCCGTAGCCCTGGCGACCATAGGATGGCTGCTGCTGCTGAGGCTGCCCGTAGCCTTGTTGCCCCTGCTGGCTATAGTTGTTGTCACCACCGCTGTAGCCTCCATCGTAGCTGCTGTATTGAGGAGCAGGGTCCCGCTGGTCGTACGGGTTCTGCGCGCCGTACCTATTCGCAGTGGTCAGTCGCGTCATTCGTCGTGTCAGGGTGCAGATTGGAGACGTGTCGTGTCCATGTCATGGCGCGTCTGTGATCCGTCGAAGAGTGGTGTAGACTCACCCATAGTTCTGCGTCATTGTCAGTACGTCGACAACTTCAATGGATCATGGCTAAGCGAAAGCAAGGGGGGTGATGAGACTTGGGAGAACGCGCGCGCGAAGCCTCTGCTGCGTTTGCACGTTCGCTCAAAGTCCCAGTTGGCGCGGCAAAATCAGAAGAAGCAGGAAAGGATCAAGGGCAAGACACGTACGCTCATCGTGGCTTGACAAGTCAATCGTCCACTGGGATTAGGCTTTTCTGTTGGCTGCCGCGTGGTAATGGAGATGGTCTCCAAAGGGCGAGGAAGACAAGTTGGGTACGTAGTTGTGGTACAAAGGGGAAAACGAGCGCTGAGGGAAGAAAAGCGACGACAATGGGCCGCAAAGAGACAGGGAGTGATATGGTCAGGGTTCGAGAGACTGGACTGGAGACGGACAGTGGTGTGTAGGGAATTCACATCGGAAAGGGGCATTGCTGCACGGACACGACCCCAGAACAAAATGGCACAGCGAGTGTGGCAGACTGGCTGCACTGTCCAGCGCAGCTGGCCCCCTTCAGGCCTCCTGATGGTGGGTCCAGTGCCCTCCAGTCGCGGTTAGCTTCTCTAGTTCCTCCATGTCGGTACGTACGTCGATAAAGATTAACGAACCAACATCCGGGGCATCAATTCGACGGCAGCGTGTGTTGAACTGTTCTAATTGCTGACCGTGTTCGTAGCCACTGTCAGCCAGTTCACTGCCCCAAGCTAGTCCTCTGCGGCTTCGCCACGGGCGATGACCCTGAGTTGAGACCCTCAGAGTGGCCCAATCTCGACAAGCCGTGGATCTCCCAATGCCAGCCCCTGATTGGACTGTCGCTAAACCAAGCATCAGCGCTTCGGCACCATCACTTAACCTTGTTTCAGCCGTCCGCCTAACTAGGCTCGTCATCATGCTCCTGCAACACGGGTTGCAGCACAAGTATCTCTGCGACAGACGCTGGCCTATACGACCAGCGGCACTTGAACCCCCCTCCAGTCCTTTTCTGGGACAACTTCACGGGTAGGTCCATTCATCCATCTCTGGCGGGAGACGGAAGGGTTTTGCTCGAAGGAAGGAGGGAAGGTGGCTTGCATCCCAAGCCTCCTTCCGGCTACAGTCCCTCCGAGGCAGTCAGCAAGCCAACAGCCACTTTAACCAGGTCTCTGACTCCACGGCTCTGGGGGATTTCTGACATGCAGGCTGACGATTGTCTGCTCTGGTCCGCATTAGTTAACCCTTTTAATACCTACGCAACTTTATCCCCGAGCGGCTTTCGCTCCAGCAACTTCGCGTTGGAATAGTCGCGCCCACTTCCCGCGTACGGTTCAAGGTTCGCGCCAATGTGCTCATATTCTCCACTGATAGTGGGTTGTACAACAGCACGATCTCTCTCTCGCTACATGAATCGTACCTTGCTTAGTCGCCCGAGTCTAGCACGCAAGGCAAGCCAAGCTGTGTTCAGTGTCGTCTCTATTCGGCGGCTTAAAGCACAGCATACGCAGACACATAACTCACACTTGAGTCCGACGGGCTCTTGACCAACGTGCTCCTCTCGTACCGAACAACCTTGAACTTGCCTTGCTGCGTCGCGCCCTCTTCGCGGATATGCTCGAGGGCCGCCATCGCAACCCCGATAGGATGGCGTCCACAGACAGTGTTGCCCGTCTTCGCTAGGTTGCCCACAAACTCATCATGACTTCCACCCTTGACGGCGTCCATGGCCGCCTCATCAATCAGCCTGATGGTCTCGTGGATGGGTGGCCCGGCTGGTGCTCTGTCCCCTGGCCTCAGGCGTGTGAGATTCCGCCAGTCATTCTGGGGACTGTACACCGTGTAGGAGAAGTTCGATCCCCAGTGGCAAAAGTCGGAACTGATGATAAAGACATTCTCGGGGTCCTTCATGTAGGATACAAAGACAGAGGCGGCCTGCTTCTCCGCTTCCAGGTCGTTATCGCCAATGAGCACAGGTACGATGGGCAGGAACTTGGCCTCGGAGCCAAAGGTCTGCTTCAGCCGCTTGTAGATGTATGGCGTGTGCATTTCCAGCGAATGCTCGGCAATGTCCTTCCTGGGAGGAATGTCGGCGAACCGGCCTGCTTCCTTGACGCGCTGGATGGCATCCCGGTCCACCTTCAAGTCGCCAAACGGGGTGTGGTACTTGTCGAATGTTGTGACCGCACATCCAGCTAGGTAGTAGGTGTGAGATGGGCCGAGTAGGAAGATCCTCTTGGCCTGGCTCAGGTCGAGGCAGCTGTAGGCCCACGCGGCGCAGGGCCCGGAGTACGTGAAGCCCGCGTGTCTTTGGGTGTTAGTCACAGCTTAGCATATGGCCAGAGATAGCTCACGGTGCAATGATGACCCTGGCGCCTGGAATCGGTAGATTCGAGCCATCGACCTGCTCAGGCACACTGGCGAGGTACTCATCGAGCTCCTCTTCCAGCTCGTCGGGCTGCCCCACATACCAAGAACCAGCTTTCGCAGGAGGACGAGTACCCATCTTGGAGCCTTCAGGGCCGAGTTTCTGGAGCTTGCTCAAAATTCCTCGAAGTGGAATGGTGAAGTACTGGCGAAATTAATCGTAGCATGTGTGAAGAGAGGTGTGAGTGAGACTGCATCACCCGCTGATGCCGTTGAAGCTGCCTCTTATCGATAGTGCCCCGCATTTACCGTGTTACGGAGTACGGACCATCTCGAGTTCGTTCACTTTGTTTCGATAACAACTATTACGACGTGCGATGATTTGAACGTGTTGACTATCTAGGCAAAACAACGGAAGACCGAGCCCAGTCGTCCAAGGTGTCAGCCTGATCCGCAGAACTGTGCGTCAGGTATGAGTACCGAGGTCTGGCCCGCTCGACACACCAGGTGCTTGAGCCTGTTCCGCGACTCTTTCACCTCCCTTGAAAGCTCTTGATGGTCGCATAGTACTGTAGTACAGACCGTGTAGTCCTCTTTGGCAAGCATGCCCTGGTGAAGATCCATGTGCACTCCGTCACCATGTTCTCCGACTCGGTTCCGAGGGCGGACCTGCCTTATGTAAGTAATGTTCATCCACCGGACTTCCTTCCCCGCCAGAATGATCAGACCCGACGGACGGACGCCACTTCCACTGTCGTCATTTCCAGCGGGATCCATCGGTTCGCACGTTATCTCTGCCATTCTCTGCTTTGCATGCCTTCATCGACTGTTCTTCCATCAGTTGACTAATTGCTTACTGCATCCTCTGCGTCGCTCATCTACTTCTGTCTCTCCCTCATACTTCTCAAAAATATTTGGAACAGGTCCCTATACGTAATTGGATCTTCCCTACGGGACCCCTGAACATACATGACGGCACTGGCTGGTCCCTAACTTCTGTCTCGCTTGTCCAACAGAATCTCAAAACGCCAAACATTCCTGCCCCTGCGCCGTCGAGCAAATACCCTTTCGCGTCCACGAAACCGAGGGAGACTTTGCCGAGCATAGTCGTCGCGTCTTCTATTGCGCCAGACTTAGAAGCCGCCACCGCTAGAACCATCGAAGTAAATTACTACGAGCAGCCACTACGAAAAGTTCCACCCCTACGTTGAAGCTTTTCTTTGCCGCACTGCCGTCCACTCAACCCGACATTTTGCAAAGTTTCTGCTTTGCGACTTTGCGACTTTCGCCTGCCTTCGTGATCGACACGAGCGCTACATTCTTTTTCTCGAATAATCCATCAGCATGGGCAGCCTCAAGATGTCGTGGTCGAAATCGACCCGTATCAAGGTCATGATCGCCATCGACACCTTCTTCTTCCTGACAGAGCTCATAGTCGGCTTCTACGCGCACTCTCTGGCTTTGACGGCGGACGCCTTCCACATGGTGCGTCGCGCGCTGCGATCCAATAGTCTCTCGCTAACTCCAGCATAGCTCAACGACATCATTTCCTTGATCATCGGTCTCTGGGCTGTAGTCGCTTCGCAAAAGGCAACGACGGACGAATTCACTTTTGGGGTACGAGTCGGTCCTACGCGTTTCCTGGGCAATCAATACTGACTCGAGTAGTGGGTGCGCGCTGAGATTCTCGGTGCCTTTTTCAACGCCGTCTTCCTCATCGCGCTTTGCGTCTCGATCATCCTCGAAGCTGTTACACGACTCGTCGAACCGCCAGAGATCAAGGATCCCTGGCTGATCCTGACCGTAGGCTGCGCTGGCTTGTTTTCGAATCTCGTCGGCTTTGTTGTTCTCGGTGGCCACGGTCACGCCCACGGTCCCGGAGGTCATGACCATGATCACGACCACTCGCACGATGAGCACGCGGGGTACGATCACGATCACCGGCAAAGCCATGATGAAGAGCAAGGTCTCGAACGACCACTCGAGGCTGAAGCTGCGGGCGAAAGAGGTTCTATTGGAGGTGTACTGCCAGAGGTCGTTGTCCGTCGCGCTACCAAGGGTCGCCAATCCACTGCCGAAGCCCGCGACTCCCCGAGACGCATTCGGCTTGGCAACGGCGATTCCTCCAGTAAGGATGATGGAGCCGCTGGTGCCAGCCGTAGGACGTCCTTGCACTCAAAGGATCGTGGCCGCCGCCGGTCGAGCAGGAGTGGACACACGCGCCTGGCCTCGTTCGACGATATGAGTATTCATCCACAGAGTTTCCGCAAGGACATTATCGCTGCTGTCTCATCTCCTGCGGCCGAGGACAGCGAAAGCGAGGAGGACGACCAAGTCGCGGAGGATGCGACCGAAAACTCCCCTTTGCTTGACAAGAATGGTAGTTCTCACGGTACACTCAATGGGCCCTCCCATTCTCACACGAAAAGAGCTCGTCGCGACTCGAGTGTCCACGCAGGCCACAACCACACCTTGCCGCCGAAGAAGTCAAAGGGTGGCCATGGCCATAACCACGGAGACATGGGCATGAATGCCATGGTCCTCCACGTCATTGGTGACGCCCTGGGCAACCTTGGTGTAATCATCTCAGCCTTGATCATCTGGAAGACAAACTGGCCCGGCAAGGAGTACGCGGATCCCCTCGTTTCACTGGTCATCACCGCCATCATCCTCAAGACAGCCATTCCACTCACGAGCGCAACTTCCAAGGTCCTACTCCAGGCGGCCCCGGAGCACATTAGTGTGCCTGACATTCGCCAAGACATCGAGGCCCTGCCTGGTGTGGTCAGCTGCCATCATGTCCACGTCTGGCAACTGTCTGACACCAAGATCGTGGCCAGCATGCACCTCCAGGTGACCTTCCCTATCGACTCGGACTGCGGCGAGAAGTACATGGAGCTCGCAAAACGTGCGCGCAAGTGCCTCCACGCATTTGGCATCCACAGCGCGACCATTCAGCCCGAGTTCTGCCTTGATGCTGAGCGCTACCGAGCCATTGCTGGGAACAGCTTCCAGGGCGTCGCGGATGCGGCTGGTGGCCCCAAGTCTGACGTGTGCCTACTTGAGTGCATCGACGACTGCGAAATGCCCGGCTGCTGTAGTGTGCAAGAGCAGTCATCCCGGGACTCGTCCGTGCGCCGAGGCAGCGGCTCCTCACATTCTCACGACGGACATGCTCATTAATAGAGTAGGGCCGCGACACTTTGTATTTTCTTCTCTCATGATTTCGGCAGCAGCAGCAGTCCTACCTTGCTTTGGTTATAGGCGATAACCGCAAACTTGACACAAATTTTCCTTATCTATTTGGGCTGACGTTGGGTGGTATGCTCGGAACAGGCGAGGGACCCTCTCTTGGGTGGCCGACGCGATTACTGTTTTACGACCAGTTTACTTTGGCGTTCCGTGTGGCGAGTTGGGTAATGCATAGAGGTTTAGATGAAAGGCAAAGGGAGCCTAATATACGAAGTCTTTTCCCCGACCATCTGTCCTACGTACTGCATGTTCGTGATATGTTGGCTTATGCCTCGAGACTGTTGTGGCTGGTCCAATCTCACATGCCAGGCGAGACGGCATCATAGGTCAGTGTGGGGAGACTACGGTGAGCTCCGCACTTGTTGAGGCCATTTTGGAATGTCGCTGACGTTGTCGTGCTGAGATATGGCTGAGTGTCACTGTTCGTTCGCGGTTCTCGGCTGGTGCCAACCAAGTCGACACAAAGGGCTAAAACACCGGCAAAGGGGCGAGCTTCCCCTGAGTGGGCTCGAGGAAGAGAGCACCTCCTCCGATGGAGCACATAGTTCGTTGATTTCCTTTGGGATGCTCGGGGTCTCGATATGATTGACTACGGCTGGCCTGGCTTTCTATCAGAACAGCAGTGGTGCGATCAGTGATCCGTTCCTCGCAGCGGAGGCCATATTATCACCGCGTTTCTAGATGGATTACAGGCCATATGAACGTTCTCTACGCACTATGAGCAGATTCTCACCCATTGGCCCCTTTTCCGAGGTGGCTCTATGACCAACCCCTGAGGTTGCTGGCGACTGGACTACCCGGCAGCACCAGGCTCAACGGCGATACGGACAGTGACCGAGTGAACGTCACAATTGAGGGCTCCGAACATGCTAATTGCATTGAGATGGTTCTCACGGCATGCGGGGATTGCAAGGCAATGCATTGATAGTGATAGGCAACGGAATAACCGCCGCCAGGCTTCATCTGTCGCCAACTTCTCTGGTCACGACGCTCCCTTTGCGAAGAGCTGAATAATAGATCTTCACACCTGATGGGAATGGAGAGGCCACTGCTCCGTACGAATAAGGCGCATTACAAGAGCAGCTTGCCGCACCGCCTCTACGCATGTACAGCGCATCAACACGAGCGAGCTGGGCGCCCGCAGCTCATGTCGTCGATCCGCTGGCTGCTTTGCGTATCTTGAAGATACCCCGTCACAAGCAGCAGCCATGCGTGCGTGGAATCGTGCGCATTATCAACTACCCAGAGCCTTGCCCACTCGTCGTTGACAAGCCAACCGCCGCAGCTAGCCAGCATGACCGGCGTGGCGTAGCTCAGTTGAGGCACAGGCCGAGGGCCCGATTAGGAACTGAAGGCTTTTGCGTTGAAAGAACGTTGCGAAGCCCGGCGCTACATATCTCTCTCTCTTTCATTGTCAACGGAAGCTAATGAATGAGGCATTCGGCTATGATCGAGATCGCTGCATAAACGGTACAATGGCTCACGTAGCAGCGCCTTAGTCTAGTCTGAGAGACGTGTGGGCAAATGCAGGCGTGACATTCGCGACATGCTATTGTCGGGCAAGACATGGGCGATCCATGTCGACATGGGACATTTACCACTTCGCCATGCTGGGCACGATAGAGAACCTGTTTCGACAAGCGCAGGACGGAAGAGAGAGCGGGGTTGGTTGGATTAGGCAGCTTCTTTGATGCGGCGCGAACCATATGCTTGGTCGCGTGCGAGACGCGTCGAGTTTGGATCCGAATGAGTGGGTGATGGGGATTCTCAAGGATGTGGAGAATATGGAAGCGTGCATCGGGCCAAGTCTGGATACTTCAGCACCCGCGCTGCCTCCGTTGTTGATGTACGCACTTGGTAGGTCGCCATATACGGCCTGTCCTTATCGGCGTGTTGTCGATTGATGTGGCTGTTGTTGACAGCTGAACAAGCGCCAGCAGATAATAATAAAGCCTGCAGAGTTGCATCGTCGACAACAGCTGCTGAACAGCAGCATCTCAGCTCACGGGCTAGGACGCATCAGGGCACCTCATGCCGCCCATCCCAGATACCCGCGCATGCACATTGCATGATTGCCCTATCGACCCCAGCCTCCTCCATTTAGCAGGGCCGATCAGCAGCCATCGTATGCATGGCATCATCGTCCTCCCGTAGACGAGTCTGGACAACCCGCGCGGCGGCCTGGTATCGTCGTCTGTTCGGCAGCGGCTTCCTAAGCATCCGGCCTTAGTCGCCCAGCTCATCCATGGCGAACACCTGGGCACAGGCGGTTTATCTGCTTGTTGTCCGTTGGCTCCATTCAGACCCTGGGCTGGGAGTCCGAATGGGGGTCGGAGAGCCTAATAATGTATGGTTCAGCTCAATTCAGGATCGGAAAAGTCCATGTCCCATCGCCAAAAAGGGCCAATGGCAAGTCTCGCAGCATCATAACCTGCTTTCAACATTGCCTATTGCTTCGCCGTGCTCTAGCTGGCAGGTTCAGCCCTGTTGAATGGTCACCGCTGTTTCTTCCATCACCATGCGTCGCCGGAAACCTCGGCGTGGCCAGGCTGGAGCAGAGATGTCGTCCAAGAGAGAGACAATGTCTAAAACTCCCCGCGTGGCTTTCGGTGCAGATCCATCCATCGCCAGCGGTCTGCCTTGGCGCCTGCCTCGGACAGGTCGTGCAGAAAGCTCTCCTTGTTTCCCCTCACAAATGGACATGCCGTGATCATGACCGTCAGGACGAGTACTCCAAGACGCCGAGTCTGCATCAGGTGCCCGCTCTGGACCACTATTGGTTGGGGACAGTTCGCCCCCTCGGGTCGGTGGTCAGCAAGTCGCTGCTCAACCAGCGTATCACAAGCGTGAAATGCCAACTTGCGACCGCGGACGCACACAGATACGGCTACAATTCTCGCGCTTGCCCGCCGCCCAGTTTCATGAACCACGAGTTCGTCAAGCCCGTTGCCACTGGCGGCCACTTGACAGGCTCAGTCGCTCGACAGCGTAAGGAAATCGGGGCACAGCCGCACAGTCGCCTTGTGGGCTTGTGCGCAACGCACGCAACTGCAGCCACGCGCGCCATGCACCTCGTCTGCATATTAACTTGGGGATCACACCCATACGCGGAGGTTTCGCGTTTGTTGCAAAGTCAATCGTGTATGGGGAAATGTTACAGGTCGACTCACGGGTTCACAGCTGGGAAATCGTCAATCGAGCTGCTTGATGCAGGCGCCGGCCGAGTACGCGTGATATCAAGCTGCAGCAAGCGCTGTCTGTCCGACGAGCACAGCAGCATCTGTCAACGCCGCACCTGCCTTTGTGTCTTGAGGCACAACACGATTGCTTGTTGACACCTGCAAGTGAGGCGCACAGCTGGAGAGAATTTCCCCTCTGTGAAACATTTCCGAGCGGTGGGCTTCTGGTGAACTGGTGGCGAACCAGCAGTGCCGGCGGCAATGGACAGTCAAGCTACGGGAGCGACATGAGCCTGCCGTGCGCGTCCAGTTGTTTGTGGCTGTACGGAGTAGCGACATGAACAAAGGAAAGGCTGCCGTGGTGATGTGTTTGCATCACTTGGCCACCGTTCTTGTCTCATGCCGGATGCTGCTCGGTGAAGTATCCAAAGCCGTCCTCGAAAATTTTCTCTGTCATCCGTTGCTCGGCGACACAGACGGTGATGGCGCTTTTCTTACGTAGTATGACCAGCCCCCTCATTTAGAGCAAGAGAGAGAGAGAGAGAGAGAGAGAGAAAAATTGTGAAGAGACAGTGGTGAATCACTTGACGATAGTGCACCCCTGTCACGACTCACGAACCGGTCGTTGAGGTGTTTTCGGGCGGACACTCCCGCGTCATCACGCTTGACGTACGTAAGAAAGTGCCAAGAGGACCCCTCGGGTGTAGAGTGAAGCATCCAGTGATGCTGTGTAGAAAGAAATTTTCTGTTCGTGGGGATATGCGTGTCGGAGGGGTCTTGACTGTCATTTGCCTGACATATATCCGCTTCACTGCTGTTCGGAGCCTGGTCCCCCTTCGGTGGCCCGGTCGCCCGGACAATCAAATTGAATCAATAAGCCAAGGACGGTGTGAGATGGAGCTCTTCGTGATGATGATGGGGCCTTTGCTGGGGGGTGCACAGGCTGCACGAGGGCACGGTCGCCCCGCGGTTCACTGGGTAATTGGGTGCCAAGGATCGCCACGGAGCCGCCATAGCCACGAGGGGGCTAATTGCAAAGCTGGCGTGTCCGAAAAGCGCCCTGCCAGCTAAGTCAATTCGAAGCACGATGTGTGAGCAGGCAATTGAAGAAAGCCAGCAACGACTGACCAGGCCATTTCAATTTGGTGCGGAGAATTGAAGATTGAGGGTGTCGTCATGTTCAAGATTGGCAGCTCCTTCCCCACATGTGAATGCTTCCAGAACGGGTGTGGCTTGGTGTATTATGCGAGATCCACCAGAATTTCGTGCATTAGCCGCATTATTAGTGCATCAATCCAATTCATTGGCTGCACGACCGGCAGCACAACCACCGCTATGATCAATTCGCACGTGTGTGAGCATCCAAGGGGAGATACAGTGCCGAGAGTATTGTGCTCCCGCACATACACTACTTATAATGCACATTTAACTATGGAGAAGGGTTTCTGTTTCAAGTGTTTCTTAATTATAGGGGATGTCACGTGGGCAATAAGATGAGCTCCCCTGCCAGCAATTAATTAATTAATTATGCCGCAGAGAAAGAAGCGGACGATCCAGTCTGCTCTGCCGGCTGCACCACTCTCAGTGCCCACAAGGAAAGGGGACTTGTTGAAGAGAAAAACGCATCGTCACCGACCTTTGTGTCGAATTGCCTCCATAATACGTGGACCTGAGCTGCGGACAGGACTAGTCTCGCGACAAACTCATTGACCCCCCATTACCCCCATACAGTGCTTGCTGCTCGGCAGTGTCAAGTTACTACTAGTCTAGCAGCCGGCAGCGGCGGAATAAACGCCTGGGCGTGACGTGAAGTCGTCTCGTCGCGTCCATGGGCCTGCAGAGAATTATTGTTCGCGACACGCTGGCGCTATGAAGAGGAGTTTCACACGTGTCTCGAGCGAATTCGGAGTGATTATTGAGCAGTCGCCTGAGCTGAGGCTGAGCTTGCACCCTGTTCCATTCCATTATCACTGTCGGCAGTAATTAAATACGAGTCGACTGCCTGGGGAGTGGTCCAGGCTCACCATTGAGGAATTGGCCATCGAAACTCCAATGCAGTACTAGTACAGATTCTGTCGGGTCTGGCCTTTTGTTCCCCATTGAGGCGCTGGCCAAGCCCGCATCGTCACGATCATTAGACTTTGGACCATCTCACCCAGCTCGGCCAGCGTGCCATCTTGGGAGAAGCTCGGCCCAAATCATGGACGACCACACCATCTTGCGATCCAGAGATCTTGGAAGGGGGGGACCCTGGAGTTCCTTCGTGTGAGCTGTCCAGATGGGCAATTGTCCTCAAGGCCGTTCAATGTCCATCTCGATATTGGGGCGCTAGACGGATAGCGCAGGCCGAAAAGTTGGTGCAGCTCGCACTATGCCTAGGCGCACAGCAGGCCTAGGCTGAAAAGGGCCAGGAGCACCCAGCTTTCAGCAGATAACGAGACTAATGATGAGCACTAAACAGCACCAAGCGTACGTAGGTTGAAGCACGAAGCCACGCACGCCACCATCCGCTGACATGAATGAGTGATGTGATGCGTTGGCAGGAATACAGGGGTCTAAAGGCCTGAGAGCGCGTTTCTGCGTCCCGATTGGTACATGGACCCCTGTCGTCGTGAGAGACCGCGTAAAGTGGTTTCAGTAGATCTCATGTCGTGCCAAAGGCAATCTCCGCCACGATGCCACAGTTTTGTACTACGTACTGATGCGTTTTGGTCATACGTACGGAGTATTAGCAACGCTCGCTCAATGAGTGTGTCGGCCCGCGGGCACCGGTCACTGATGAGCGGGTGAGTGAGCGACCACGTGTCGGTAGTCATTTTCGCAACTGATGGGCGCAACAAGATGGGCTCCAACTCGCGTACAAGTACAGTGCGTATGGATCTTTACAGCCCCCAAGTTCTGGTCAGCGCAACATTGCTTCTCGGGGGCCAACGCTGATCTCATCTCACTGTCCTCACTACTCCTGGTGGCTGCAGCGGTGGCAATGTCAGACTTGATCGCGCTGTAGATAACAGAAAGGCCAAGCCGGAGGTGCGCACATAGCTGGCCTCATACACGCATGCTGTCTTGAACCCGCGCAACCCTACAGTACGGCTGGTGTGGCGCGTCCAGCATCATTCATGGCACATTCTGGTGGACACGAGATGCATTAACAAGAAGTTTCAACCATAGTATACGTGCTCGATACATGGTGGTATGTATCAGGACGCAAGCCCAGCCAGTGCCCAATAAGCGCTTACGACCTGTCGGATGCAAGCTGCATCTTCCCAAACAGGCATACAGGTCATTTGTTAATTCTCAGGCGACCGTCTGACAGTACTATCTCTTTTTGACACGTGAAGTTCTGGAACTTCTGGACAGCATCGGTTCTTGTAGGGCTGAGCCTACGACTCACGAGCTACCCGACATGGCCGCTTGGCTGGAAGCAGCTTGCAGAAGCAACTAGTAAGTGCACTTCCAGTCGATGAATGATGAATGTCCATAAGACCTCGGGGGAACGTTTAACGGATTGCTACGTAATCTAGCGCGGTCGTCGTCTCCGTGGCAAGACACGGCCAAGTCGGCACCGTCAAAATAGCTCGAACGCGGCGACGACACGAAAAGTGAGCGTCGTGAGGCTTGGAGCGTGTCTCTTTGGCGTTTTGTTGCGTCAATATTAGCGATGCGACCAGCCCAGTTTCCAGGGGTGGTACATAAGCGCTCCGAGCCCACTGGCCAGGGTTCGTCAGCACGGCTGCTGCGAGTCTGCGACCTGAGTTTGCGGAGGTGGAGATGCGCTGCAACAAGCCTGCGACTCCAGCTTGATGATTGTCGGTCCAGTGTTGCTGGTGAGGAAGGCAGGCCTTTGTCAACTGCTGGCGGATGATTGCAGCGCCAGCGGAGCGTCCAGTCCCCATACAGTGCTGGCTGGCTGGTCGCATGTCGTTCAAGACAGGAGGAAGCTGGGGCGTGCCTGGTCGTGTGTTGATCATCATGTCAGCGTTCATAACCAATTGAGTCCGATTCATAACGTCCGCAATGCCATCATTGCAACACCTGGACGGTAGCACAGATGAAATTCGAATATGCAGCCAATCGCCGTGGCGGGCCACTTTACTTGGCTTGGCCTCACGGCCTCCAGGCATGGCCCTGTTTTTGGACATGATGATCACAGAGTACTTGTAGCGATGGCAGAGGACTTGATAAATAAACAGACCTTCTCGTCGCGGAGGCGGAGAGTCTCACTGGTACCTACTCACCAAATTAGTATATAGACCATGGCAGCTACTCGTTCTCCAATGACGGAGAGCTGAAAGGTGATGCTCACCTCGATCGACCTGCCTCGTTGCCGTAATAATTACAGTACAATTGTTGGTGCAAGCATAATTCAGCACAAAGAAAACGGAGCAGCTCGACGCTCTTCGCCCATCCCGACCAAGCCCACTATTAAACAATCAATTAATACTTGTACTGCACAATCATCACACCAGCGGCGACTACGGAACGCCTGAACTTGCGAGCCACCTTCTCTCGGCGCTGCAGCACAGCGCGCTATCCCTGCCGACGTCAATCTCGTCAGCCGAGACAAACAGGCGTTTGAGCGAGCTGTGCCTGAGTCAATGTGAGTTGATGCTTTCCACTCTGAGCTTGGTCAAATCATGCGAATACACTCGAGCTTGTCAATTGGGATACAGAGGCACATGAGAAGCACGATGCTTTGGGGGAGTGAGCAAAGTGAAGGAGGGAAAAAGCACTCCCAGCCTCCTACCGTCCTGTCTCCAGTTGCCAGTCCAAGCCGACTGATCTCACCCCTCGCGCATCACACTCTCCCACACCCCCGGATGGAAGCACAGCAGCAAGGCAGGAGCAGGACTGCCAGAAGCTCTGGCTGGCGTTGAGCCAATCAGCGCCGTGGCACCTAGCCTTCCCGCTCACCAGCTTCGGACCACTCAGAGCGCTGGACCGCTGTAAGGGCGCTGCGACAGGCGCTGCAGCGAGGTGAGGCCAGCCCACTACAGTGCAGTGCGGTGCGAGGAAGGAAGGAAGGAACCCAGCTCCTGGTCGGTCCCGTCTGCTCTGGTGCGGTGCGTCGATGCGAATGAGGTGCATCCATCCACCAGCTCCTCAAAACCATCGAGAGGCCCTCTCATCCACTCCTTCCTGGCTCGCTGCTCCTCTCCTCCGTCCACCTCCTCTTCACCTCTCCTAATCAACCTCTCTCCCTCACCTCTCCTCCCCCTTCTTCCTCTCCTCCCCGTCCCTCTTTCTCTCCTGTCCATTCGTTTTCCTTTAATTAGGAACGCTAGAGCTTCGCCCTGCCCTGGCCCAGTCACTCGTGTCTCTTCCGGTCGCTTTACGCAACTGTCGAGAGCAGCCACTGACCAGCTCAGCACGCAACAATCCTCAGCCCTATCAGGATAGGACAACGAGAAAGCTTCGAGACGGAGCAGAAGAAAAAGAAAAGGATTGATCCATCATCCTTCTCTCACCTCGCCGGCAGTCTGTCGTGATATCAAAAGGGGGATCTCAGCTTGAAAGGGAAGACCAGCATCACAAGTGATTCACTTTTTTGCCAGTCCCCTAAGACCACGCTAGCTTGCCCATCTTTTTTTTGCCCTCGCACGACCAAGGCATAATAATTGAGTTGCAAAGCATTGGTAGCCAATATCTGTGCCTGCATCTCTTTTTATCTTTGAGCTCCTCGACCCTAATTGAGGAATTCCTCATCCAAGACCAATCTCCACACCTCACTCTCCGAATACATTTTCGACTCGCCCTTCGACACCTTCCCGCCACGAGTCTATCCTCGGCAAGACAACGATCGGTCGCTCATTCCGAGACGATTTCTATCACGAATCAAGGCACATTGAAGTCGACGGTTGCTGGCTTTGATACCAGGCTGCTGTGTATCATCACTAGTCCTGTCACTTGGGTTTGACGTTGACGGATGAACATCATTGTCGACAGACTCCTCGGTCCTCACTCGGCGACAGTATTTGCCAGAGGCTTTTAGTGGAAACTGAAGAGGTATGTGGTCCACGTTCTGTCTTTGCCTCGGGGATCCTGTTTCCCCAATTAGGCACTCGGGACATGGCTTTGAACAAGAAGAAATGGATTCTAATTTGGAACGCGCAGGTTGCATACCGACTCGCTCGCTGCTCCTCGATCCTCGCCTCCACCACCGCGGTGATTCGATTCCTTGGATTTGCTTCAGTGGGACACGTTAGCTCGTTGCTCCTGCTAGCACACCAAGACCTGTCTCACTTCTGTCCAGCCCTCCCGTCCATCCTCGACGCCAGCATTTGTGGATGTAAGATATTTCCACCATCCGTCCTCTCCAATCATTTTGCACCATTGTCCATCCCGCACACCCCATGGAACAAGGGAGCACAGAGGGCCCGATAAAGATTCCCTATCCAGCTATTCTCCTGGCGAGTCTCCAAGCAGCCTTCGGCTTGGTGCCTGTTGTCAAGCTGGCCTGTCTCAGTGCCACAATACTGACAGATGTCGAAGAATTCAAGGCTAATCTGTTCATTTTCTTAGAGCCCTTTCCTCAAACCGGTTCCAGCTTCATCGCCTCGAGCCACGACCCCTTGTTCGAGCCCCTTCAACTAGGCCGCTTGGATTCCATGTTCTTGGCTTCGATACCAGCCACAGTCACTCCTTTCTCCTTGACATTCACCCACACTCATTCATTAATATCTTAATCACTTAATACCTCAGGCCCGCTTCACTACTTCTGCAACACGGCCCGAGCTCGACACTCTTTCAACTACAACTCAGCCTCCGACCCAAGATTCCTGGGGAACTTATCTGTCATTCTTTCGACCTGACCAGGCAACCTACTTCACAACTCCTCACCTCACCTCGCCCCAACACCGATAGCCATCAGTCACAATGGCTTACTCTCGCTCACAGCCGGACACCACTTTCTTCGTGGAGAACGACGACATGCCTCTCTCACACATCACGCCGCGCGAAGCTGCCAAGCTCATCGCCCGCCGGAAACAGGAGCTCATCGCCAATGAGCTTTCACGACTAGCGGCTGACGAGTACTTGGAGGACATTATGGGACATGTCAGGCGGATGGAGGACGAGACCTTGCCCGACGTCGCTCTCATCGATCTGCAACGCGAGATTCAGTGGTTCATGCGCCCGTACCTCATCGACTTCCTCGTCGAGGCCCACGCTGCCTTTGCCCTCCTGCCCGAGACACTGTTCCTGACCGTCAACCTTCTCGATCGTTACTGTGCCAAGCGTGTGGTGTATAAGCAGCACTACCAGCTCGTCGGTTGTGCAGCACTCCTCATCGCGGCCAAGTACGGTGACAAGAAGGACCGTGTACCCCAGATCCAGGAGCTGAACAACATGTGCTGCGGCCTCTACGACGCCGGCATGTTCGCCCAAATGGAAATGCACGTTCTCAACACTCTCGACTGGTCGATTGGGCACCCGACTGTGGACTTCTTCTCGTCACTGATGGTGGCCGAGGAGCACGATGACCGCGAGGTGGAGCACATGGCTGCCTACATGAGCGAGATCGCGCTCTATCACCGCGACTTCGTCTCGGTGAAGCCTTCGACCATGGCGCGCTCCTCCCTCGCCCTGGCTCGCGCTGTTCTCGGCCGCCCGGAGGTCACCGATGGAGAGTGGAACAACTCGGAGCAGACAACTCTCCTGAGCCTCTCCCATCACCTCCACCTGCCATCAACGACATTGGCCCGCAAGTACGCGACGTCGCATACGTCCAAGGTCTCCCAGCAGCTGGCCGACTTCATGGCACAGCAGGCTGCCCTGGCTCAGAGCAACGCCGAGCCCCCAACACCACCAGCCGAGCCGGCCAGGAACGATCTGCTCGCCACGCCTCAGAAGGGCCACGGTGCTACAATGGGCTTCGATGGCTATCTGACGCCGCCTATCACACCGGACAGCCACTACTTCAATGGTCAAGGGTCGTCGTCGAATCCCCTGGCGCAACAACAATCACAACGATACCCCATCACGCCGTCATCACACAACCGACTTGACCAATACTCGTATTCGCATCAACACAACACGCAATACTTGAACCCTTAAGCCGGGCCGCCATCAGGATGATCGTCACCCGTGGCCATCCGTCTCGCCGCTCCTGATAGCAGCCACAGGGGAGGAAACCGAAAGATCTTGTTTTTTACGTCATGGCATTTAGCGACTGCGTTTACTTCTTTTTTTCATATTTGTCCACCCAACCTTGTCATTGTTTACTGCGCAACAAACAAGTCATCAAGCACGTCTACTGCACCCAAAAAAAGAGTGGGATCTTGAATCATACCCCTATTTTCTTTTACTGCGGACGAGCAAAAAAAAGTTGTTTTTTTCCGGAACGAAATAGACGCATGCAGAGGAGGTTTCCCATGTCACGCCAAGCTGCATATGGCGAGGAGGAGATACCACCAAGATTGCAATCAGGCACCGATGCCCGAGAGAGGCAAGGACGGGAAAGGACGATACCGGACCGCAGCATTCCCCTGCGGAAGCATTGTGGCTTTCTACTCGCGATGCAGAGATGGTCTCTCTCACCTGTGGCTCAAGCCAGCACCAACCGAGCTGCGTTTCTGCAATGTTGTTCCGCAGACGCCCGGATGAGCCTTTTGATATTCACTACTCAGACGCCTCAACTATGTGGCGGATGGGATAATTAATATGCTTCTTCTACGGAGGAGGTTCGGGGTTTAGATGGCCGTCAAGGAGGGAGCTGGCGGACATCCAGGAAGCCTGTACCTGCGAAGCGTGCAGACACTGGAGGCTGGCAACCTCGGTTTCTCGATCTACCAATCTCGCATACACTGTGTATAGGTAGATGTTCAGAGGTATACAGAGGCACAATCTCAAACATTATATCTCGTACAATCATTTCCTGTGCATTCCTTGTGATATCTATGGACTTTTGCGAGAATTCCCCATCCTGCAACAGACTGGCCCATGTTGCTCTGCCAATGCTGTCTGTCCGAGGCGTGACCAACAGCCTCAATGGGGCTGCCGAGATTGGAGCCTTGATGGGGCCGCGGCGCTCAAGACAATGCGAAATTGCCTCCCACTCTTAGCGCTGGGCGACTCCATTGTGGTGCAAAGCATAAATACGATATCGGATAATCGAGCATGAGCAAGGGGGGGCCAAGGGGCTGCTGCTGTTAGGCACTACTGGTGCGGTTATGAAGTCTTGCCTCCATACGGACTATTTTCGAACTGACAGGCATGCAAGCGTAGACAGCACGAGGGTGAGGTTTGCGGCTTGGAAATTTGACAAAGATCCATTGAATGCAATTCATGGAAACGCGTCAGCGTGGCGGAAGGGCAGCGCAGCGTTGGTATGAAGGGGTTGGCGAGTTTGATGGTCTGTGCATCAAGGAGGGAGAGGGGGCAGACTACCCTGTGGTCTGTGTCAGCGCAAGGGGTTTTCCTGTACATGTCGGAACAGCCGAACAAAAGTGCAAAGTAGCACCTGCTATGTATGCCCTTGGTTTCTTCATATGATGTGCTTCTTGGAGGGGGTGATTGGCGAAGACAGAGATGGTGAAGTCGGCTTATTCTGTTCATCCCCTCTTGGCTTGATTATGCGCAAAGTTGAATGCGTACTCCGTACACGTACATGCAACGTGGATCGAGGATTCAAATGTGATGCAGGCGTGAGCACGACCCGAGAAGCGGGATTCACATAAGTCACTGATTCTCCCGTGACTCGATATCAAGTGTGAGTCTTTGCGATTTGTTTCTGCGGCGTAGCGAGGTGCCGTGGTGGTTTCAGGAGGCGTGACTCTCACGCTTTGGACGGGGCGGAGAGGATCGAGGAGCACCAGACTCGCGAAAACGGTCAAATATTCACAACGTTCAGACGGACAGCTCGCTACGAGTCTTCTTACAACACCAGAGTCTGTAGCTACGAGTTCATGGCATACCTTCACTGTTGGCAGACAGCCCACCTCAGTTATACGCTACTACATGTAGGTACTAAACAACAAAGAGTTATACCATGCGCCAACGAGGGCTTCAATCAGCTGCGCACGGCCTGAAATTATCGTCTTTGTTTTGCATGCAGCCATTTCCGTCACCCATTGAGATGGACGGGCGGACCCTCGAGAGGGTCGAGCGTTAAGGTTGATGAGCTCTACACAAAGCTGATGCTATAACTCATAAGGCGAGCTGTTGTCCATTGAAGATGAAGGCGCTCGTTTTGCGTAAATCTCCCATCAGGTATCTTGCGTTCATCTCCGCAAGAACTTGCCCGAACCAGATTATCTGGGCAGACACACAGGAGCGTTCCGCTTGGCTCACCATCTTCGACGGATCAACGCATCATGGCAAGAACACGAACGAGTACCCAGGCGGCGAGCTCAGGAGAAAACAGTACGCCTAATGTGCATCGAATGCAGCCAGTGACCCTATACTGATAACCATGTTTGCGTAGCATCCGAACAACGTCGTACCTCGAGAAGAACAAGTCGCAAGCGTGCGTCTAGAGCAGCTCCTCCCTTGAAAACACGACAGAGTTCATGGAGCGGCACCGAGCCTGGAGGTCAAACTGTTGGATCTGGAGTAACAGACAACAATGACTACTATCGGCCAAGTGAGTCACTGACTGGGTAGTCTCTGCTGGGCGAGCTAGATACTGACACGATATCAGCTTGGGACTGGCCGCAGTCCACAGACCAAAACCAGAGCCCAGAACCGCCAACGAACTTTGACGTACCGCCCTTGACATCCGATTCCAAGCCAACCGAGACGATTCAGTGTGAAGATTGGACACAGAGCGAGACGGCTCATAAAGCCCCCATTGTCAACCTCGCAATGACCGACGACGATTCGGAGTTGGAGGGGGCTCGCAAAGCTCCAGTAATCAGCTTCACAATGACCGACGGAAGTTTAGAGCCAGAAGTGACTCGAAGAGCTCCTGTCATCAGCTTCGAAATGACAGACGACGGGTCAGAGGCTGAGGCAGCCTCCCCTATCATGGCGGACTGCTCAGACGCGGAACTAGACGAGTCCAGCGCACAAGACGCGCGTGAGGCTTCTACGACCAAGTCCCACGCCGAAGTCGGTCCTGTCTCTGACGAGGACATCCCCAGCGCGGACCTTCGGCACCGGATCGAAAACTTGCATGGAAGCCAAGCCCGGGACTTGACACACATGGACCTAGGTGAAGAAGCTGACGTCGAGGAGTCGAAGGCAAATAAACCAACAAGCCAAGCCCAGCGACACGGCAAAACCAACCTCGTTTGCAGCAGGCAGCTCCGATATCAACGTGAAGCGTCTGATCCTCAAGACAGACTACATCTGCTCGAGTACGAGGGGGCGCCCATCATGCCACCCCCAACGATCCTTCGCCGTGCGAGGAACTATCTCAACATGAGGCCGCCCACAGACGAGGATAACTTTGCAAGATGGGCTGTAGAGTGCGCACGAATCTGCCGATACGTGGTCTGGCTGAGAACCAAGTACGAGGGGCAGACCTGGTGGGACGACCTTCTCGTTGTGGAAGGCATGCTGGAGAAGGCACAGGCGTGGCGATGGTGTGAGACGCAGGTGATCCCCAGCCGACTATCTGAACCTGTCCCCGAGAGCCACCGCCATGCACTTGCTGCAGGCGTGACGGTTGCTGATCCGCCGCCACTGCGTCAGTGTCAAGTCCAGCCGGATGCTGTCGTGGTCGACCCTCCTTTGCACACCCCTTGGAAGCGTTTCAGACTGCCGGATAGAAGACGTCACAGCTACCTCGCGGGAATGAGCCAGTTCGACAGGGATCAACGCAAGTGGGCGGATCTCACCCGTGGCCGTTATGGTAGTGTATGGCAGAACATGAGGCGTGACGGGCCTGTCGTTGACCTCCCTCCGCCGGCGAACTTCTGGGGTGTCATGCCCCTTAGTGGCATGAGCAAGGACATGCTTCAGGTGTGGGATCGGTTGAAGAAGCTCGAGTCAGTGAAGCGCGAGTTCGTTCACACTTTGTCCCTGGCCGTGAGCGAGGATGATACCCGTCGCTTCACCACCATGGCCTTGGCTATCGATGATGGTCTCCTGGGTACTGATCCTTCCAATGCGCAAAGAAAGGCCATGCGCTTCCGCCTCGACGAGTTTATGAATCCTTCCTTACCCATTCCTGCTCTCTTCCAGCCGCAAACCTTGGTGGACATTCGACCGGCGGAAGTTGAATGGCTGGAGTTCTTCTCCACTGACCTTCCAGAGGTACCGGCCAGAGACACTTGCGGGTTGGACACCAAGGGCAAAGCCTTCATGCGGAAGATACAAGCGATGATTGACTGTCATGATCCAAAGTTCAGACTCGGGCCGCATCCTCGCAGCCGCCAGCTGATCCAGCTGTTTGTCAACGATGAATGCGAGTCTGAGGGAGAACTTGCCGAAAGCGATGTGAAGAAGGCGTTCTTCACTGAGGAGGAGGTTGCCAACTATCTTGAGATAGCAGAAGGCATGGGTCTCGTACTGTGAGTGTATCCCTGGCCATTTGATGATCACACCGACCCAGCATCGGAACTAACATGATGGCCTCGCAGCAGACAGAAAAGGGCGTGACCAGTAGGGATCCCCACTACTGCAAGGCTCCCCAGCTGTTTGCTCTCGACGCGATACGATGGTTTGCTCCAGTAAAGAACGCTCAGTCAAGTGCCACTTCATCCGCACAACATGATGTACGCAATGACGACGAACCAGACACCGAGTACCTCCAGTTCATCCCCTCGAAGGACATGCTCCGTTCTGTCCCCGAGATCAAGCGAGGCCAGCCTGCCGAGGCCACTGAGCGAACGACGGGATTCTATACCTGCTTGGCCTACCGCATGGGTCTGACCCTCCGCAGATTGAGGACGCAGCACGAAGCCAACCTGGTCCTCCTCGGAGATCCCGAACGTATCCGTCGCAACGTGGGGTCCGCCGCGTACACTGCCACACTCTGGGACGTGGAATGCCTCGGGCATACATGGCTCCAATACAGGCATCCTGGCCACGGGGATCAGCTCGTCGTTCCTCTATTCAAGGACGTCGTGAGGAAGGCCGAATCGGGTAAGTTCAGGAAGAAGTGGGATACGGCGGACTACTGCGATGAGGGTGAGCACCAGGCCTATGTTATCGTCCGAAAGGGGCTCATTGACGAGCTGTGTCGCAACGACCCGCCCGAGTTCCGAAAGAATGAGGCAGGGCAAGACGACGAGGCGACTGTCGCGCTCAAGGACACTATCTGGTCGTTCGGTACCGTCGAGAACGGCAAGATGCCCAACTACTTTGCTCTTGATCGCCGCGCTAGGCAGAATGGCAAGCTGGAAAGCAGGGGCGGTGATGATCTCGCAACTCCCACAGATAGCATGACTCTGCATTCAACTGATCAGAAGGACAAAGGCAAGGGAAAGGAAGTAGTCCGTCCTCAAAGTCGCCTAGAAGACGCTACGCCGAGGGGCGTGCCCAGGAGCAGTGTGCTATCCAAGCCGACCTACAAGAACTGGCCGGGCATGGGGTACGACCTGGAAGACGAAGACTGGGTTGTCGAGGAGCGCTGGGACCGACACGGCAAGCTTCACCGCGACATGTATGTTCCTCTGGCGAGGGTGGTGGAGAAGCAAAAGACTGGACGCACCCTCCACAGGGGCAGGCCTCTTGTTGGCGCCACGCCTCGCGATCAAAGGGCCATTGAGCAGAGACTGAAGAGAGGTGGTGAGTCTTCTCGTGTGTTAAATCCTACTCTCGAGAGCAAGCTGCTAACCCAAGGACAAGGCGCCGATCCACCTGCACCTACGTTCATCTACAGGTTTGCCGTCATGGTAGGGCTGAAGCGTAAGAGAGACGACGACCCGGAAGACGATCGTGTGCGTCTACCGAGTCCCAAGTATCTTCCAAAGGTTGTGGCGCGTGTTCAAGAGGAGCCGCCCAAGAAGAAGAAACGTCGATCCAGCGTTGGGTTTGGCGGCACTTCGGTGGTCGAGATTAGAGATCCCCCGAGAAGGTCGTCTCGAGATGAGGAGTGATGGAAGCGAGTGTGCGGAGGCAATGATGAGCGTCTTGTGTACTTGTACTGTAGATGGCGGAGAATATAAGGAATTTGTAGGGAGCTGTGGGCCGTCAGCATACAAATCAGTCGTTATCAGGAAAGGAAGTCGCCAAGTGTAAACCACAAGCGGATATACGGAGAGCCCCCTTGCTGACTCTCACACTGTTGTTGGTAGATGACATTGCGGGATACGACGCCGGCACAATATTCAGCAGCGCAGCACATCACCTTAAAACCCAACATACGCAGCACGAGTAGGGATGAGGATGGAAGAATTTGTGTTCATTTCAGACCATAGCCGTAAATTTCATAGCCCCAGACCCAACGTCCTGACGCAAAAACACAAAAACCGTGAAGAAGGGTCGACAAAGGGGAAGTAATTTTTGTATGCTCTCGTTAAAGGTAGGACCCAACGCACACCCGCGGGCCCCCAGTCTAGTCTTCGTCTAGTAACGCTTCTGCTGAGCGCGCAGGGTGTCGGCAAACTCCTCGAGCGGGCTGGGCGTGAGCTTGGTCTCCTTCCAGAGGTTGGGGGTGAGGAAGCCGTAGGTGTTGGTGACGGCGACGAAGACGGCCTTGAGGGTGTTCTCGAGGGTCTTGGTGGAGCCGGCGGACGAGGTGTAGGCGTCCTCGACACCGGCGAGCTGGAGGAAGCGCTTGACAGCGGGGGAGGCAACGAGACCGGTACCACGGGGGGCGGGGATCATCTGGGCACGTTAGTTTTGTGTTTTTCTTGTCTTCCAGGGTGTACATACGCGGACGGTGACGGAACCGCACTTGCCAGACTGCTTGCAGGGCAGAGAGTGAGGAGCACCAAGGTTGGTACCCCAGTAGCCACGACGGACGGGGATGACGCTCAGCTTGGCGATGATGATGGCGGCGCGGATGGCGGTGGCAACCTCCTTGGAGGTCTTGATGCCGAGACCGACGTGGCCCTCGGAGTCACCGATGATGACGACGGCCTTGAAGCGGGTGCGCTGACCGGCACGGGTCTGCTTCTGGACGGGCTTGATCTTCATGACCTCGTCCTTGAGCTTGGGCAGGAAGTTGTCGACAATCTGGTACTCCTTGATGGGGAGGGAGTGCAGGTAGATCTCCTCCATGCTGGTGATCTTGCCGGCCTTGACGAGACGGCCGAGCTTGGTGACGGGCTGCCACTCCTTCTCCTCGTTCTTGCCGCCGCGACGGCCACGGCCACGTCCACGACCACGGCCGCGGTCACCACCGCGGGAGCCGAAACCCCCACCGCGAGCACCACGCTCAGAAGGACCACGGTCAGCCATTGTGTCGTCGAGAGAAGTTGTTGTTGTTGGTCGGTCGGTCGAGGGGGGTTGGGTGGGCGAAGTTGGTGTTGCTGGTCGTCGTGGGCTGCCTGGATGAACTTTCTCGATAGTGGGGCGGTTTCGCGATGGTGGTGAATTTTGGGGTTGCGCCAGCCCTAAGATTTGTGGTGGGATGTGCTTAGTCATGAGGTGGTGATTTCGGTGAGTCAGCGTGACAGCAGCGCTAGGCTGGTTTGGGACGCGGTGTATGTCTCGGTGAGCCGCGTCTATTAATTCATTGTACTTGTATGTCTAGACGAAGAATGCCTAAATCAAATAGAAAAAAGGTAGTTGATATGCTATGCTAACCTGCCCATCCATTACCAGACCCGTTGATTCGTAGTACCACGCGTAAGCAGAAATGGGGCAACCCCCAAGACACGTACTCGAAGCGACCAGACAGACAAGACAGACTGATGTACAAAAAGGGTGAGTGGCGTAAGATAGTAGCAAGTAGTGTGATGCAGAAGTGGCAATGCAGAGACAAAGTCAAATGGTGGTATCATGTCCTCCTCCCTTCACTCATTGATCCTTGATGATGAGGTTGTCCGACGGACGAACCCGCTGAGCCCATTCGCTAGTCACAGTCAGTCAATGAGATGTCATACCGAAGGCAACTTCAGGGGAGTCAAGCACTTACGTCCAGCTACCATCGTACACCTTGCGCGCTTTGGGGCTGCCATAGCCTGCAATCTCCAGGCCCGTGTCGACCACACACGCCGTGACACCCGTACCGCAGCTCGAGACCACAGGCTTCTCAGGGTCGACGCCCTTGGCCGCAAAGTACTTCTTCAATTCCTCGGGCGACTTGAACGTCTTGGTCTCGGCGTCGAGCAGCTCGTTAAACGGGATGTTGATGGCGCCAGGCATGTGCCCCGAGGACAAGCCCTCACGGGGTTCTGGGGCGGTGCCGGCAAAGCGCCCGGCTGACCTGGCGTCAAGAATCTGGATACCTTCTGCGCCTTCCTTGTTATAGTCGTACGTAATCTCTCGGACATCCTCGTAGCTCGCAACCTTGCCATGGGCAATCTCGTCCTCCTTGGGGATCTGGTACTGGCTGCACTCGACAGTGTAGAGCTCCCCGGACTCGGTGGGCAGGCCCTGCTCGACCCACTGCTTGAAGTTGTCGAGGATGTGCACCCGCGGATGACCAAACAGCCTCATCGTCCAAGCGGCGCGGGGCGCGCTGAAGATGCCGAGCTCCTTTGTGTCGTAGACGACGATCACGTCGTCCTTGCGGATGCCGAGCTCGCTCATGGTCAATGCAAACGTCTTGGCATCGGGGAGCATGTGCGGGTACGGGCTGTGCTTGTCAATGACCTTGTCGAGGTCGAAGAAGCGCGCCTTGGGGATGCGCTGCTCCCGGTACGTCTGGATGCCCGTGCGGCCATCGTTGGGGAGAAACCAGGAGGCGCAGACGGGGATCGTGCGCGGGTCGGTGCTGATCTTGCTGGGCGGGTTCTTGCGGATCGCCTCGTGAAGCTCTGTCGGGGTGACGACGTAGTTGGAGAAGTGGCGGCGCGCGACAAAGGCCGTTGCTCGTGCTGTCATGGAGCTGAAGCGAGGCGTGCCGGCGCGCATTGGCTGCCGCGCAAAGGCGAAGAGCGTGGCCATCCTGTGGACGGTGATGCTGCTGCTCGGGTAAGGTAGAAGACCCGCGATCCCCGGACGGGATCAGGTCTACCTACTAGTCTAGCTGTCTGAGGTGCAGCTATCGTAGATAGAGAGCTATTCGCGAGGCGGTCATCTGGTTCACGCGGCCAATTGCAACGGTGGGAGAAGGTTCTCGCGGATGAGAGATCGCTGGAAGCTGCCTTGCAGGTGTGCATGAACTGCATGTGGCAGAACTGCTGCTGATAAGGATTCGGAATTCCAGTCGGTCGACTGCAGTCCCAGCCACGAGCTTCTGACGGAGCCGCTCATGCGGGGGAGAAGCTTGGACCACCACCCACCAGCAAGCAATGACGGATTTCGGACTTTTGGGTTTTGGAGAGTCCGTCACAAACCAACATCTCCCATCCTCTCACACGGTCACACCCTTTCAACCACGCGACAGTAGCCGCCATGAGAGTCACGATCAAGAAATGGAGCGCGGTCGCCACCTGGCAATGGGACATATCCGAGGACGACGTCTGCGGTATCTGCCAGGTCCATTTCGACGGCACATGCCCTACGTGTAAATATCCTGGCGACGACTGCAGCCTCCGTGAGTACACTCATTTGTTTACATGGTGCCGTGCAAATGCTAAACTGTTGTGATCAGTCTCTGGCAAATGCGGCCACAATTTCCACATGGTAACCCTCAAAAGTCTCTTGTATCATTATATGGTATCTGACTATCGCAGCATTGCATTATGGAATGGATCAAACAGGAGTCTGCCAAGGGACAGTGTCCCATGTGCCGCCAGAGTAAGCCCCCCTGGACACCTCCCACGGTGTATCTAGACTACATGCTAACCATGTAGCCTTCGAATGGGTCGGCCAGCACGCTGAAGGCACTGAGCACGTTGACTGAGCCTACCAGCTTGGTCACTCCGAGCTCTCCAACATGGTACTCGATCCAACATATTCTGACCCAACAGCTTTACATCCGAAAGTACCCTTCCCCTTCTAAGCTTCGGGAACATAGACACCATCCTTACAGAGGACGACCACCTTTTTGAAGAATCTTCGCCATTCTAGAGGATCGCCCTTGACCTTGACAAACTGCACGTCGAGCACCTCGGCATCCACCAGACCATGCCTATGAATTTGGATTTCGCCGTGGAGATTCTGCTGCCGCCCATCGAGTCCCCGCACCTTGATGCTGGCCACGTTGTTGGCGTGGAGATTGGGCGTCACGGGCGCGAGAGGCACGTTGAGCTGGTGCAGCGCATCGCCGAGCATCTGCACGAGATGCGCGGGCGGGGCATGGGAGAAGAATCGTGTCAGGGACTCGCGAGGGCAAATGTCGCCGAAGCGACGCGCGTGCTGCGTCAGTGTCATCGAGGGGCCCGGGTTCTGGCAGAACTGTGACATGGATGGCTCATCTGCCAGGCTGCCGAGGGGCACGCGGGACATGGGGTCCTGACCGCGCGCTGGAACCGAAGAAGCTGGCGCGGCCATAGATCGTAACACGGGGCGTTCCCAATCCCACTCCTGATCTGTTATCGGTGTGATGGGCGTTTCTGGCTGCGTCGACGAGAACCGCCCGGCGTTCAGTCCCGAATCCATGTCCATGTCCATGTCCTCTTGCGTCGACTGGGATGTGGTAGGTCGCTGCGAGAAGTCAATGTGTAGGTTTTCCAACATCTGCGTGGCGAGGTTGAGCGGGTCGGAAACCTTGCCCTCGGCCGTCAGGAATGGATTGTGTCGCGTGTACCACGGGTGCTGCCGTATTCGATTAAAGCTGAACCTCTTCTCTGGGTCCACGCTCATCATGCCTCGTAGTAGGGAGAGGGCCTCGGGGGGCACCCGCGCCCATAGCGCGTCCGAGCTGCGCCCCGACGTCTTGACGTACTCCTGAAACTCCCAGCTGCTGGTCGCCGGCTCATCCCAGGGCGTGTTGCCGACCAGCAGCACAAAGAGGATCACGCCGCACGACCAAATGTCGACGAGGTCGGGGAGATACTTGGCTGCGCCGGACGTCTTCCTATCGGCCCGCCCGCACGCCAGGATCTCGGGCGCAATATACGGTGGACTCCCACACAGCGTTGAGCTCGCCTTGCGCTGCCCCTTGTACTCGAACATGGTCGACATGCCGAAGTCGGCCAGCTTCAGGCTTCCGTCCTGCGACAGGAGGATGTTCTCGGGCTTCAGATCTCGGTGGGCGACGCCCTTGGAGTGGATGAAGCTGACGCCGCTGACCAGCTGGCAGAAGTACACCTGCGCAATGTCCTGCCGCACACCCACGTCGGCCTCAATTTTGTCAAAGAGATCACCACCCTCGGCGTACTCCATCGCGATCCACTTCCACGTGTTGTCCTCCCCCGCCGCGAACCACTCGATGATGTTGGGGTGCTGTCCGATGTGCGAGTGGAGGGAGACCTCCATGGCCAGCTGCTTGACCGTTATCCGGCCATGCTTCAGCGCGTAGCCCTTGTGGATGAGTTTGACGGCGAAGACGGGGTCTGTCGCATCCAGCGGGATAGCCTTCTTTATGCTGACGAGCGTTAGCAGCTGTTGCTGTGGGAGAGTGAATGCACAACTGACGTACGATGCGTAGGCGCCTCTACCAACTGTCTTGGAGACAATGCGAAAGGGCAGGTCCTTCGGCAGGGGATCTAGTTGTGACTGACGATGGTGAGCGATGAGGCACACATGGCGTTGATGAGTGCACGTCATGAGTACTGTCAGGGTTGCTTACCATGATACCAAATTCACGACACAAAGCTCCAATCCTTACAGATCTGGCTACTTAGGTATCAATGACAGAAAGGGCACTGTCGCTTATAAGTATCTTGGTCGTGTCGTGTCGCGTGCCACTCTGGGTCGCGTCCGTCGATCGCGTAAAGTGCCTACAGGTACTTCGTGTTTGGATTCTCGAGATGGACCCCGCGACGGGATGGAGGGCAGCTACTAAAATAAAACAGCCACTTCCGAGGCGGTCCAACGACGCTGCCTGTAGCGCTTATTCTGGCCGGTACCCACTCCGTTGCAGCCGTTGCTGCGGTAAACACGAGAGCTCCATCGCCAATCAACAAATGTCCCGACCAACAACTCCAGACATTCGAGTCTGCAGCCCAAGACATTCAAAATCAACTGAGTTTCCTATCTCTTCAACAACAGTAGCGTCTCACGAGCTTGGAGCTGTCGATATACTCTGATATTGTCTCTCCCACAGTCCATTTGCTCGCAATCGACCTTTGCCTATATAGCATCACACACACCATCAATCCGCCTAGTCTGGGTTACTCGACTGCTTTTTTTGCATCACACACCCTTGACACACAGCAGCGACAACCAAAAAGTCACTACAATATGAACGCGATGGCCGAAGAGAACGCAAATGCTGCACCGGCCATCCCGGCGTCCAAGCAGGGCAACAACACACGTCCGGGCCCTGATTCCCAGAGTGTGACAAAGCGGTATGTAGTTTTCACGCCCAACCCTTCCATCTCCAATCCGCTAATGTCCTTTACAGCCTTCAGACAGAGCTTATGCAGCTCATGATGTCGCCGGCTCCTGGCGTGTCCGCCTTCCCCACGTCAGACGACAACATGCTGAGCTGGACGGCCACCATCGAGGGACCCGAGGACACGCCCTACACCGGGCTCACCATGAAGCTCGCCTTCGAGTTCCCCTCCAACTACCCCTACGCGCCCCCGACGGTGCTCTTCAAGACGCCCATCTACCACCCCAATGTGGACTTTTCCGGCCGCATCTGCTTGGATATTCTGAAGGACAAGTGGACCGCCGCCTACAACACGCAGACGGTGCTCCTCAGCCTGCAGAGTCTCCTGGGCGAGCCCAACAAGTACGTTTCTCACATGTAGCCAAAAGGAGACATGACTGACAGTGACAGCTCTTCGCCCCTCAATGGCGAGGCTGCTGAGCTATGGGACAATGACCCTGCCGAGTTCCAGCGCAAGGTGACGGCTCGTCACAAGGACATTGACGACGAGTAGACGTCTTTTTGGAGTTCATTTGGAGAATTGGAGTCTTGGGTTCGTTCACTTCCTTCCTAGTCTGGTATGAGCAGGATGCATGGTACAGCCCTAGTCTAGAGGCTTGGAGTCAGGATTCATAGCCACTGCGGATCAGTAACAAACATGTACAAAGCATTGTTTCAGCGAACATTTCAGCGTCTCGGCAAGCCGCCTCCAGGGTCAGAGGGATGTTTGTGGAATCGACCGCAACGTCATTCCGCACGTGGGACAACCACTGCCGGCGCAGATGCACTCAATCTGGACAGGAGCATTGGTAGTAGGATTTGTTCAATTCCCTCAGTAAGTTTTTGTTTCGTAGCCGTCCAAAGCTCTCGAATGCCGAATCGTCGCAACTCCGAAATGCCGTTGTCACACACCCAGAAGCCAGGAAAAGAGTCAATAGAAATCCCAACCCCCCAACGCAGTCGTCAATTCTTTCGTTCTTCTTCTATCTTTTCTCAGAAGCCGCCTTACTCCTCGACCACGACCGTGGGGAGGCCGCGGGGGTTCTTGACGTTGACGGCCTGCACGTAGCTGTACAGCTTCTCCTTGGCGCCCTCCTCGTCGTTTCGTCGGCGGGAGATGCGCACGCGGATGCGGTAGGGGACACCCTTGATACCCTGCTCCCAGACCTTCTTGTTCAACTGGGGGTCCACGCGGACGTCGGAGGTACCCTGGGATGCGTGTCAGTCCAAAAATCTCCCGAACCAAAGAGCCTCGAGATGCCGCGGCGTGTCGTGCAATCCGACGGCGCAGTGGGAGGGGGAGAGCCGTACCATAGCCTGGGTGGCGAAAGCCTTAATCTCCTTGATGGCGCGGGGAGCCCTCTTCTTGAAGCTGACACCGTGGATCTTGCCGATAGTTAGCGTATGCCCCTCCATGCTCCTTCAATCCTGGCCGATCGAGTCGTGGTATGGACGTACGCGCTTGTGCATGTGGATGGTGTACTCGCGGGCGACAACGTCCGCAATGGCGGAGCGCTGAGGCTTGCCGGAAGGCTTCTTGGTCTTGGACGACATTTCTGCGGGAGAAGGGTGATCAGTCGGGGCTGTCGAGGCGCTGTTAAGAGGACTGGGCTTGCAGCAAGATCAACAAGGGAAGATCTTGGTGTGCAAGGAAAGGAAGGAGAGGTAGTCTTTTGGGTTGTTCGTGGCGTACCTGCGGATCGTCTCGTGAGATTTGACACTGGGCGTGGAGGGTAGGATCTAGAAGTTGGATGCGAAGAGGGCCAAATTCCGTAAATTCTGTGTGCGTAGGGCAGGCTTCGAAATTTGGTGGGTGGATCCGACCAGACCAATGAGCCCGTGTGCCAGCTTGGCTCCACGCCTGATCACGTGCAGTGCTACGTTCCGGGATTAGCGCCGGGAGAGCGTCAGGACGGCAAAGCGCTCAGCGTTCGAGTTGCAGTAGTCAGTCAATTAGGCGCAAGAGCGATCCGATCCACGTCTCAAGTTCCAGCAGCTGTTTACTCGGCACTGCTACCCAAATTACGTCGTCACGGCCACCAGACCGCATTCCACCCACCTCGTCCACGACGAGAGCGTCCTGGAGCCCGTTGTGTGCTCCATGACAGCTACTCACGTTCCTCAACTCCTCCTGGCCATCAACTGAGCGGAAACGACACGAGACCAGCCACCGCGACGAGGCTTTTCGCGCGACATCATCAATAGGGGGAACTCAATTCAGCTCATGTCACACCAAGCTGCTATGCAGAGCAACACACCGCATCTCCTCCCGACCAAGATCACAACAAACATTGAATCTCCAACACTCGTACGATACCAGTGATTACCGCATAAAACCACAAAAGGCCCCATGTCGGGCTATCAACATAATCAAATGGAGACCCCTTCGCCCCAGCCAGACTTGGCCAGGAATAGGCTCCCTACCCTCTTCGAGGTGCTGAGCCGTCGCACGCTGCCACCGGTGGACCTGTTCTCGTTCTACATCTATATGCGAGACCAGCAGCGCTCGGTCGACTACCTGGACTTCTGGCTCGATGTGGCGCAGCACATGTCGCTATGTCGACACTACGTCCGGGAACTCAGGCGCTCGGTCATGATAGGGACGCCGGACCTGGACAGAGTCAGCTCCAAGCGGTCGTCGATGATTCTCGAGACCATGGGCGATCTGGAGCCTCGCATCGCTGGCCCGTCCATGCTCGCGACGGAGAAGGAGAAGAACCAGGATGCCCAGCTGTCGAATTTCCTACGTGAGGACACACACGACTCTCCCCACAGCGGCTACGCTCCCATGAGGCCGAGTCCTCAGTTCAGCAACTCGCACGACATCACCACCGACTCGAACTCACCAGGTCATACCGTTGCCCGCTCGGACATCAAGGCATCGGCAGAGAAGATTCTCTACACGTTCCTACTCCCTGGCGCTGAGCGTGAAATCACCCTCCCCGGATCGATCACAGAAGACGTGACCAGGGCCATTGAAGACGAAGGTCGCGATGATCCGGAGGTCTTCGACGTGGCCAAGGACTATGTCTTTCAAGCCATGGAGCGTGATGCGTTCCCCGGCTTTCTCAGAATGAAGGCCTTGGGTAACTTGATCCCGCCCACTCTCGTTCTACGCCTCATCATCGGGCTATTGGCCATCTTCGGAGCCTTCTGGGCTGGATTTGTGCTTATCTTCTTGGACAAATCGCGCGTTACTCGGTGCTGGGTATGTAACCCCGTTTCGGACTTGACAATGAACTCACTAACAGCCATAGGTCATCCTCCCCTTCACAATTGGTGTCTATTTCCTTGCCTCTTACCAATACTCACTGGACCCCATAATTGCTCTCCTCGGGTACAGCGAGTACACGCCGTTCAACTTCTCTCGCATCAGGGAGCCCTACATCCGCACACTGCTCGCCAAGCGTGCGCTCATGGTCCTTGCCGTGACGGTTCTCGTCGACGCTGCCCTCTGCATTCTGTTCATTCTCGTGCCCGGAAAGCGGCTGTGAGCTAGCTTCAGCACGGGCCGATGATGCTGCGCATTACTTCTGCCCCCCCTGCGGGCTCTGCGAGCCACCAACTTGACGACTTGACGACACATACAAAATTTTCCTTGAGCTTTATGGGGATATTTCCGAATCTTTGAATCTGTTTTCTAGGCGGGCCAGGCGCCATTCCGTTCGGCGTCGGTGTATCTTTTGTACTCTTTTACCATGTACATCATCTTTCCACGCATCGCTCAAGAGGTTTTGCGTCGTGGCGTTTGCGACTCCCTTTGGACGCCCCTTACTTTAGGTTGTGCGGTCATCTAGATAGCGAAAAAGGAATGTAAACAGGGTGCTCTAGACTAGCAACCCCTTGAGTCATTATCATCTATGTTATCTTCATGTGCACCACGCGTCTTCCTAACCTGGTTTGCGTCTCGCCGTTGCATCTTCCTTTTTGGCACAGTTTCACCATTTCCGCTTGCTTCGTCGCATCTGCTGGTCGTCCATCCCCAACGGCTCGTCCACCTCCATCAGCTCTCCTCCTTGCGACTCCATGTTCTGGGCTCGTTGCTGCCAATTTTTGGGTCTGAGAAAAGCGTCCTGTGCCCTGTTGATGGCCAGATCCTTCTCGTCGACCTCGCTAATCGCCTTGTCCAACTTGGCCTTTGCCTTGTTCTCCTCGGCGTGGCGCGTGGCAGCTTGCTGTCGAATCTGGGTGATCTGCGCCTCCAAGCCGCCGAGGGTCGTCGTGCACCGCTCAGACCAGACTTTGAGGGTGGCGGCCAATTGCGGCACCGCGCCTGGGGCGAGATCGCGGAGGGGGGCGATGCTGGTGACTTGCACCGTCTGTCGTGCCGGATCCAAGGTGCCATTGATCAGGCCCGCGTAGATGGCCGTGATGACGAGTTCCTCCACCTCACGGTGTGTGTCGAGACCAAGTTTCTGCTGCAGGACCCCGTATGCCAGGTTGTCCCGGTCCCTGGCTAGCGATAGCAGCGAAAGCTGTCGTAGTTTCACCGTCTGGGCGTCTGAAAGGGACGGCAGCCCTGGTGTGGAGGTGTACGACTCATACGTGCCGTGCGAGAATATCCGCAGGAGGGCGTGTGCGGCCTTGGCGTCGGCATCGGGTGACGAGGCGAGCGAGGCGATGGGTTGCGTTTGAAGGAGTTCGGCGAAGAGGAAGGTGTTTGGGGCGGAGGTCGCTTGCCGGATGAGGTCGATGGCAGCGCGTGGAGATGTGGCTGATTTCGAGAGAGCTAAAAAGGGCTGTGATACTTTGGTCAGTGGTGAGACAGACAGTGAGCTTGCGGCAGGGTTTGGTTACCTCGAGAGCGTTGAGGGCCTTGGTCTGCTCCATGGTGAAGCGAGCCGCGATGGGCGGCAGGTGGCAGGAGCCAGTAGCCAGTGGCTGAGACTCGAGGTTCAATAATAGAAATCTTGGCGTTGATGGAGATTCGACGGACAGGATTCGGGAACACAGGCAAAACACATTAACACAATCGATGAAATGTATGGCGATGGATCGCCAACGTTAGACTTGGAGCTCGGTGAAGCTAGCTGTACGGTCGTCGGGCTGCAGGTGGTGACGCGGGGTGGGTGATTGGCGTGTAGAGGGGCAGAATTCGGGGTACCGTACGGCTCCAGTCAGCTCACACGAGCTAATTACTGGAGGTCTGACTCTGGCCTCACTCGCAACGTCTCAGCATACGCGCGATGGCGACGGTCGTTTTGACTAATTAATATAAGAACAGATCCGAATTAGGTCATTATTGCGAAGTCACAGACAGCTACGACGCTCGTGCAAAGTGCAGTGAAGGTACATGTCCAGGCTCAAGCCAGCGATTGATGATGGAGGATGCCCATACACTGTGCATTCGAGGTGTACGGAGCACGCATGATTACGACAGCTTATTACTATTCTGATATCTGTGCTTGTTGTTGGATTGCACGTACAAAAAGCACAAAATCATTTTGCCCGATATTACCTGGCCGTCATGTCAAACAGACCCCAGCAGTTTCATACCATCTCGAAACGACAGGGCGTCGCAGGTAAGTGATTCACGATGACCGCCGTCGTTTGGGAGCACAGCCGCTTGAGGTGGTGGTGATAATTCATTACAAAGCCTCGATTTTGAAAGCTTTGTATGCCAGACTGACCATCCTGATTTCTTGAAGGCTGCTGATCACACACGCGCAACAGAAACAGGACCTTGGCTTTCTGTGATAGCCTCATGAGCTGCCTATTCAGGAAGGCGGTTCAGAGAACTCCGTCCTTGGATGAGCCAAGCACTTTACTTGTAATTACTGCCTAGCAATCTAAAATCTGGTCGTTATCGGCATCTTTGCAGGGTCCTTAATTATTGTCACATCTGGTCATGCTTATCCTGCATACTCGCAGCCATTCTGGAGGCTCTGTGTGGCTGCCGACTTGTGCAGCAGCAGCAGCAGGTCAGGACAGAACCTACAAACAGAATACCTAGCACAGCAGCTTCCTGTCGCTCCAGTTTCTTAGTATGATAGACCAGCATGGATTGGCAGTGTAACTACCTGGTACTAAATATACGACGTGAATTTATGATAATCAGCCACAAAGACCGGAGGTCTCATTATGTGATCTGGCTGGCCGCGGTGGAAGGCGGGATGGGATCAGCAGTGGGGAAGCCGCGACCGCTGAGCGCCTGGGCAATCTGCTTGATTCGGCAGGAGCACCGTCTGTCCGTCACGGTGACCCCCAGCATCAGCGGCCCCAACCCTTCCGATACGTTGTACGGAAACGTATTGGTAGTCTACTTAGCCTCCGTTTGGCCACTCTTCTTTTTGCCTCACCTTCGATCCTCTCCTCTTGTCCTCCTTTGTCTCCTTATTGCATAGCGAAGCAGCTGGTTTGCGCATCCTTCTATTGTTCTGTTGCCTCCACATTGTCACGACCCGACCACAGTGTTTGGCGCCGCGCAAATTTCCCAGCGCCAACCGAACATCTCTTGCTAGTCGACCGCCACGCAACGGCTGCCACGAGGTGCGATACTTTGGACCCTGGAAACGTAATTCGACACCATATACCGAGCGACATGCGAATAGAGCCACGCGATCAGTGACAGGAAGGACCAGTGCACGAGAAAGTATCGTCGTCGCATCACGATCTTGGGGAGGGCCCTTGAGCCGCCAGGGCACCAACTAGCATTCCGATGGCTCCAAAATACATTGCAGTGCCCCCTGGCGACAATGGCGCAAGTCAAAATGGACCTCCTACGCCGAGGGGGGCGCACATGGCCACAACTACGCTGCGCGTAGAGGGCATGACGTGAGTACTCCATAGACGATACGTGCGCGACCGACGGTTCCGAGTCTTCGGTCCTCGGCTGTCGCAACCGCAAATGAGCACCTCAAGAATCTAACATTTGGTGATTTATAGGTGCGGGTCTTGCACATCGGCTGTTGAAGCAGGCTTCAAAGGTGTCGATGGAGTGGGCAACGTGTCTGTGAGCTTGGTCATGGAGCGAGCGGTCATTATGCATGATCCCGAAGCCATATCCGCCGAGGCCATTCGCGAGATCATTGATGATCGAGGGTTCGACGCTCAAGTGCTGTCGACTGATATACAAAGTGCCACGCCCGCTCGGGACGCAGAGCGTCGCAAATACAATGACGACCAAGGACTGGCCACGACGACTGTTGGCATCGAGGGGATGACCTGCGGCGCTTGCACTTCGGCCGTGGAGAGCGGCTTCAAAGGCGTTCCGGGCATGAAGCACTTCAGCATATCGCTTCTGTCAGAACGCGCCGTCATCGAGCATGACCCGAGTATCCTGACGCCAGCGCAGATCGTTGAGATTATCGACGACAGGGGGTTTGACGCGACGCTCATCGATACGGTCCTGGAGAACCCACTGGCAGCGGCCAACGACAAGGCCCCGGCGGAACCGATGGACGACATTGCAACGACGACTGTGGCCATTGAAGGAATGACATGCGGTGCATGCACTTCGGCCGTCGAGGGCGGCTTTACCGGTGTGGATGGCGTCTTGCGCTTCAACATCAGTCTTCTGGCCGAGCGCGCCGTCATCACTCACGACGTTACCAAAATCACAGCGGCGCAGATTGCGGAGATCATCGAGGACCGTGGATTCGATGCCGAGGTCATATCCTCGCAATCCGACGCTGCTCCTCAAGGAGGATCCTCAGCAAACGCACAATTCAAGGTCTTTGGTTGCCCCGATGCAGCGGCCGCGACAGCTTTGGAGGAGGCCCTCAGGGCACTACCGGGCGTCAGCGCAGCGTCCCTGAGCTTAGCCACCGATCGCCTGACAGTCTCCCACCACCCTGCCAAGATCGGGCTGAGAGGGATCGTGGAGGCCGTGGAGGCACGAGGCATGAACGCTCTGGTTGCAGACAGCCAGGACAACAAGGCGCAACTCGAGTCACTGGCAAAGACTCGCGAGATCAACGAGTGGCGAACAGCTTTCAGGATATCCGTGGCCTTTGCCGTTCCTGTCTTCCTTATTGGCATGATCCTACCCATGTGCTTCGCCGCCGCCGACTTTGGTGGTTTTGAGCTCATCCGGGGCCTCTTCCTGGGGGACCTCGTCTGCTTGATTCTCACCATTCCCGTCCAGTTTGGGATTGGAAAGCGATTCTACATCTCCGCGTACAAGTCGTTGAAGCATGGCTCACCCACCATGGATGTCCTTGTCATCATGGGTACCTCGTGCGCCTTTTTCTTCAGCGTATTTACCATGGTGGTATCCGTCGTCGCGCCGCCTTACACGAGGCCACATACGATTTTCGACACCAGCACCATGCTGATCACCTTTATTACCTTGAGTCGCTATCTTGAGAACTCAGCCAAGGGGCAGACCTCCAAGGCCCTGTCCCGCCTCATGTCACTCGCGCCGTCCATGGCCACAATCTATGTCGATCCCATCGCTGTTGAGAAGGCAGCCGAGGCTTGGGCCGAGGGGTCCAAGGAGCAGAGCGATGCCAGCAAGAGTGCAGGTGAAGGTTCGGGAGGCTCCGCGTACGAAGAAAGGACCATTCCCACGGAGCTCCTGCAAGTCGGTGATATTGTCATCATCAAGCCTGGTGACAAAATCCCCGCTGACGGTATCCTTGTGCGTGGCACGACGTATGCAGACGAGAGCATGGTCACGGGCGAGGCCATGCCGGTACAGAAGCGTGTGGGTGACAATGTCATCGGCGGAACAGTCAACGGCGAAGGTCGCGTTGACTTTAGAGTCAGCCGCGCTGGCAGAGACACGCAACTCAGTCAGATTGTCAGGCTGGTGCAGAACGCTCAGACAGCACGGGCGCCCATCCAGCAGCTGGCGGACACGCTCGCCGGATACTTTGTGCCCACGATTCTCATCCTTGGCCTCGTCACGTTCCTCGGCTGGATGATCCTGAGCCACGTGCTATCTAACCCTCCCCACATCTTCCTCGAAGACGCTAGCGGTGGGAAGATCATGGTGTGCGTCAAGCTTTGCATTTCAGTCATTGTGTTCGCGTGCCCGTGTGCCCTGGGCTTGGCCACGCCCACTGCGGTCATGGTAGGCACCGGTGTTGGTGCCGAGAACGGGATTCTCATCAAGGGCGGTGCGGCCCTGGAACAAACCACCAAGGTCACCCAGGTGGTCCTTGACAAGACCGGAACAATTACGCACGGCAAGATGAGCGTGGCCAAGGCTGAGATCGAACCGACCTGGACCGACAGCGAGTGGCACCGGAAGCTGTGGTGGTCGCTCATCGGCCTGACGGAGATGGGCAGTGAGCATCCCGTCGGCCGTGCCATCCTGACGGCCGCCAAGCGTGAGCTTGACATTGACGTCGACGGCACCATTGAGGGCAGCATCGGTGACTTCAAGGCTGCTGTGGGCCGCGGTGTGGATGCCCTGGTTGAGCCTGCTTCCTCTGCTGAAAGGCAACGCTATCGAGTGCTTGCCGGCAATGTACGCTTCCTCACGGAAAACCATGTGGATATCCCACAAGATGCCATTGAGGCTTCCGAGCAGCTGAATGCGTCAGCCGGCAAAGCCCACGGCAAGTCGCCTACCGCTGGGACGACCAACATTTTTGTCGCGGTCAACGGTACCTATGCCGGACATCTCTGCCTGGCCGACACCATCAAGGACGGTGCCGCTGCTGCCATCTCCGTGCTGCACCAGATGAAGATCAAGACAGCCATCGTCACTGGCGACCAGCAGTCGACTGCTGTCGCCGTGGCCGCCGCGGTCGGGATCCCCGCTGAGCACGTCCACGCTGGCGTGAGCCCCGACCAGAAGCAGGCCATCATCAAGCAGATCCAGGCGCAGGGCGAGATTGTGGCCATGGTGGGCGATGGCATCAACGACTCCCCAGCCCTCGCCACGGCCGACATTGGCATCGCCATGGCGTCCGGCACCGACGTGGCCATGGAGGCGGCCGACCTCGTGCTGATGCGGCCCACGGAACTCATGGACATTCCCGCAGCGCTGCACCTCACGCGCTCCATCTTCCGACGCATCAAGCTCAACCTCGCGTGGGCCTGCATGTACAACGTGATCGGCCTGCCCATCGCCATGGGGTTCTTCCTGCCCTTGGGCCTGCACATGCACCCGATGCTGGCCGGTCTCGCTATGGCCTTCTCCAGCGTCAGCGTCGTCGTGTCAAGTCTGCTCCTCAAGTCCTGGCGCCGGCCCCAGTGGATGGACGAGGCGGAGGCTGCGCACAAGGTGTCCGGTGGCAGGTTGCGATGGATGAGCGGTGCAGGTTTGATCGGGTGGGTGCGCGAGATGCTGGGCAACCACCGAACCAAGGGGGAGGAGGGCTATGTGCCGCTGCAAAATATAGATGCGGTCTAAATAGGTCGCGGGTGCTTGATTTTGTTTATGTATCGTCTGGATGTCCTAGTGGATCTTGGAATCATCATGGCGCCAGCTAGATGAACTGTAACTTTTGGGTTTTCTTGTATGGCATTGGTCTTCAGTAGCGTGTGGCATAGTATATTCAGGGATATCAACAAAGTTTTTCCTAGTATATACTTTGACACTAATAAAGTGCCGCCAATTGGCAATCAGAAGAAGGGTATCCAGAATTATTTCAGAAAGAAAAGAAAGGAGAAAATGCTCAAGTCCATGTCCTGCCCCTTTGCGCCGTCCCTCGCTTTACCTCCATAGTATGTATGATAGTGCAATATTTTCCAATAAATCAGCCTGGCCCTCGCGCCGTCATCAATTCTCACCATGAAGGCGTCGTCATTAGGGTTTCTTTGACCGAGCCAGCTCGCCCGCAAAGAGCTGGTCGGTGTACTCGGAGCAGAGTTCATGCCACGGCACAAAGGTCGCCCCGTCGAGATCCGTCCACGCGCCGCCGAGCTCGTCACTCATCTCAGACACCTCCGGGTAGACGCCCTTGGGCGCCCAGAGGCGCCCGTCGACCTTGTGGTAGGTGATCAGCTCCCCCTGCCGGAAGGCATTGACGGTAGCCCTGATGAGGGAGTGGGCAAAGGGGTAGAACCACAGCTTGGTGTACTCGGACTCGACAAACTCCTTGGCACCCGTGCAGTGCCAGAGGGGGAAGATGTGCTTGGTGACAAAGTTGACGCCGAGACGGATGGAGCGAATCCAATCGTCGCTGGACGCCCCCGGGTGCGCCTGAGGCACGGTGTCGTAGAGGCGCGTCAGGGCCGAGTAGACGTTGGCGGGCATGGAGATGTCAAAGGGGACGAAGCTGTCGCCCTCGTCAAACATGTCTCGCGTGACGTTGGCGTTGAGGCCGGACGTGCTGAACTCGAGATAGCCGAACCAGGGTTCGTTGCCGGCCTTGGTCTGGAACATGGCGGATTCGTAGTCGAGGGAGACGTGGTACTCGGTCTCCTGGTCCTCGCGGAATTTGCCCGGTACGATGCGGTCGTCAGGGCCGCCGACGACGGGCGCTCCGTCGTTCACGGCCAGGGATCGGTAGTACTCCTGGCGTCCCCAGATGTTGGCGACGTAGTACTGGTCGGACTCTCGGAACTCGTACCCCTCATCGTACGTGTCTTCGATCTCGTCCAGCGTGGCCCGCATGAGTTTGCGCAGGTCGTCGATCCGGGCGATGACGGTGCCCGAGTTTAGCCAGCGCGGGTCGTTAAAGGCCATTTCGCCGTTGCCCTCCTTGGGCCCAAAAGCGTCCGGCGCGAGGGGCGACGCGGGCACCGCCCAGCAACGGCTCGCACGCCAGTCGATCGGCCAGCAGATCTTGTCGGGGCCCCAGAAGACGCTTTGGCGCATCCCTCGGGCGTGCAGCTCCTTGACGGTCAAGCCGAAGCGGTCGGCCAGATGGGCGTCGGACTTTTGGGCCACCTCAAAGTACCTCTCGATCATGATCTCGGGGGGCAGCTGCAGCAGGACGTCGTAGCCGTCGACAATGATGGCCAGGTCCTCGTCGTCGGCGGTGTCGAGTGCGTCCAGGTAGCGCATGATGGCGCGGAGCTTGGCCAGGTGTGTCTTCTTGGCATCCCACTCGCCCTGGCCGTGGAAGCCAAGGAGGGCGGGCACGGGGTAGCGGTTGGCGGCGGACGAGGCTAGGTTGTAGCACAAGTGCAGATTGGGCTTGCTGGCGGGGATCAAGTAGTGAAGTCTCGAGGTTTTGCCCTCAGGGGGGGCAGGGACCGACGTTGGGAGACTGCCATGGGCCTCTTCTGCTGATGAGACAGCGGTGTCTGTCACAGATGTGGAAGTCGTCTTGGCCGTCGCGACGGACGCAGCAGTGGTGTCACCATCCACAACTTTCGAAGGAACCAAGTCGACAGCCTCGGGGGGGTCGAACCCTGCTTTGTGGTGAATGTAGCCGAGGAGTGAGCTCTGGTCCTGTAATGTCGACTGTCAGCTCCATCCATGACGGACGGGAGAATGGGCTGCTCACCCCAGACAAGATCGGAACTACGTAGATGATGGAGATGCAGGCGAACATGAAGACCGCCGCGATGGCGAGGTTTCGTTGGAAAGCGGCCATGGCCTCGAGAGAGGGAGAGGGAGAAAGAGCGAAGTGTCTAATCGGCCGAGTTGCTTCGCAGGAACAGGAAGTAGCCAGTACGTTAATTAGGCTGCCCTCGACAGACACACAGCAGGCGGCTGAGAGCGCAGAGGCGCCGACAAGGAGGGCTCGACGAGAAGCAGAGACTGGTGGGCGTAGGCAGAGAGACAGTGGGAGGAGTGCTAGTAAGTAATTAAGTAAGGACTGGATGTGACGAGAACTTGTCGACACGCGAGAGTCAAACAAAATGTCGGATGAGAAGAGAATGGCTGACTCGTGGGAAGTTGCGCACAACAGACAGCCGCCTCCAGTCGAGACTCGGAGGCTTCAGCCGTCAGATCGATCCCTGTCCGGGATGAGAGGTGCCCGAAGAGCTTTGCCGCCTGGGCTGAGGCTGACAGATAAGGGTCAGGCACAGATTGAATTCTAGAGGCGGGCCGTGATGAGTGATTACAGTAGTAGGTGGGGGAGGGGAGCACCCCGTCAGTCAGCACTAATAATTAGCACATGGGAAGTCGAGGACGGTTTATGTTTACGCGCGCTGAGGCCCAGGTTGATTACTGCTGTGATCGAGTTCAGTCTTCAATGTTCCACTTGTTGAGCATCTTCTGCCGTTCGTCGCTACAGCCGGCTCCCACCGAGAGAGACCATGATCATGTCGCCTGCAGGTGAGATTACACCCTGCGTGGACAGGGCTGGCTACTAACTAGTAATAGTGATTAAAAGTAGGCTAGCCGCGCCGAAATCGACGGTAGACTGGACCCCCGGCTCCCACGCGCGCATTCCAGGACCTCCATTGTTGTTGGTGAGACCGTGAGTGAGAGTCCGTCTCACCCTCGAGCTTGGCGTTTTCTGCAATCCAACATGAAGGCACTGAGGGGGTTTCGCTGCGCAAATGTAGCATCGCCTGGAATCACGCACCTTACTCACAGTCAGGCCCGTCTGGTTGCCAGCAAAACCAGTGTTCTCGTTTATCAGAGTCAGGCGGGCGGGTGGTTCCAATTATTATTATCCCTGCAACCATCAGGTCCCCTTTGCGGATGATTGGACTTGTCACAATTCGGCATCATCCACAATCAGCGGCTAGCGGAAAGGAAAAGGAAAAGGGGGGCGCAATACGAGCGGATCCCCTGCTGGCATGCACTTTTATTTTATCCGTACGGAGTACATTGACGGACAATGCGCTGCATCCGTGGCTGCTTCGTAACCACGAGGAACGACTGGAGACGCCTCCTTTCAGGGCATCACAGCCATTCTGCAGCAATGCAACTTGCTACATGTACCTATATAAGTACGGACTGGACACAAGCAAGGCAGTCGTACCTAACGTGCCAGTGAATGGGTAAGTAACTACGTATAGAGGCTTGGAGACATGCGCCCTGGGTACAGGTACCCACCCTGACTCCACTCTTCCATTGCCGCCGCTTTTAACTTGAAGTCTTGGACTCTTGAACGACTGGAGTTAGACATGTACGGAGTAGTCTACACATATAATAAGTAGTATCAGCCTCACAACGCATGAGACTTGTCCATCTGAATTCGTCACTCGTTCATGTAGAATGTACCTGGTTGTCCATGTCCCCCCCGCGTCATTGTTCCATCAGCTGTAAAGCTCACCGCTGTGCGCCTCGATGGCCTCTTCCATGGTGTCGCGAAGGCTTTCGCCCTGATTCTCAAAGTCCGTCGACTTGCTCGGCACCTTGCCCTTGATCGTCAGCCAGAGGGCCTGTGCGTGGTTATACAGTCAGCCGGTATCACTGGGTAAGGTCTACTAGTCTGTCCAGTCCTTTGTGCTCGTCGCCAGCGTGTGTGGTACGTGGATAGGGGGGCTCACGACGTTCATGCTGTCCTGCGATCGCAGGGGGTTTGCAATGTGGCTGCCCACGATGGGAAAGGTACTAAACTCGGTCACCCTGGCTGTGAGAATCTCGAGCAGGTCCCGGTACGCCTTGACATAGTCCCGAAAAGCTTCATAGATGGTTTCGCCCTCGGGGCCGGCCGGCACCTCCTGCATGCCTCCCGCGTGTTCCAAGCTCGTGCTGATCAAAGGATTCAGGTCGTGGAGGCCTAGGGAGATTTTCTTGGGTACCAGGGGCTGTCAGAAACACGTTGATTCCCCGGCATAAAGCCCACAAAGTGCAGGTGCTCACAGCATAGGGATCCTCTGGGGAGATCGACGCCGCGTTGTCTTCGTTGATCTTATCGGCATATGTCCGAATAGATGTCAACTTGGCCGTCGTTGCATTCATGTCGCCAACAACCTGGGCAGACTTGGCCCCGGACATGATGTTTGTGTGTTGTAGGTGGTGGCGGGATATAAAGGGGGGAGGGGTGAAGCTTTGGCTTGCGAAGATCACTTACAGGTAGGTAGTCAACCACGGCGGCAGATGCGTGCCCCTTTATACCTGAAGCTCTGGTCTGGGGGTCTGGGAGTATAGTCAGGGCAACGGTGTCGTCGACCAAAGCGCCGGCTTGACTCTGCACTGCCGGTGCTCTCGTTGCTTCGTATGCCTCATGCAGAGATCTACTGCAAATCATTGCATCTGTTGCGCACGCAAAGTCATCTTCAGCTCGAGTCGACGATGAAGTTTAGACCACTTCAGGCGAGACATGCATCGCTCCGAAAGCTGCCCGCGGTTGGCGGTGAACGAGGCCGATGAATCTATCAAGATCATCCTGAAAAGTGACGACTTGTTCGAACGGGAACCTCTACGTAGATGAACTGCTGCGTTAGTAATTATGGCCATCAAGCGGTAGCAGGTGCATCATGGCTCCAGGGGGCTGAAGTACGTACGCATTGGGATTCCAAAGAGGAGAACAAGCGTCTCGTAACTCTCGTTGGCTTCTACTCTAGCCGAGTGCCAGGCGTTAGCTCACATGAGGAGCAATATCCAGCTGTAGGATTTCTGTAGATATACATAAACTTGTATTAATTAGATCTCACAATGACAATGTCCAGTCCCGCTGGCGGGCGAGCCCGATTCCCGCGCGCGCTAGACCAGCAGCTAGTACCCACTACGCGGCTGGCGGGTCTCTTAAAATTAATTGAGCTTACCCTACGTACTCCGTACGTGCTAAGTGACATCAAAGCTGACTGACGCGTGGCGGAGCGGGTTCGCTGCCCCGACCAAAGGCGGCGAGCGCGCTAACCCGAAGCAGCCCAACGCTAAGCCATTCATGCCCATGCGGTGCTGATACGGTACTGACTGAGCCCGTACTCCGTATTTCCAGCAATATGCAAGCAAGCCAAGCCATCGTTCCAGGGAAGGCGTCCTGGGCAACAACCCCACCGTGCTGATGCTCTGCCCTTCCGCTGGTCGGAGAGCCTCCGCCAAGACAAATGCCCCTTGCCAAAGCCCCCGACTCGCGCCGTAGAATCGCTAGAATCCTGCCAGTCCCAAGGCTGGGCGTGTCTTGTCGCGCTTCGTCCAATCTCCGACCCCGTTTTCTGCTTACTGGTACTTTCCAGTCCTCCTTCGTTCCCGATCGTCCTTACCTGTTCCGGTCCGTCATCTTTCCCCCTGCTCCAGTCCTGACGGGACTGAACTGACTTCTTTTCTCCCGCCTTCACCTTCGTCCAACGATCTCCGTCGTCCGTCCGTCTGCTGCTCCTACTCTCATCATCGCGACAGCCTCTTCACTTCGGTCTCTACCTCGATTCCTTCGCCACCGACAGCCCTCAGCGTGTGACGAGAGGCATTGACGTGTGTCTCGCTTCGCCGAGTCTTATTTTAATCTTATTTTTCCTACCCGGTATCGATATTTAGTACCGCCCTGCGCTTCCGCCTCCACGCTTCCTTCGGGTTCTATTATCTCCTCGACTTCTTAAAACAGCAAGCCCCTTCTGCGGCGCCGCCGAGCTCTCACCACCTCGACCCCCGCCGACTGCATCGCACGACAGCCTGCTTTGCAAGGCCGGCCTCGCCTCGAGCCCCCTGATCGATCACCGAAAGCCCGCCCTCACAGCCCCTCGACTCTCACCATGTCTCGCCGCGATTCGCAAGAGCCCATGCGCTTGCTCACTCCCGAGGAGCAGGAGCGCGAAGGCAAGGTTGAGGAGATGGACCTCGAGCAGGATGCTGCCCGTGCCGACGGTCCCAAGGACAAGAACCTCGACCACGAATACTCCGTCGCCAGCACTGTCAAGTTTGCCTGGCTCGGCACCTACTTCTTCTTCTCTCTGCTCTTGACCCTCTACAACAAACTCGTTCTGGGAATGGTACGTGTCGCCTGAGGCCACTGTCTCTGCACTGCCTTTTCAAGGGCGCATTGCGTGGCCCTGTACCACTGGTAGACAAACTGATCGCTAACACAATGTGCAGTTTCACTTCCCATGGCTCTTGACATTCTTGCATGCCACATTTGCCAGCTTGGGAACGTTTGCCATGTTGCAGATGGGCTACTTCAAGCTCTCGCGCCTGGGTCGCCGCGAGAACCTCGCCCTGGTCGCCTTTAGTGGGCTCTTCACCGCCAACATTGCCGTCTCCAACTTGTCGCTGGCGATGGTGTCTGTTCCCTTCTACCAGACTATGCGCATGCTGTGCCCCATCTTCACCATCCTCATCTACCGTGTCTGGTACAGCCGCTCGTACAGCACCATGACATATGTGTCTCTCATTCCCCTCATTGTCGGCGCCGCCATGACCACCGTTGGAGAGATGACATTCTCTGACGCCGGCTTCCTCCTCACCATCCTTGGTGTCGTTCTGGCTGCTCTCAAGGTTCGTGACCCATCTGCAGGTGTAATAAAGAAGAGACTAACGCAGCCCGCAGACCGTTGTCACCAACCGCTTCATGACGGGTTCTCTTGCCCTCCCCCCGGTCGAGTTCCTCATGCGCATGTCGCCCCTGGCAGCCCTCCAGGCCTTTGCTTGCGCCACCGCTACGGGCGAGGTCGGCGGGTTCTGGGAGCTTGTCAACTCGGGCGAGCTGTCGCTGCCCCCGGCTTTCGCTTCCCTCACCGGCAACGGTTTCCTCGCCCTCCTCCTCAACATTTCCTCCTTCAACACTAACAAGCTTGCTGGCGCCCTCACCATGACCATCTGCGGCAACCTCAAGCAGTGCTTGACCGTCTTGCTCGGCATTTTCCTCTTTGATGTCGTCATCGGTTGGCTCAACGGTGCCGGTATGGCCGTCACTATGCTCGGTGCCGTCATTTACAGCAAGGCCGAGCTCGACAACAAGAAGAAGAAGGCACAGGAGACGGCTTACAAGCCTGTTGAGCAGAATGTCAGGTAGCGGCTGATGCAGCGTGCTCTCAGTTGGACATTTTTTTTTCCTTCTTCTATCCCACCATTTATATTAGTAGACGAGGCATTTCGCAAGGGATACTACGGCAGGCATAGCGTTGCGTGCGCATGATGGGGATTCACCGCCAGCCACCGAAAGGATGTGCGAATTTGAGCCCAAGAAAGGAGGGAGCTTTGATCTGGGGAAACACTTCAGCAGGTGTAGACATTTTGGAGCGATGCGGACGATTCGAGGAGACAACTCGAGGGGGTTCGCAATGGACAACGTTACGATCACGGAATCACGGCGTTTACGGACGACAAGGACACTACCACTCACGGGGGAGGGATTATTCATTTCCTTTCCCACATATCAAGCCATTTGTTCTTTTATACAATCATGGAATATAACTTAATATAGCCATTTCTAGGAGGAGTGATTACGTATTGGTGGGCGGCAAACGGGCGGGACAGCTGTTGAGACAATACATACGTTATATAAGCCTAGTGCAACACAAGAAAAGATGTTTGGGCTAATTGATCCATGCTTCATTAGCGTGCTTGTCTCGGGGCGGATTGGAGCAACTGTGAGCCCTCGAGATGTTGGGGAAAATAGTACCATTAGAACCTGGAACGCCGTGCTTGAAGAGCGTGTGCGGAACACAAAGCAAGTATCTATCTGCAGAATAACAAAAGGCAAGACTGCCATCCCCCCAATACATCAACGACCGCCGCCCTAATTATATTTGTCGCTTCAATTCTTGTATGCCCATCCTGACGTCGCTCAAGCTGGCGTTGCTATCCAGGCCAAGATCCAAGGCGAGCATCTCGAGGCCGCTCATCTCTGCCATATCCCGCGGGTGTTGGTCGAGTAAGAAGGGGGGCCCGGTCTGGATCTGGACCAAATCGCCTGCGTCGACGAGTCCCCTCCCGTTTTCGCTGCTCTTTTGGAGCATGGCGAAGCGGAGCACCACCTCGGTGACGGTGACCAGGATGGAGATGATGATGAGAACAATGATGATCCAGGTGATGACGCTCATCTTGGAATCGGCGATGGAGTCGGAGAGTATCTCGGCCAGGTCGAGGAACACGCGGCAGCGCTCGTTAAGAACCTTGATGCGCGGGTCGATTTCGAGATATTCGCGGATGGCTTCGTAGAGGGGGTGGAGAGTGGGTTCAGAGTCCCAGAAGAAGTTGGGCACGTCGAGAATGTTGGAGGCTGGTTCAGCGTGTTAGTACAATCGTATGGCGAGCGGGTAGCCACCCGCGTGCGAAAACACTTACAGAGATTAATGTCGACGCGACTCTTGAAGAGTCGGCCGAGGATCTTGACAATCTCCTTCCTCGTCATGTTCAGCTCGCCCGTGAGGGCGAGCGTCTTTGGCACGTCCTGCGCATCTTGCATCGTCTCGCTCATCCTTTCTTCAAAGAAGCATAGCCTGGTGCTCTGGGCGATGGCGTGGCTGATGGTCAGCTTGATCATGTGGTCGGAACGCGGCATCAACGTGATCATGTCATTAAAGACCCGCGGTCGCTTTACGCTGGCGCTGTACTCGAAGTGGAACTCCTCCGTCTCATAGTCGTCCTGCTCGAGTGGCCTCGTCAGGAGGCTGATGCCGTCTTCAGCGTCGGCGAAGGTCATGTCGGCCAGGATATCCTTTTCTTGGTGCTCTGTGAAATTCCAGAAGACGACCACGCCGTAGGAGAAGACGAACATTTCCGCCAAGTTCTTCGCTTCTGGGCGCAGTCTATTCATGTGCGAGGTGCTGTCGTCCTCATGGCGAAACGGGTCTTCGTTCACCTGGTACTCCGGGGACTGGTCACTGAATTGCGGTGACTCGTGGCTGCTGTTCGGGCTCGCATACGCATCGTCTTCAAAGTACCCCTCGTGGTGGCTGCGGCCCTCGCTCCTCTCGATTTCCAGATCAAGGACCGTCTTCCCCGTACCAGGCGTCCTCATGATGGGCCGACTCCGTACCCGGTATCCTTCATTGCCATTGAGCAGAGGTAGCGAGTACACGACGTACAAGCAGTCATCGTAGAGCTTCGTTTTTGCT